GTAGGTACACAGTAGTCCATACAACTCTCCATCAGAAGCAAGGTAGCTTTGGGACCAGGTTAGGATCTGCTCGGCCACAGGCGGCAGTCGGCAATTTATCGGGGTCCAAACGAGGGTTTTAATTGATAGATTCAGTGACCGTTCATGCTCAGTGGGCATTTGACCGGGTTGAGCAAACAGAGCAGACGAACGGTGCTTTTGCTTCCCAGTTTGATTGTGACTAAGGCTGCTTAGTCGGTCGTTGTTGACACATGCAAGCAAAGGGGCTAGTCTACAACCGCTCCGACTAGAGGCAGGGGCGCGGCCTTGGAACATCTGTGGATGTTCAGACCTGAGTGTGCAGGGCAGGCCGCCCAAGAGGGAAGAAGCTCGCAGTTGGTTGCGGGAGTGCAGATGCAGTTTCTAGGGGGGAGGGGTGGTCCATGTCCTCTTTATTATCCTTTTCCTTTTTTTTTTCCCTTCTTTTCCTTCCTCTCTCGCAGTCCGCGGCGTGCGACTTAACTTGGGGGTTCCTGGCTTTTCGGCTATGAGGTTCGACGCAATGTCGAAGGTCCCTTTAATACGAGGTAGGTACTTGCAGCCCAGAAAATTTGAACCAAATGGCACAGGTCATTCGTGTTGATATGGCGCGGGGCAGATGGTTGTCCTTTGTAGCGAGCGACGACGCAAATAGTCTCCATAGTGGGCTCCGTTCAAAATGTGCGCCAAGAAAGAGTACGCAACAGGTGGTGGTGCCGTCCGTAGAACAAACCAGGGCAGGGCAGGGCAAAATCGGCCTTGATCAGGAATTCATCAGCAGGTGTGGACCAGATCAGGGACTCTATCCATTTATCCACCCCGGGATCACAGAAGCACGTAAGGGAGCCTTCTTTTTGCCCCTTCTCCGCCTCTCCATTGCTTCTGGAAGACACGAAGAAGGAATGGATCATGGATCATCGGCGATATTGCGCAAAGTGGACAGTAATCTGCCATTCGAGAGCACGGAGCCATGTTTGCCATGATGCTGGCTGACCAAGGTGGGTAAGTGTGGATTCACTCCCTCTGCGTGGCAGGCTGGTCCCAGCTTGTGCGAGGCGAGGATCGGCACTGCGCGTGAACTGCGAGTCGAGTTTCTGTCTTCGAACCCCTTTCCCGCACGCTCGTTGGGAGGAGGAAAGTACGATGTCACGATCGCAGCGATGAGTTGGTTCAATACCCATCATTGTTTGCGGAGCGGGAGGGGGCATCGGATGCAAGTACGGCAAAGGGAACGCATGCAGCCAGGGCGACTGATAGCGGCGGAGTTGAGATGAGGACGGCACCGTTGAGGGAAATGGCGACGATTTCAAAAAGCAGAGGAGGTTGGAGGGATTGGATTTGTGGTTGGTTTCGGTGGGTAGAGTAGAAACGGGGATTGATGAGGTAAAAAGATGGGCAAGCAAGTGTACTATAGTACATGCCGGGTACGGCGATGGGCACTGTAGCCCTGGTTAATGAGTGGCCGGTGGAGGGACAGGTCTCTTTGCCGTTCAGTGTTGGGTGCTAAAAGCGGTGCCAAAAGCTGAGGGAGGTTGATAACGTCTTGTGGCGAGGTAGAACAAAGGACCACACGCATGTGTCGTACCTGCCTTGGTGACAGTACACATCAAAATACGGCATAGTAAAAAGCGAGGAATTCATAGACTCGATGAACGGGCAACCGCTTGAGAAGGGTTTCTGAGGTCAATTTTTTTTTTTTTTTTTGTATGTCACTTACCCGACTCCCTGGAGATACCCGACAACAAGATCTGTCATTCCAGCTTGGTAAACGAGTGATTAGCTGGAGCTGGTTGTGACCGGTTCGTCAGTTCCAATCGGTGGGGTGATGAAACAGGTTTACCATACAGTACGGATAGAGACAGAGAGAGAGACAGAGTGTGGGTTTTCATCTGGAGGGGGGGCGGGAATGCAGTGTCGAGTTGGTTGGGTTTGCTGCACACCACTGTACGACGGTACAGCACAGCAGCGTAGCTCCGCTAGAGGATGGAACTCGATTGACACAACGGTATCTGGACGCACACACGTAGTCTCTCTCTCTCTCTCTACCTCTGTACGTCAGTTTGCAGCAGCAGCAACAGCCACTACTACGTAGGGGCGTCTGCTAGTGTATGTACATAGTATACACTACTTAGGCAAGGTGCCTACAAGGTAAGGTACTCGGCAGCGCCCCTTGAGCCAGTCACAGACGGCGCGAGCGGGAAGGTGGGTGCCACGGTTGCGCCTCCCCGGTGCTCCCTTCCCATTTCCAGCGTTTCCAATGTTCCTTCCTGCGTCCCTCACCCTCGCTCTTGCCCCAAAACGCTCCGACCCTGGACTAGTTACCCTGGCGTGGTAGCTTGGGTCCATGTTCCCTGCAAACCCTGTTCCCAGCTGTACCAGTAGGAACCCCCGATACGCCCCCCCAGTGGTCCTCTCGAAGCCTTCCACACTTTCGATCGATGTTCGAGAAGCCGGCCAGAAGACCAGGAGCAGGGCCCTTTCCTTCCATCCCCTCGCACGAGCACGACCAGGGCCTGCAGAGATAAGCAGTGAGCAGGAGTAGGACTAGTAGCAGTAACAACAATAACCCACTGCAGACTGCACGTCACGGGGGGCGCTGGCCAGGAAGGTTGTACTTCAGCACGGCGCAAAGGTAGTGAGCTGGGAACAAGGAGGGAAAGAAAACACAACGTACACACGCACACACAGACAGACAGACAGAGGAGCGGAAATAAGAACCTTTTGCGGTATTGCTCGCATTTTCTCTCTCGTCATTCTGGCCTCCCCCCCCACAGAGGGTCGCGGAGGCAGACACAGATGCACACACTCACTCACTCTCACACGCACTGCCCCATATCCATGATCGTCCCATTGCTTGCCTGTTCTGATTCCGACCTGGGGCTCCCATTCAGGACTACCTAATTCCCAGGCTGACGCCTTCCCATTGCCCTCGGTTAACAGCAACCAACCCCCTCCTGTGCCTATGGCCTTTGCCCTGCTACGGAGTAAACACCACCCCGGAGGCCACGACGGGAACAGAGCCCAAGGTCCAGAGCCTGGCTTTTAGTCAGACAATTTGGTCGGATCCATCACACACGGTCCGTCTATTCGCTTGCTTTTGGCCGCACTATCACGCCGTACCCTTTCACCATTGTTTCCTTGCCATCGTCCTGGCTGTCGGGTTCACCAATTCTCTTTGGGCTTGAAGTTGTCTCTCTCGCTGCTTGCAGTCGGCCACCCACTCCATTCCTCGATTCCTTCACCCCCCCAACCGACCTTTGACTTGATGTGGATGACGGGTGTCAACGCCTGTGCTATGTACTAAAGCACTATCGACTTTGTAACAAGTGAGAGATAAATAAATAAAAATAAAACAGGGAGAAAAGAAAAGAGAAGAGAAAGAGGACGGAAAGGTAGACCGAACCAGGCTTCGTTCGCCGGCTTGTAAGCCAAGGAACCCTGCCTTGCTTGCTCTGCTTTGTAACGCCTGCATCGCCTTCAGCAGTCCCAGTCCTGTGTCGAGGCCAAACCGCACCCACGTCACAATAGCATCTCACTGCATCTCAGCCCAGCACAGAGCAGCACAATACCTAAGCTTCGTGGGCGCTGTCTCTCAGCATGCCTTTGAGAGCATCTATCCACCTTTCCTACTCTGGGTTGTCGTCTCCATTCCTCTCTGCATCCATCCATTCTCCTCCTAAGATGCGCCAGTAAAACCTTAGCCTTTTTTACCTTCTCTCCCATAGTGCTTTACCTTACACGCTACACACCACTACCATTGTTAACACTTACCATTTACTACTGCCTGCCACCACTACCTCACTCGTTCGCCTCCTCCTCTGCCAATCCAACCCGCATTCGCCAATCTCTCTCACCCATTCCTTCTCTCCATCGGCTTCTCCTCCTTCTCCTTTCCCATTCTCATTTTCTCCAAGCCAACATCTCGGGAGGTAACCTTACGGGCACCGGCACTACACCCTACGCACTTGTCCGGCCCCCCTCACTTACGCAATCCCTTGACCTTTCGCCCACCACGACCGAGGGGAACAGAACAAGAGGAAAAGAAAGAGAAAAAGAAGCTCCCGCTTTACACCTTGGTAAGTATTTGCCCCACGCGAGGGAGGGAAAAAAAAAAAAAGCCTTCAAGTCGCACTCTCGTAGACTATACGTCTTGAGCTTCCGTGCTGTTTCTCGTTCCATCCCGCCTTGCTTTGTTGGGCAAAGTATGCAGAGGGGAAGGCAAGGCAAGGAAGCTTGGTCTGTTCTGTGCCGCTTCTGGGCCCTCCCCTCCTCCCTCTTGCGCGCGCGTCTCCCCTCTCTCCCACCCACCAAAAGGCACCACACACACTCAACCCACGCACACACACACCACACACACGCTAGAGTCTGTCTCCTTCTCGCACCCACCCCCTTGCTTAACAATTTCGTATTCGAAGCCTGGTCCATTGTACTCTCTTTCCATCCTCCCGTCCCAGCTGCCTCACGCCTACCTTCTTCCCTTTTCCCACTTCAACGCCCGTTCGTCCCAGCCCTGTTGTACGTAGCCTGCCCTCATGATATCACTTCTTTTGTCGTTGTCGCCGCCTGTTTGTGCTCTGTTTCCTTGTCGCCGCCCGCGTTATTCTGTTGTCTACCTGGCTTTAACCCACAACTAACCTAGACGACTCGGTCGCTGCCAACAGCATAGAGGAGCCTCCACCTTCGTCTCGAGTACATAACGAACTTTCCGCGCGACGGTACCCGCAACTGCGAAACGACAATCCCCCTCTTCCGTACTTCTCTAGTCGCCGTGCTAGGTGAGATTGATTCTGGTCAATCCTCCCATGATCTCGGCTCCGTCGGCAAAGCGCGATCACTATCAATGCCAACTTTGGTGACCATCACCACCGCTGCGCTTCTGCTTTAATCGCGTGCGCTCGGCCATCTACCCCGGATGAGAGCCCCGGCCGAAACCTCGACTTCGCTTGTCTTCCAATTGTCTCGATCCCACCAGCCGCAAATCTCTACCCTTCGAACCCATCCCGCCAGCCTGCGCATTTCTTGAGTCCCCGCGGGCGTCGCGCCGCCGTGCTGCAGTTTAACAGGACCGGGTCGCCGTCCTCGAGCCATCCCACTGCGGACCTGTTCGAATTGTCGTTTGATTTAATCGCATCGCACGCTCCCAGCCTTTCCTCGCCCTTGTGGCCAGAGCGCTCCGGTCGCGAGACTGGTTGCTCCCTGAAGCCACGATGGACAATGCCACTTGCCATGTCGTCTATGTGAACCGCCAGGTTCGCCAGGACAGGCTCATCCGTAACGATGCCAACCACACCCACTTGTTAAACGGGGTCGCTCCCGACGGAGAGATTGAAGATGTTCAGAAAGACGCCGCTCTTTTGCTGGATACATTCGGAGAAGGTAGGTTTCAGCGCTCTCTCTCTCTCTCTCTCACACACACACACACACTCTCTCTCTCTCTCTCTCTCTCTTTATATACCGGGTTCACTTGTGCTAAAATGCTGTTCTAGTCTATCTGTGTTCCACAGGTTCAGCGTGCCTTTCGACGCTTTTCCAACTTTCGGACGAGTCCATGATGGACCTTGTTCCGACTCTTGTTTTAATCGACGTACCCTACGACGAGCAATTACCAAAGGTCCGGTCGACCTCTAGATCACCTTCACCACACTCACGCCCAACTACTGCAGATGTTGACATCCATACCCCGGAAGAGGAGGTTTACGGTCTCAAGTTGCTGCAGAGAATCATGACCGAAGCTCACCTGCGTAGCATATCCAAGCTTATCGTTCCTGTTCCCATCGTGAGCTTCGCTTCCTTTGAGGTTGCACAAGCAAATGGTGGAATCATCGGGAACTCACAAACAAAATCCTCACCAGCAGTGGACCGTCGATTGATCATCCGATGCCTCGATCTAGGTGCTATCGACGTCATAATCAGCCCTTTGCACGCCAAGTGCATCACAAGCCTTGAAATCCATGCTTATCGTGCGCATAAAGAGGCAGCAAAAGAGCAGCAGGAAATGCTGGAAGTACGGAGGGGAAGAAAACGCTCTTGGGTCGGCGTCAATGAGGAAAAACCGTTTGCATATCTTAGGGAAGCTATGGTATCCGGACTAATGAGGGGCATTTGTCGGTCCGGCGCGGACTCGGACGACGATCGGATTTCTAACGTCAGCATCGCTGTCTCCACAGATCGCCAAGCCGCCGTCGCTGCCGCTGTAGGCAAGTGGCACTTTTGTGCCCACAGTTTCACCGACGACGAGTTGCTTGTGGCGGCCATGATTATGTTCAAGCATGCGTTGACCATGCCAGAGTTGGATCGTTGGCGGATACCGACAGGTAAGGGTCTCGCGCTCATGCTTAATCAGTTCTTAGTTGCTGACAGCGTCTAGATCAACTCATCAGTTTCTTGGTTGCCTGTAGAGCTGCGTACAATAGTTTTGTACCATATCACAACTTCAGACATGTCGTGGATGTCCTGCAGGCCACCTTCCACTTCTTGGTCCGCATCGGCACTCTGGCGCCATATCCCCCTGACCCACTGGGATACGATGAACTCCCCGAGAAGTCGCCCGTAGCAACCTTGCTGCATCCTTTTGAGGGCTTGACCCTTCTCATCACGGCGATAGGCCATGATGTTGGGCATCCTGGCGTGAACAATGGGTTTCTTGTTACCCTTAATGCCCCGTTAGCACAACTATACAACGACCGCTCTGTTCTCGAGTCATTCCACTGCGCGGCATACTCCCAAATCCTTCGACGGTATTGGCCCAGCGCATTCGAAGATACCAAAATGCGGAATCTGATGATTAGTTCCATCCTCGCTACGGATATGGGCCTTCACTTTGATTACATGAAAAAGCTCGGAGACACTCAGGAGAAGCTGGATGCTAGCAACACAACCGACGGATGGAATGGTCGGATGCTTGAGGAGCAAAAGGCATTGGCATGTTCATTGCTCATTAAATGCGCTGACATTAGTAATGTGGTAAGCCTAACTCGGCATCGTTTGACATGAACAGCAAGATAACATCGTGGGTTGCAGGCGAGAAAACACGAAACTGCGTTGAAATGGATGCACATCCTTTCGGACGAATTCTCTCGCCAGGCTTCAATGGAAAGCGAACTAGACATCGCGTCCTCTCTCCTTGCGCCTCCGAAGAAGGATCTGATGTCGCTTTCCAAAGCTCAGTTGAGCTTCATGAACATGTTTGCCATCCCCCTGTTCCAAGGAGTGGCAGACATCCTTCCAGCAATGAAGTACACGGTCGACGAGCTTGAGATCAATAAGAGTCTATTTGAGCAGCGCATCCGAGACGAGCAAGCGAAGGAAGACCCCATTCGCAAGCGACTTCTCCGCGACGGGACATTCTCACCGCGAACCATGAGTTTCGTGTCAGGCTCAGAAAGTCAGAAGGAGTCTGCTACCCCACGGGTGACAACGCCCATGGCAGAAATCGCAACACCGCCGTCGCTGATGGACGAAACAAGTACAGAGGACAAGGGGCTGTCCCCTGAGCCGGCCGACCCGGTAAACAGGCCAATGCACGTGCCAAATACCTCTGACGACTACAAGGAAGTAAACGGGATTGTGACATCGTTTGACTCGGTGGCAGACTTTGCAGCCAGTGATCCCTTCCACTGTAGGGATAGGGCGAGCAGTTCTCCCGACAACCACCATGGCCATAACGGCAAGCAGCGATGCAGTGAGACAACCGATGGAAGCACAACTGGTCCCTACACCGGAGACTGGGCTTCGCAGGCCACCAGCGCTACCACAGGCAAGATGCCTCTTTCTCCCAGCACTCAAGGCACTAGCATTGTCAGCAGAGAGTCAACCGAGCATTTGCCTGGGGTGCCCATAATCTCAGAGCCCAAGCCTTTCAACGACAACAAGCAGGAGCCCCCGATGCTGGATCAAGAAGCGAATGGCTCTCATCTATCACACGGTAGCTACAAGGCTGACGGAGGCAAGGTGGTGAAGAAGAAATCGAGCAGGTTCCGAATGAACGCATTCCAATTCTTCCGACGGAACAGAGCGTCAAGCCCTTCCATGTCGGCGGCCGACACTGCTGGCTGATGATGTCGATTCCTAAGCGAGTCCAGGCCGAACATTTTAGCCACACAAGTGCGGCTGCATCAGGGGCACGGGAGATCCACAATCGTGGTGGTTCATACAGCAGCCCCGGTGGTCAATATACCCAAGCCACCATGTTATTAATCTAATAACAATCCGAGATGACCGGGGCAGCGCCACACACGCAACGACTTGTAAAGCACAGTATACGGACCTAGCTATATATGTACAGTATCGGAGACGGAGTTAATGCGAATTAGGGGATTTGGTGTTCCGCCCACAAGGGCGACGGCAATGGGGGAGACGCGGCCGCGTCACTCATGACCTAGATGGGAGGACCTATAAGAGCTTGGTTCTTGGTGATCTCGGCAGCTTTATGGACACCAAAATAGGCTGGACTGGGGCGGCGTTCTGGGCAGGTCTGTAGGCTGTGACGATAGGGCATTGGGACGGACGGAGACGGTCTGGGAATGGGGGAAGATGGCAGCGAAGCCTTGTTTTGATTAAGGCCAAAGTGGCCTACCACCAGACCAGAGGAGCGATATCACGGAGGGCATACAGCCGAAAAAGACTGATGGCCCATGGTAGATGAAAGAATACAAACCCTGGCAAGTTCAAATGCGATACGCGAGCGGCGAACTACATTTTCAATGAAGGATGGCGCAAAGTGACCTTGAGTACTGTACGGATAGAGGAGAGACATTGCTTTCCACCCCAGTCTTGGCAGCGGGTACTGTTTTGTTTTAAGGTCTGGCTGGATTGAGCAAGGGCATGCAGTCGCTGACGTCGACGCACATTGAGTTGCAATGGGAAGCAGCTGTCAGTATCTTAATAAGGGGTGGGGAATTACAATGTTATGCTGAGGAAAAGCGTGTGCAAGCTCAAAAAATTAAATCAAAATCTACTTGAACAAAAAATAAAATATAAAAACCCCCCGTGGTCGTCTCTGCTAGCAGAGAAACAAGGTGTAACCAAAGAGGCGAGGGACTACAACAAGGCGATTCCGAAATGGCGCGAAGGTTACTCACAAGGAGGATCTGGCCGCAGAGGTTCTCGACCGAAACACGGCGACTAACGTCATCCACTCATTCGAGGAGCGAACAGCCTAGGATTCTCTGCCTGCCTACTAACACTACTAGCTGCCAAACCTGGTCACATTGTCCTGACAGCCCGTCGTCGTCGCCAGGCTCTCCGCCCAAGACACTGTACGTGCAGCGTTTGTGCCTGAGAATCCTCCGTGCTCTCGCGGCGAATCGGAATGCGTGACACTCTTATCAGGCAGCTAAAGTGTGGGCCCCATGGCAAAAGGTCCCAGGTTCAGTACCTGTACCTGGCATGACGCAGTTGGCCATGCTTGGTATCAAGGCACACACGCAAGCCTGCTATTAACATGCACCCACCTCTCTCGGGCGATGATGTGTTAGTGACTCTGCAACAGGCAGGTCCCCTTTTTAGCGTTCGAGGCGCGGGGATCAGCTGGACGCTACCAGTAACACGAATTCCCCAACTATCGCTTGGCCAACCTTTGGCCTGGCGTGGAGAGGGGGGGTCCTTGGCCTGCGAGCCAGTTGTTGCTCTACTTTCGAAGCTGGAGCTCTCCCTCCCCCACAACAACAGACTCAAGGTCCATGCTGAGCTGTTTTTGCTCGTCGCTACTGTTACGGTTGCTGCGTCGGCTGCAGCTACTGCGACAGCGGGCCCAGTGGATGGAAGGGTGGTGCGAGCGCCCCCAACCGGTAGCAAGCAGTGAGTGACAAGCTACACGCCCGCCACCACCACCGCTGCTGCTGCTGCGGTAAGGGATTTCTCCATATCCCCTAGCAAGAGTGCACGCAACCCAATCAACCCGCCCGCCTCCGTCATGTTTCATTTATTACGTCCGCGAGCTTCCTGCCTGCGACCCGATTACCATACTTACTTCCGAGCTCCCTCCTCCCAACAACTCCATCCACACTCTCTCATCTTCCATCATCTCTTCCCTTCTCCCCCACCACCCCTTCCCCCATCGCATCTAACCTTCATCAACCTCATCTCAATACCTTCATCAGAGCTCGCAGCAGTTCTGTCTCCGAGCTAATTGCCTGCCCATCATGAGGTTCTCAACCTCGGCCCTCGTGCTCGGCGCCGCCTCCACCGCGGTTGCCCTGGACCAGCACGTCCTCGGTGGTAACAAGAGCCCCTTCGATTCCATCAAGACCACCGGCGAGAACTGGCTGTCGGCTTTTGAGGACAAGTTCGGCAAGATGACCTCGGAAGCCAAGGCTGTCTGGGACGAGATCACCTTGCTCGCCCCCGACGCTGTCGAGGCCTTCAAGAAGAACGCCATGCCGTCCAAGCCCAAGGCCCACACTCGCAAGGCCGACAAGCACTGGGACCACGTCGTCAAGGGCGCTGACCTTGAGAGTATGGTAATTGAGAAGAATGGCCAGAAGCACCGCAAGGTCGGAGGCAGCCTGAAGAGCTTCAACCTCCGCGCCAAGAAGGTCGACCCTTCTGCCCTCGGTATCGACAAGGTCAAGCAGTACAGCGGTTACCTCGACGACGAAGAGAACGACAAGCATCTCTTCTACTGTAAGCCATTGTCATTCAATCCTCGTCTCACCTTGCAATGTCACTAACGTATGCCGCAGGGTTCTTCGAGTCCCGTAATGACCCCAAGAACGACCCCGTCGTCTTGTGGCTCAACGGTGGCCCAGGCTGCTCCTCCCTGACTGGCCTGTTCCTGGAGCTTGGCCCTGCCTCTATCGACAAGAAGCTCAAAGTTGTCAGCAACGAGTGGGCGTGGAACAACAATGCCTCGGTTATCTTCCTTGACCAGCCGGTTAACGTTGGTTACTCCTACTCCGGTTCTTCCGTCTCTAGCACGGTCGCTGCCGGCAAGGATGTCTATGCTCTGCTCTCCCTCTTCTTCCACCAGTTCCCTGAGTACGCCAAGCAGGACTTCCACATTGCGGGCGAGTCGTACGCTGGCCACTACATCCCTGTCTTCGCCTCTGAGATCCTTTCCCACGAGGATCGCAACATAAACCTGAAGAGTGTTCTGATTGGCAACGGCCTCACTGATGGCTGGACCCAGTACGGATACTACCGCCCCATGGCTTGCGGCGAGGGTGGTTACCCCGCCGTTCTCGACCAGGGCGAGTGCCAGGCAATGGACAACGCCCTTCCCCGCTGCCAGAGCCTGATCAAGAACTGCTACGACTCCGGCAGTGTCTGGTCTTGCGTACCGGCCAGCATCTACTGCAACAACGCCCTGATTGGCCCCTACCAGCGCACTGGACAGAACGTCTACGACATCCGTGGCAAGTGCGAGGACAGCAGCAACCTCTGCTACTCTGCCCTTGGCTGGATCAGCGAGTACCTGAACCAAGACAACGTCAAGGAAGCTCTCGGCGTCGAGGTCGACAGCTATGACAGCTGCAACTTTGATATCAACCGTAACTTCCTCTTCGCTGGCGACTGGTTCCAGCCCTTCCACCGTCTTGTTCCCAAGCTCCTTGAGAAGATTCCCGTTCTCATCTACGCCGGTGACGCCGACTACATTTGCAACTGGCTCGGCAACCGCGCTTGGACTGAGGCTCTCGAGTGGCCTGGTCAGAAGGCCTTCAACAAGGCCGAGGTCAAGGGTCTGCACGTCGGAAAGGGTGAGGAATACGGAAAGGTCAAGTCCAGCGGCAACTTCACCTTCATGCAGGTCTATGGCGCCGGCCACATGGTTCCCATGGACCAGCCCGAGGCTTCCTCCGACTTCTTGAACCGCTGGATTGGCGGTGAGTGGTATGCTTGAATGCGACCACAGTAATGAGGTTGTACGAAATGATAGAGTGAGTTGCGTAGAGCAGACTGCCACAACTGTAAACGCTTGGATAGGTCCGTAGTATAAGAAATAAACGTCTTCGAGTTTGCCAACACCAGAAACCATGTCATTTGGCTAATGCGCAGGTTCCGGCGCCGGTCCGGCGCAGTAGAAACTATTACGCTATCAAAAACATGAGGTTTTTTTTTTTTTTTTATTTTTTTTATTTTTTTTTATTTTTACAACAAAAACATCTGGCTTGAAGATTAATGTTGATGTGATGAGCGTTCTGGTTGAGGGTGTGGTTAAGGCGACCATTGGGGGGGGGGATAACCTGACCAATTACCCACTTATTTAAATGAATTATGGGTCTATCTGACCAATTTTATGATTGGCTGTATTGAGGTGAAGTGGGTCTACCTGACCATGGAATTTTTAATCGGTCAGGTGCACGGACCAGTTACTGATTGCGTCCCACTACTGATTGGGGTGCATACCCCATATTAATATTTAAATCCCTATTCCATTCTGATTCTCTTCCTTTTCCCTCCGTAACCCTTTCAAATCGTATGCGCCCCCCCCCCCCCCCCCCCTGGCGCACCGATTCCTAATTACTTCCGAATCAGTTCAGAAATCCGACATCATGCCTTCATACAAGGATTCTGTAAGTACAATGGAATCGGTTTAGGATCGATTCAGAATCAGGACGATTACAAGACCTACAAAGAAGGTCTTCTCCAGGGCGGCAAGAACCACCGCATGGAGGATCTTCCTCCCTTCGAGTTCAACGAGGTAAGTGATTCAGAAGCGATTCCACAACGATTCAGAAACAGTTCTGAATCGATTCAGGCTGGCGAAGTCAAGCTCGCCCCTGGCGAACTCTACTGCCGCTGGGTGGTAGATCCAGCAGCATCACGTGCACCAAGGTAATTCAGAATCAGTTCCGGATCAGTTCAGAACTAATTTCGAATCGATTAGACGGAGCGGTTCTCGAGCGAGTCGAACCTCAAGAACCACATCAAGAAGCACAAGCTCGACGGGGTCCCGGCCAAGGTTAAGAGCCGCAAGTCCGGCGCGAACTCCGTCGAGGAGAACGATGATGCAGCTGGTAAGTGATTCTGAACTGATTCTGTACCGATTCTGAACTAGTTCTAAACTGATTATGAATAGAATTCTACGACCGCATCCACGGCATCGCCATCGGCGCTCGCGATGACAGCGAGCTGCAGACTCCTTCCAAGAAACGGAAGGCGCAGACCCCTCCCCCCCTTCTTGCCGTGCCCACGCGCAAGCGGGGCAACCAAACTGTGGTAAGTGATTCTCAATCGATCCGGAATCCTTTTGGAACCCATTCTGAATCGATTCTGCAACAGATCAACTTCGCCGAAATGCGTCGCGCCGCCGGCTTCCCTGCCAAGGGCAAGTGCACCTACTGCACCACTGCCCGCAATGCTAGTAAGTTTAGAATCAGTCTTGAAGCAGTTCAGAACTAATTACGAATCGATTCAGAATGTCCTCCCGCCCTTCGCGATCAGGAATGTGAGGTCTGGGCCCGCTTTGAGGATGATGAAGAAGATGAGGCCTGAATCAATTCAGGATCGGTTTGGAACCAGTTTGGGACTTCTTTCGGGACCGATTTGGAACCGCTTTAGAATCAATTCTTTATAGATACCCGGGGCGTTCGGTTTTTAAGCTTTTTTTTAAAAAAAGCATTTCTAAATCAATACAGAAATGATTTAGAATCGATTCTCTACCTATCCTATATGCTATCAAAGTCCTAACCTTCTCCGCCGCTCTGCTAACTCTAGTTCCTTTTCTTGTAGTTCAAGCTTCTGTTTTTCAACTAGAAGTTTTCTTGCTTCTAATTCTAATCGCTTTTCTTCTAATTCTAGACTTTGCTTCTGTAAGTCAAAGTCATCTTGTTGTCCCTGTCTGATTTCGTTTCTTAAGTTAGAAATAGATGTTCTTTGGAGAGTATTTGACCTAATAACCCCAGAAGATGAAGCATGGGAAAGACGAGGGGATCGATTCCGAATCGCTTCTGAAAGACTTCGGGATCGATTCGGAATTGAGGATGGACTTCTTGAATTAGTACCCCTTGAGGGACTAGACGTAAAGAGTCGGGTTGATAAAAGCCTTTCAACACGTTCATTATCTAGTTGCTCACGGGATTCCCTCTGGCGTTGGCGTTTAAGTTCTAAAATAATTTAGAAATAATTATTAATAAATATTAAAGTATTTTTAACTTACGTAAACGGCTTGCAGCTGTATTATAACGGCTAATAATAGAAACATCTTTCCAGGAAAGCCGGATTCCTAGTGTTGTAAACACTGTATCCTGCTCTAAAAGATGGCGATCGTATTCTGCACATCTAAGTACTTTTGAATTAGTTCTCAACGCATTCCAAACCAATTCCGAATCAATTCAGAAGGGATTCCAAACTTACTTCTGGATACATGTAAGTAATGGTAAATACCGATTACTCCAAGTATATGAGGCTTCATGTAAAACCTCAACAGTATTTGTATTAGGTATGAATTGACTCCAATCTGATAAGGGGATTTTAGAGCAGTTCTGATTAAGTCCAGCTGCAATTGTTTTTCGGGCTTTATGTTGAGCCCATGCTTTTATTTGAGGTTCAGCTAAGTAAATTAGTTCCCAAGTGATTCTGAAGCGATTCGGAAGCGATATAGAATTGTGGGAATTGCCGGGCATGGTTGTACTGAATCTGTGATGTAATTAGTTCTGAAGTAGTTCGGGATCGATCCCGGATCGATTCAAAAGTAGTTCGTTTACCATTCTCCAAGGCGATTTAATATCCTCCTCATTTAAAGTCCTTATATCAATAACATAAAGGACTCCATTCTCACTTGTTTCTGGATATTCTATAAATGTAGGTAGAAAGATTACTTTTTGAGCAAGTACATGAACATCCCTGAGGCTATTATGCCCAGAACGGGTTGCCTCTGATGAAACAAGTGTTGGAGGTATTTCTGAATCGGTTTCGAGTTGATCCTGAATCGATTTAGAACTAATTCCAAAGTCGTTCTCATATATCCCTACCTCCTCATTTACTGGTAAGCCAGACTGGGCCTGGGCTGGTAGTTGATAGTAAAGATTTAAGTCTTCTTCAGCTTCTGCATCAAGACTAGTAGGTTCTAATAGAGGACTTATTCCCTCTAGGCGAGGGAAGAGATTTTCAATCGATTGAAGAGCCATTGTAAATCGATTCGGAACGGATTTGGAAGCGTTTAAATGTCGTATGTTCTTACAAAAAGTATGTCAAGGGTGAGGTTTCAAACCGCGCTAAGGAATTTCAACCTGACCATAGCTAACTAGCTGACCATGGTCAGCTGATCTCAGGGTAGCCCCACAAATCACAAAATAAGTGGGTAATTGGTCAGGTTATCCCCCCCCCCCAATGGTCGCCTTGACCACACCCTCTTCTGGTTGCGCTGTGTCCGGTTTGACTAATGGTGTGCCGGAGATGAGTCGAAATGACGGTATTAGTCACCACGGCGCATTTCAAACAAGTTTGTACCCGCAAATCAACGTCAGACCAGCCAGCACTGCCTGGCAGCCTACAGATATTTCACCGCCTGCTGCCCCTCCTTTGGCAGCTGCGCCGTACTACACATTACCCCGCCAAAACTTTTCTGTCGACGACAGTCGAACAGCTGCGACAACCAGCCATTTACGCTTGTTTAATGTACATTCTTTTCCCTGTCATTTTTTAAAGTAAAGAAAGAATTGTCGCATAGCACCACTGATACGCATCTGGGAGGCGCGGAAAAAAAAGTGCCACCGAATTCCTCGCAAACAAATACCATTTACAACAAAAGGAAATAGAGACTGCCGCCGCCGCTGCAGAAACCGCCAACATGTCGCGGATCAACCTGCCGTCGAACCAGATCAAGCTGACCAACGTGTCGCTTGTGCGCCTCAAGAAGGGCAAGAAGCGCTTCGAGATTGCGTGCTACAAGAACAAGGTCATGGAGTGGCGGTCCGGCATCGAGACGGACCTGGACAACGTGCTGCAGATACCCAACGTCTTCCTGAACGTCTCCAAGGGCCAGACCGCTCCGAAAGAGGACCTGGAAAAGGCTTTCGGCAAGGGCAAGAGCACAGACGACATCGTGCTGGAGATCCTGAAGAAGGGCGAGATGCAAGTGGGAGGTAAAGAGCGGGCGGAGCAGCTTGAGCGGGTGCATAACGAGGTGATTGGGATCGTCGCGAGTAGGCTCGTTGATCCGAGGACGAAGAGAGTTTACACGACGGGCATGATTGAGAAGGCCTTGGACATGTTGTCTTCGGCGGCGCACGGCGCCGCGGAAGATGGCAAGAAGGGCAGCAACGCGCCAAGCGGGGCCGGCACGCCCGCGGGCGGGGAGGAAGGAGAGGCCAAGCCGAGGGAGAAGAGCATCCACTGGACCGGCGTCGTGACGACCAAGTCGGCGAAGAGTCAGGCGCTGGAGGCGATGAAGGCGCTGATTGCGGCGCAGCCTATCCCCGTGCAGAGGGCGAGGATGAGGCTGAGGGTTACGTGTGCCACGAGCGTGCTGAAGCAGGCCGTCAAGGACAAGGCGCCCAAGACGGAGGAGGGGGGCGAGACGGCGAAGGCGGGGACGGTGAAGGATCGGATCCTGGGCTTCGTGGAGCAGGTCGAGAGCCAGGACGTGCTCGGGAGCGAGTGGGAGGTTGTCGGGTTCGTCGAGCCGGGTGCGTTCAAGGGGCTCAGCGATTTTATTGCAGGAGAGACGAGGGGGATGGGACGGGTCGAGGTTCTTGACATGGCTGTCGTTCACGAGGATTAGACGCGAGAGGTTAGGATATGCGATACGATTATATATACCCCCTTTTAGACCGAGGGTTGGGTTTTTTTTTTTTTTTCTTTCACAAAATAACTGATCGTTTTTTCTCTTTTTCTTCCCTGCACTCGGTTGTTTGCATGTTATGATGCCCTATGTGTTGGCGGGGATGGTGATGCTTGAGTGCGAGCTGGTGTAGACAACTGGGCGTGGATCAACAACTGCCTATCTGTCTCGTCACAGTCACTTACATCCAATCCATGATTAATAATACCGGCGACACACAAGCTCGGTAGTCATGTCTTTGGTAGGTAGTTGAATGGTGGAGCGAGAAAAGAGCTGGTGTGGTGGTACGTGATTTTGGTCTAGGTTGGGGACGCTTGATGGTTGGCATACTCTGTACATCACAAAACCCCATTAGATTTCGCCCTGGTATTTCCGCCAGACGTCATGGCAGACCGAACTCTTATCTAGTATAGTATTCAAGTCCTCTGACAGGCTTAAAAGATCCGCTCGCTTCGGGACCGCACATGTATCAGTTTTGTTCATTTGAAAAAAAGGACTAGAGGTCGATATGTCACTGGGTTCCACCTAATAGTATGCACCAATTCACGTTTCGCTTTCACTATTGGATATGGGCGGTAGATTGTACGGTATCAAGCAGTAAAATCCCATTTTGAACACCAAAAATCACATACGTCTCACGTGACCCAAATGTACTTTTTTAGCTTTTTGTTTTTTGGTGTGATGGACTCTTCCGTTCGTTATCTAGAGATGCCACCATCCTGCGCAGAATAGCAATCCCCTCGTTGTAATGCAGCAGAGAATCATCATCATGTAGATGGATGAGAGAGAAAACCAAGCCGAATCACGCCGCCTAATGTCCCCCGCACCCAGAAGCTCGTCAAAACATTTAGCCACCCTTCTTCTTGGAGACACCGACCGTACGGCCGCGGCGACCAGTGGTCTTGGTGTGCTGGCCACGAACGCGGAGACCCCAGTAGTGACGGAGACCACGGTGGGCGCGGATCTTCTTGAGGCGCTCGAGATCGTCACGGAGCTTGGAGGCGACACCGTTGGCGAGGATCTGGCTGTCCTTGCCGTCGACAATGTCGCGCTGTCTGTTGAGGAACCACGCGGGAATCTTGTACTGGGTGGGGTTCTGGATGATGGTGACGATACGCTCAAGCTCTTCCGAGGTGAGCTCACCGGCGCGCTTGTTCAGGTCGACTATGTCGAAAAGTCAGCATTCGACTCGTTTTGGCCTGTCCAGCAAGGACGAGTTGCTCTTCGTTGCGGTTGTATGGATTCGGGAAAGAGGGAAAAAACGTACCATCGGCCTTCTTGCACACAATGTTGGAGTAACGACGACCGACACCACCAATCTTGGTGAGGGCGTACATGACCTTCTCCTGACCACGAACGTTGGTGTCTGCAAGCTATGTTAGCCTCCGTTGTCCTTCTTCTCATATTCATCTCGGCTCAAAGCGCGATCGGGGATTGTCGTCGGGAAAAAAACGTACTCAGAAGACGAAGGATGAACTGGAAGTTCGCTGTGACGAAACGGTTAGCGGATTGCGCTGCATTGCGACCGATCTGTAAAAGGTTGACGAACTCTTCTCCCCCGAAACGAGCGACATGTTGGGCAACTGTCGGCGATGGCTGCTCCTAAATGTCGGTGTTGATGGTTGACGACGGAATCGGGATACAAACGATAGGTGAAGTGGTGCGCTTGGGTTGGGATAATTTTTTGGCGTGGGCTCGCTAGGGTAGGGTCACGTGTTTTCCGCAGCCGCAGGCGCACCGCACGAAAAATTTCCTTGTGTTTCGTTGGCTCCCTGCTACGCAACTCCACTGATCCAAGTGGGGATGGGGTTTTTGTCAATTACAATTGGCCAGTCTCGCCCTCCGATTCTCGACCAGTCCGAGTCCACAAATTTGATGGTCCCAGCCGGGGATATGTGCAGGGAAAGAGACCCTCGCCACAAGGGGTTCCTACACAACACTGAATAAGACCCAACCGTGTGTTGCGTGGTTTAGAGTCCGACTATGCCTAACAGCATCTGCCAGGCTTGGTTTACGAGGTTCTTCTCTGTCTGCTTGCCTATAAACAACCTCATTCACCTCAATAAAAATTTGACTACTAAGGCTGGTCCTGTTGTCTACGGACTGAAGAAACCAGTCATACTATGTCTCCTCTCGATTTGTTAACTGTTTGACGATGATAAAGATTTTCGAGATCAGTCTTATTATCAATGTACACGCGGGCTCGCAAGGACATACTCCGGTAAGTAAGGTTTCTCAGTGTCATTCAGCATAAGCAAACCTTTTGTGCTGCTCTGTTCAGTTTCATTTAGGATGGATTGCAATCCAACAGCTCGGTGTTATTCAAGACACCCATAAGGAGTATAGAATCATGGCATGCATGCCTGACTACAAATTGTTTTGTCCCTTTCTTCTAGGTTTGTCTTTTCATCGCCACTAAATTGAGTTTTCTGGTTTGTCAATTTCACAACGTTGCTGATTCCCTTTCCCTCATTTTGCCAAACCCCGTAAAGAGCCTTTTGAAATTTCCTTTACTCATGATACCGGCGGAGCTGCCAGCTGAACTCATTGTGGAGGGGCTGGCTGTCCCTGATTCGCCCCCGCAATAATCGCCGCCGGCGGAACCGGGGCCGGAGCCCCCGCTGCAGCTTGACCGGCCGACTGGCCTCCAATGTTAGCCCCAGGTCCTCCGGGATTCGATCCTATGATGACTATACCAGTTCCTGTGCTGCCTTGCGGCGGCGGAGAAGCGGCAGCGGGTTGGGCTTGATTTGCCCCTGCAACAATCGCAGCTGGTGGTTGTGGCGCCGCAGCGCCTTGAGCAGGTTGAATGGAAGGCTGTCCTTGGTTCGCTCCAGCAGCGATGGCACCCAGTGGCTGCCCTCCATTCGCCTGTGGCGGCGCTACGAGTTGAGCTGGAGGAGATTGTCCTTGGTTCGCTCCAGCAGCGATAGCACCCAGTGGTTGTCCTGTGTTTGCCTGCGGAGGCGTCGCGACTTGAGCTGGAGGCTGAACAGCAGCGGGGGGAGGTTGGCCCTGGTTCGCTCCCACGGCAATAGCTCCAAGAGGCTGCCCTACCTGCGCCTGGCCCGTATTGTTGAAGATCCCCAGTCCAGATAGACCTGCAAGTTGCGCGGCGGCAATTTGTTGAAACGAAGAGAAGATTGCAGATGCTGCCCCGGCCAGTGCTGGGTTTCCGCTTGCTGCATTGGCAGCTGACGAAGCGCAATCTGACAAAAACGTCGCCGAATTTTCGACAAACAAACCTTGCTGGTTAGGGAGAATGATAGCCGCTGGGTCTGGGACAGAAAGGCTGAGCTGCGGAGCCTGTGTTCCTGCAGGAAGGATAATGCTCTGGCCAATTTGCCCGAAGGGAGCTGTTTGATCGAAGGATGCAAGCCTGAGTGTGCTGTCAACGGCATCTGGCCCAGATACTGCAGAGGCTTTGAAATTGTCGTCAGTGTTGTTGGATCGCGAACCAAAAGGAGGTGCTAGGGCAACTCTGGCTGCTCCGAAAGCGTTTGACTGAGAGGTTGCCGCCTGTTTCGTTGATATTTGCATAGGTATCGGATCCGTGACCATCACCAGTGCCTGCTTTCCTGGCTGGCCGTTATCCGCGAGAAGCTGGTTGACGAGATATCGCTTGTTCTGCTGACCCTGGTTCCTGTTATCAACAAGGCCGGTGACGGTAACGATGATTGTGTTCTATCCAATGTCATCTTAGCCTACAATTTCTCACCCGAGAGAGCTGAAAATCTACAAGAACTCACTGCTTGAGGGAATTGGGCCTTGAAGTGGTTGATCCGGATGGTATCCTTGACCGTCTGCAATTGGGTCGCGAGTGCGAGCTGCGATTGAACCAGCGCTGCTAGTTCTCTCTCATTCTCTCGCTGCAGCTGGTCAAGTTTGTCAAGATTCTCCTGCACAATAATGATGTTTGGTCTGTTGATGTTTTGGATTATTGTCACGTCTCCGTTGCGGTTTCCATTTCCTTTGTTTTGCTTCTGGCCCTTATTGCCATTGTTGTTTTTGTTTTCTCTGTCCTTATTCTGGTTCTTGTATTGCTTCTGTCCTCCCTTATCTGCGGCTTTAGTATCTTGCGCCGGAGCTGTCATGGCTAGTTAGCCTCTTGTCGCAAGAATTTCATTTCTACTAAGGGGCAATTTACCAGCAGAAGCAAATGAGCTTAGGACCGCTAGGGCAGTAAGAAGATGCTTGTAATGCATGTTGTTTAAACACATGAACAATTAAGAAATAAACAGACAAGATAGGTTGCCAGGCACAGCCGACTAAAAGTGGTGATTATGAATGAACACAAATGAATGAGAGTATTAGGTGACCTCTAGGGTTCACCGGAAGAAACAAGCAGACCTGCAAGCTAACTGTGAGGCCAAAAGATTTACTCGTACGAAGCAAATACTATGATCTCACGTCGTCTACTTCGACGGGGGAGCGGATCTGGTGGTCCAACTTTATGTATAAACTCTAACCACTAGTTGTCGAGATGGCAATCCAGCCCCCCTTCGATGAATCCCTCCTGCCGCCGGGATTTGCGTATCCCGTCTTCCATGAATGAGTGCTTCCGCAAAGCGAGCGACTCGTGGATAGGTAGGCGGGTGATACGGCAGGCCCTGGTCCTTGAAGAGTAAAGCAGCTGTTGCAGCATAATCAAAGCAAGGTGGACGTGATGGTTCAAGAAACAGATTTTATCGGGTGAAGAGGCAAGGGGAGGGCTGCTTAGAAGAGGGGGCATAGGGCTTGAAGCCGTCTGCCCGACTCTGCGACTCCTGCCATCCAACCTTGACAGACACTGACGTGCCGTTTGAGCCGGACTCTGTGCACCTGTCAAAAGACGCCTCTCATGAGTGACAGGACGGGCTTCAGCACTATGCCACCAATCATATCCTTCACCTGCCAATCCTAGGCGTATTCGCAACCCACGCGAAACGATAGGGTGGAAGAGCCTCATCCGGAACTTGTGCGATCGGGGCATTTTCTTACCTATATTGTCGAGTCAGGAAAAGGCGAGGGTCACGTCCTACATTTCTACTACACTGCGACAAAAACGTTGCGAAGATGGGATATTAATTACTGCGTCTCCCGCCATAGCGCGGTCGCCAAAATATATTTCAACTAGGGTCTGCGAGAGGGTTATGTTCCGCCGCATCACGAAGTTGTTCCTGTAAATGAACAGGTCGAAACGACGATGCGGCTCTTCCAGGCCTGGAATATCGGATTGGAAGAACATGTTGTAATTTGAGTTAGGCTCGAACCGATGCTGTTGCCAAGGTATGGGCGCCAGCGTGAGTCTGTTACGTTTAAACTGGCAACACCCTTACAGGGGTTGAAGCTTGTTTTCTCCGAACCAGGCACAGTTTGACTGTAGGCAACTGGATCATACTCGAAACACTGATGGCCGGCCCTAACCCCTGTCCGAGTTTAGTAACATAACAAAAACAATGCAACTGAAGGGCGTGCAAGGATACTGCGCCAACCGTGATTCCGTGGCGAGTTACCTCGTATAAGCATTCTTGTAATAAGCATGTTTTTGTTTGACGAGTTGGTGGACTAATTCGCCACAGCTCGGAGTTCGTAATGCCACCCCGATCAAGTTCCGTAGATCGCGTTTCCCAACCATAACATTGCCAACAGTACCACAATTCTCAGCTTCAGAGCGCCCCTCGAGACAGACGCGCCGTCAAATGTTGCACTCTCCGTCGCCTTCTCTGCTTTCTCTGCTGCCACTGCAGTCTGCCACGGAACAGGGCTCTTTTTACCATCCTTGACGGGCCGCCCCAAAGTGACGTGCTCCACGTCCTCCCGGAACAATGTACCCGTCAAATGGCAGGCGATTCGCCGAGTAGCACTGTGGCTCTTGGCACATGTCCAAAGGAATACAGTGGCGATGATGATGATTTCAGCTGACCTGGGAAGGTAGCCCTGGCGCCCGATCCCCAAGACTCCAGCACCGTCGCTTGCCAGCCAGATGTGGTGGTGAAGAACATACGTCTCAAGAGACATTTGGCCCAATGCCGCAGCAAGTGAAATATGAAGTTGACGTAGACCGTGGAATGAGTTGCGCGTTATGATGGCCGATAAGACGAACCATGGGCTGGTATAGGGGTGGAATGTGTTGTAGGAATCGTTATTCTGGTAAACCTGCGCCGCAAATGCCAATATGATGAAGACAATGAAATAAGCGATGGCGAAGAAGATCACTATCGGCTTCAGCGGTATCGCATCTCGTTCCGGGTACGCGATCTCCAAAAGTCCACGATCCAGCGCGTCGTTGCTTCTTTTAAAGGGAGCCCAGCCGCTGATGCCATGATGACGGCGTTTAAGGACTGATACTCGATGCACAGCAGCAGCAGTGAGGATGCCAAAGTATGGTATAAACCGATCAAGAGCGAAATGTGAGCGTAAAATATCCACATCCCAGTGTATGCTGCTAGTTAACTTGAGGATTCGCAAGAACATCTCGGGAAGGTGGGTACTTTGCACTAGGAAGTTTATGCAGGTTGCAAGTACAACAACTTTGAGGAAAAAAGCTACCGGATTCCCATTGAGAGACCTGAAACAGGCCAAAGTTGCGAAGGTAACTCCGAACCAGAACGTCATGAGTGGCGCGGAGTAGATGATCCATTCGCTAGATGTTGCTAGGCCGAGGACGCAGCTAAGTAGGTTGAGTCGAACCAAGACGTAGGTGACCCTGCGCAGCGAGAAGTCCTCGGTACGAAGAAAATAGGTGGTATGACCGTAGCAAGACAAGAAGATGTAGGTTGCCACCAAAAACTTGTGCACCTTATACATTGCCAATGATTCGGACGCTGCGTGGTAGTTGTACAATAGGATGAAGGCCTGCATCCAACCTTTCCATTCATCCGTCTGTTCTCGTGATAGAAATGAGGTTGCAATAAGGCCTCTCGATGACGACAGAGCAGGCGGACGTGCGCGAAGGGAAAGACCTGCTAGAACACCTAGGCCAATCAAAGGAATGATGAAGTTTAACGCATCAAAGTACTTATCATGCTTGATAAAAAGGTGAGTTCGATCGGTCAGCAGGCAGTAGACAGCGACAGCTACCAACGATGCCGTCGCAAGGAGTATGTCCATCACTTGAGAAGTGTGAATAGATGGAAATGCATCCTGCTTTCGATCCAGGAACAAAACAGGCAATGCTAATATGCTCAGGCCAAGAAGCAACACTTGGATTCTCGAAAGAGAAGGATACGGAGCGCAGCAAGTGATTTGGTTTGCATAGCCCTGTCTGACCAAACCAGCATTGCAGTGGGCGTTAAGGACAATGTCGAGCTTCCTTTCGGCCACAATATCGATTGCGTGAAGTCCGTCATCAAGGAAGGCATCATCATGACCGTCCACCATGGCATTGTAACTTGCAAGAACATGCGAGTGCTCGGCGGTCCGAAGGTGCTCCAAATTCCAGTTCATAGCGTCGATTTTCTCGGGTGTTATTGTTTGTGACCGAAGGCCCAAAAGCTTGTCATAAGCTGGAACCGGAACAGGCGCAACGAGCACATGGTTGGACAATTGCTCGAAAGGTGATCGGGATTCACTTTCAGGTAGCAGTACCAAATGGTCAATATCGCGGTGCAGATACGGCATGAGGTTATTGATGCCTTCTCTGAAGAGCTCCAAATAACGATCGCCGCCCTGCCGGGCTGCCCAAAGGCCAGGAGTACCGGCGACGATGAGGGCAGGTGAGTCCCTTCCCTCTTTTCGGACAAGTCTTTCGTAATCAGCAGAGCCAGGGCGTTCCCGGAATCGAGCCAATTGGCCGAACAGGCTGGTGGAGTTGAGCCAAGGGTCCCAGATAAACTCAAGTTTAACGTCCTCGACCTCCCTCGAAAGATTAAGATGCTTTTCCTTAGAGACGGCGAAGTCGAGGATAGCTCTTTCAGCGGCGTGATGGTCAAGCCTCGTCATGGCGGCGAAGTAGATCTGGCGCATAGTAGAATCACCGATAAAGACCATTCGACGGTCCTTGAAACAATTCGACACATCCTCGCGGGACATTTCACGCATTCGACAGTCTTCGGGTTCCCATTTTTTGAAAACATCCCTCGGTAGGCTAGAGTCATGACTGGAGCGCCATCTGCCGCTCGAAAGCAGGCTCTTACATCTGTACGGATCGTATTGACCTGGCGTGCATGTTAGCGCGTAGCTCAGTTGAGGGCCCAGGCAGGGCCGTTAGAGATCGCACCGAAGACCAAATATTGATAGACGACACAAAAGATGAGGATCACGAGGGAGATCCGAGGCAAGATCCGTACAAAAAATGGCGAGCTCCCTGCGGAGACAGCCAGCCTCTGGACGCGGGACATCGAAGGGGTATCTTGACGGGGAAACAAGCCACGTGCGGCGTGCATTAAGATTCTGGCTGGTGGTAATGACGGCGGCCTAGATTCGCGAGAAACCGCATTCTCTACCGCCTAGTAGCGCATAAACTTGCCAGATCGCTCTACTCGACACTGTATTTGTGACAGCGCGGCTGACGGGCAATGGAAAAGGCACATACAAACATACGCACGCGCCCCGTGATATCGTGCCTATGAATGAGGCGAAGAACGCAGAGGATGGGATGTTGAGAGGATCAGGTTGATGAACTGAACCCCAGCCACGAATCTCAGAGCGCGGCTGCCAGTTCCCTTATAATGCCAACAGAGCCTTGCGCTACGAAAGCCAAGAGACGAACGGATGACAGGGCTGGCGTTGCCAAGATACCGCTACGGAAAGTGACCCGTCCATATTCTTGGGATCTCATTCCTCAGCCTCTCAGGGTGGTAGAATTATTTCCGGAGGAAGTAGTGCATATTTGAGCGGCATTGGCAACGAGGAGAAGGAGGGGGGTAAATGGCAGTCTGCAGCACCTACACTGGCTGTTGGTGAGATGGCAGACCTGAGATAACAGGCTAGAAACCGAAAATGATTTCAGTAACCCCTGTTGCGGGATGCTCCTTCGGGAAAGGTACCACGCGACGTTCTTGTGGGGATTTTAAAGCGGAAACGCAGGCACCACTATACTACGGTAAGACGCTTGCCCCCTTGTCAATGAATGGGACACAGTGTGGGCGCCTACCCGCTACGCTGGTGATTGCAACGGACGGTGTCAGCTGTTAATCACCTAAGTCGGGCAAACACGGTGCGGCCCACCTACTTGGCCAGTGCTGTACCCTGACGGCCAAGAAGGCTCACCGCGACGCACCAACATTTTTTATGGGCTGAACAAGAGTTTTCTTCTTGTTCTAATTTTTTTCCTCCTCGCAACATGTTGTCGTTCTCCCTTTTCCCCCTATCACCCTCCATCTGCATTCGGCGTCTCGTTGCAACCGGCGGGACTGCCACTTGGTGTTGATGCCTATCATGACTTGATAGTATATCCAACAATTGCCTTTATCTCTAGGCTACACACAGGAATTTGAAAATGGCAGTTCCAAATGGTAGGTTATTTGGCCGGCAAGTCTCGCCTTGGCGCTTTTTTTTTCATTCTCTTTTTTTCTCGAATGATGAACCCGCTCGTCTTTTGCCATAGCTCGATCAGTCAGCTTTCTCAACTGCTGATCTTGAGCCGGATACACTGCACCTCGGTGCTGTGTACAAGACTAGAGTAAACTCCAGACAATGCTTTTTGAGTACGGAACCTTTAGAGTTGAAGTGAAGGCTTTCGTAATTTATCTGTTGTCATATCTTTCGCAAATTTTACTACTTTCTTCCCATTTCCTTTGTACATCCGGAACTTTGCCAGTAACATGCTCCTGCTCACTGTTTAGTAATTACCATTTCTGCGTGTGCGTGTCTCTTGCGCACAATATTAGATCCAGTCATTGCTTTATTCAGACTTGATGTCTTTCTCTATCTTAGAGCTGCCTGACTCCAGAAATTCCTTGCAAGGTTGACAGTATGCATGTTACTCCCGTCCACATCCAGACCACCGCCTCTCGAGACTTCCTAATGCACAACATCATTTCCTCTGATCTATTTTGTGGAGCTTGGTCGTCTAAGACTATTGCTTGAGCTTCGCTGATAGCAGCGACAGCAGACCCTGCCGATCGAACTCGCTTAGCTGGACTCTCTGGGCCGAGCTGAGATGCTGAACCCTAAGCTTCCGGATGCCACGAATGCTCAATAGTTCATCGGCGCCGAGACTGTCCATTAGTCTGCGGTTCTTATACGATAAGGCAAAGTACGTAGCCAAGCTACCCTCTCTTGCGTTAAGTGTCGTCACCGTAGCTTTCGAGATTTTGATCGTGAGGTTCCGAAGGTTGGGGCATTTGGCCAGCAGGTCAAAAGCCTGGTCAGAGACAGGTCCACACCAGTGCACATGAGCATTGCGCAAGTGGTGGAAAAGCTTCGCGTGACTTTTGAGGTTGGAGAGAAGGGTGCAGCAGCAGGCAAAGTACCATGTTCTGTGGCGGTAGAGAACGTCATAGAACTCGTCACCCAAAGACTTGCCCAGGAGTCGGAAGCACTTCTTCTGAGCCTCAGTAACCATCGCAAAGGCATACTTCTCTGGGTTGACACAGGCACAGTTGCCCCACTCGACTGGCACCAGGGTCGAAGGTGGATTGTACTGATCGATGATCAAGCTGAGTATGCGGGCACGGATTTCCTTGGGTAACTTCAAGAACGGAAATCCTTCAGGCGGGGGAGGGCGATCTGTTGCGTTAAAGTTAGCATCTGAACTGGGAAGCAAAGAAGGCCCGGGTCTCAAAGCTGAGAGGGTACAAGCAAGCTGCTGTATGAGGGCAAAGGATTATAATACTTACTGGCAATGTCCAGAATCTCAGTGCACATCTCGATGAGCTGAAGACAGTACTGTGTCTCCTTCGGCTTTTCCTGCATCAGGGATGCAACCTTGCGGATGGTATCGGTAATGGCCTTGCGGTTCTCGAGACTCAAACGAACCTTCCGGCCAAGCTCAGCCTCATCCATATAATTGGCCTTGCAATCATCCAGATACTGTAGCAGCTGTTTGGCATTCGTGGAGAGACCATACTTGGTGGGGATGTTGCTCATCGCAATAATATACCATTTCTTGCTGCCCACGATCCAACCGCCACGTGCATTCAATGAAGCCATCTTGATGAATAGCCTCACAACCTGACACTTCTTTAAGTGGTCTCAGCAATTCCGTGAACTTGTAATGTCCTTGGTTATTGTTGGAGTAGATGTGAGTTTTGTGCAGATTGATAGGTTGTTCAACGAGACCCTGAATGGTTGTCTTGCGTGTTGGTTAATCGGTCGGGCTGCAGACGCTGTTTCAGTTAATTATTACCACGATAATTAACGTCAAGGGAAAACTTACTCTAGATGAAAGGGCATTCAAGGGTTTGCTGGATTGTTGCGAGGCAATGAACCCTACAAAGCACTTCGCATAGGTGCTTGAGTTTGAGGTCTAACCACAAGTGTTATTCAGAGTTTGTTGAGAGGTGATTTCCCTAGTATTTCGGTGACAAAGAGTAGGTTGAAGGCTTGGTTTTAAAGGTGTCTGCTGTGAAAGGTCCTGGTGATCTGTGACTGCGATAACAGAGCTATTTTGTTTTTCGTTGATGCGGCCGGAAAAAAGTCAGCTGGAGGTAAAGTGACTGAAAAATAGTCACTGTTCCCTAGATAGTATGTTGTGACCCGACGCGACGCGGTCAAGTAAGACGCCCAGACGAAGCTGATATACGAGCAGAAGGAGAGTCTTGTATGAGTGAGAGTAGACACCGGCCAATGAAATAATTATCATAGGCCGGTGAGAGGGTTTATCGTCCGAGGTCAGCCAGTTTGCGTTGTGGAAGGAGAAAAACCAAATACAGCCGGCGTGGAAGTATGAGATTATTTGGTGGGCGGCAAACTAAGAAGGAGGCAACTGGAGCCCGTAAAGAGAAGTTTGGGGCAAAGTAACGGATGTGCCCAAAGAAAGAAAGAAAAAAAAAAATTGAAGCTGGCGTGCTGAGAAACCGTGTTCAGGGAGGTACAACAAGATAGTCGGTCGGTCGGCTCTTGCCTTGACAGTCCCTATATGACCTAGGTGCCCATGATAGGTAAGAAACAATTGTTGGGGGGAGTAGGTAATAACCCCTTGATCCAAGGCAAAGGGCCGAGGGATAGGAGTTAATTGCTAGCTGTATTAATCGATTGACCTTCCGGACAGAAGACGTAACAAAAAACAGTTACTACTTTCATCTACCCACGTCCGGTCTATCAGTAGTAGATCATAGGCTCTTTGGAGATTGAGACGTAGTGCAGACGAGGTGGAATCATTTGTAGTATATTCGAATTATTCAGTTATCTGCCCATATTCGTAGGCCCAAGGCCCAACCAGTTTCCGACTACTCACGAGCATTAGCTATACAGACATTATCATTCAAACATGAACACCTTGATACCGGTCTCTACTTTGAGCACCTGGTGAGGTAAAACAGATCGAATATATCTCCCCAAGAATATATCTCCCCAAATTTGCTATATTCGTCCCACAAAAAATACAAACCAAACTCCACGGCGATGCGTATTAGATTGAAGGCCATTGCGTACTTCCTTCGTCATACAACTCTAAAATCTCTGGTCCTCCTCAGTCAGAAGGACACACCATTCCTCAAGAGCCATCCTTATCAACCGATTCTTGCGGTCGCCACACTGTTATGTCTCGAGGTGCCTGGGCTCACACCATTGTTGTAGTGGCTTGAGCGCACTTGATCGTGACTCGGTTGGCTCTTGCCAAAAGTCAATGTGAAGCCGTTGAGAATCTCTTGGTGTCTGAGGTTGGTCTCGCTGAAGGGGCGTTCGCGAGGGTCGGGCTTTTCCTTTGAAGCCTTCTTCTTGGGCTTCTCATCCTTCGTTGAGCGCCATCCTAGCGTCCTAGCAAGGCGGAGAGCGGGAGACTTGGGGTCTGATGGTGAGCGGCCATTGGTTTGGCTAGCTTCCGAGATGGATTTGCGGCGGCGGAAATGATCCCGGATGGCCATTATGAACAAAACTGATATGGAGGTAAAAGTCGCCAGATGTAAGGAGAAGTCGAAGTAGTAGCGGCAATCAGTCAACGTAAGTGCCTTGAGTTATGTAGATGGCAAGTGATGTAGCGATGTGAGTTGAAGACTGACGTTTATTAAGTGGTTCAGGTCTTGGCTGATGTCTATATTTGTATGTTGATCTGAGGATGCTAGGGCTAAGCAAGAGGGGAAGAGGAGGAAAGGGCCGCCTGTGGTATTTAACAAAAGATTGAAAGGAACGCAGCTCATGGGACAATGTAGCGGCTAGACGGATGTGGCAATCACAAAGAAGGCACCGTTAAGGGTGACCCGAGAGGGTGGGATGAAATGTTCTTTCGAAGGCCTTCCAAAGACTCGCGTTGGTGGGATCGGCAGAGGAAGCCTGCAGGACGGGATCCCCAGCTACACACCCCACGACACCACCACCAGACATGACTACTTTTTTCGGTTGTTTGCGGGCCGGCGTCATTGAATGCCGGTCGACGTCATCCCAAAACCTCTGGCTCAACTGCTGCTCTTGATCGAAAGACTTATTGCCTGTACTCGTCGCCGATAAGACAAAGCGCGATGCTCGCTTCTCGCCGCTGATTGAGGATGGTCTTTTACGCGATGAAGCGGTCTCCGACGGTCTCGACCCGACCATAGCAGCCATTGTGCTAGAGCTTAGCCATCCAGAAGTGTATTCTTTCAGGAATTCGACCTGCCCCGGTAGCCCCGACTAGGCCGCTTAGTGATGGGGAAGCCTGGACACAAGCCATGTCTTACTTGTTCTATGGAATCTCAAATACAAGGAGCTATTTAGTGACACCTTATGCCTCTAAGGATGAGGGAAATCCCGATTGTGTTTGCTAAAGAGACATTGATTGGTGCATTTGTTTCTAGCCCGCCAAACCATTACCGGAACGCCACTCTAAGGAAAGGCTTAACCGTCCGTCATGGCTATCAACAAAGACCTTCCAAACAACATTCAAGTTGAATGAACAGTGATGCAGACAAAAAAAAAAAAGATTGCATAGTGCATGGATGCCCGTGATGCCAACTGTCGATGTTCCCTGATCGACGCAACAAATCAGCGAGATATGCATTCAGCTCCAAAAATACTGGCGCTGCTGGAGCCAAGACCACCAAGAGCTGCAAGTCCCCAGACCAGAGCTGCGGACTCCCAATCTAAATCTGTATCAGGCAGTCTATCCCCTTCAACACCGTAGAAGCTTTCAACGGGGCTTGGATTATATGCAATCTCTAGTGTCTTGCCAAATTCTGCTGTGGCTTTTCGACTCCGAGCTTTGCGAGGCTCTTTAAGGGCAAACGCTTCTGGGATATTCGCCCCGTCAGACTTCGCTTTCGCTGAGAGGCCTTGGCGTTGTGTGGAGGCCGAGCCGTCATAGCTATCTGGTTCTGCTTCCGCTTCCGGCGTTGAGCTGCCGTTGCCTGCCGGCAGTTCGGCTGATGGCTGTGCTTTAAAGGGCCTTTTCTGGACGAGCGGAGTTGAGGAGGCGAGAATGTCGTTCACATCGAGCACACGTGTTGCGGCCCATAGCCCCTGGCTGACACCACTCAGCAAAACGTCTGATGCCACTGCTGCTACGACAGGGTGGTCGGATGCTGATCCCAAGACCTTTCCGAGAGCCGTTGTAGTGCGCTCCCATGTCGACCGCGACTCCTTATCAAAGGGGAAAAATCGACTGTGGCGATGATAGTGAGCATCTGGTGCGTTGTATGACAGCCCCAGGGCAGTTCCTTTGACATGGAATACAAAGCTTGCCGTGGATAGAAATCTGAACAAATCGATAACAACCCCATATGTTTCGTGGTAATCAGAGAATACAGCTCCCCAGCTGACAGGAACGACCACAGGAACAATTAGAGGTGCGAACGTCAAAATTCGCTCAAAGATGGCCACACTCGCAAAGTTTGCCATTCCTGCTGTCGAAGGAGCCCAGTATATCAAGACATGCGTAAAGCAGAATGAAGCAAGAAAAAGCGCCGGATGGGGGAACCAGCCAGCAGGCTTGGGCGGGAAGACTCTATCGTGAAGGCGTCCGAATATCCAGGCTTGCCCCCCCGCGTTTTTAGTCCGAGCCGGAGTTGGAGTAAGAAGGAGCGCCAGATAAAATAAGTTTTGAGCGAACGACAAATTGACTAAATGGGCTAACGCGAGGTAGGCCCATAGATGTGGTATGCGCCTCCTTCGTCCTTCAACCGCCAACAGTAAGCTCCAGGAAACTGTTGCAAGCTCAATCTGCTGTCCCCACCAGAACCGGCGAGCTTTCTCCGCGACGATCTCAAGTGCGTCCAAGTAAACCGGAGTATCGGTCAGCCAGCGAGCTAGGAAGACCCGAGTTGCATTTTTGCTTCTGAATGGAATGACGCCGCTGTCTCCGTAGAACCTAAATCTGAGTAAACAAGCTGGACAAAGAACACAGCCCAAGACAAACAAACCTGGCCGGTATTTGTACTCCACGTTGATCAGCCCAGACGCGGTAAGAGAGCTTCGTGTAGCTGAATGACCAGTAGCCTGCGACGGCCAGGCTGATGAGAGCTAGGCCCGTAAAGACAGGTACAAGGGTTGACCTGCGACCAAGCCTCTTTCTCGTGCTCTGGGACGGTGGCAGGTCTTGGTACGATCTATACAGGCTCCGAGCGACAGTAAAACCAAGATATGCAACTGCCACTGCGTGGCCACCTACCAGACTCAAAGGCAGGAATCTAAAGAACGCGTTAGAACGTTGATCATCGTTGGTATTTAGCTGAGAGGCGGCATACTTTACTTCAGGCTCTGGGAGCACAGGCGCCATGTTTCCTCCTTCAACAGTATTTTCCTTTGGCGTTTGGTATGAATTACATGCAAGAACCTGACCTTGGAGTGAAAGGGAAACGAAGTCGACCTTAACCCCAAGGCTTGGATGATGCGAATGCAGTGCGCGTCATCGTCACACAACTGCATTCGTTCCTTGGAAGCTCAATCGCCAGCCTTTTGCCATCGTTGATCACAACTGTATAGTTACCTAGACCATAGGCAAGAACCGTCTGTTTCTCAATGTAACAGTACTGAACAAGGTTGCTGCCGCCGTTATGGGGCGCCTCGTCTGCGCACGGTCCAATGGAGTACGGAGAAACATAAACAGCGGTATCGCTAGCGCAAACCTCGGGTCGGCCCCACTCCTCTTTGGCCATAAAATCTCAGTTTGTGATGGGAAATCTAATTCTTCTTCTTCTTTTCTCACTACATCAGTATGGGTTAAACTTACACCGTCATGTGTAATTTAATTCAGATGGCGGCTCCGCTTTGCGGCTTGCTGAGGGTTGTCCTGTCCTCCGTGGATTTCCTTCCGTTCCCGGCCCCCTAAAGTGAACACCATGTGAACACCTTTCCTTATCAGCCGAGTACGACGATTCTTCCTGGTATTTGACTGTGGGGTGGTCTCAACAGAATTTTTAGTTAATTCTGCCTTTGATGGCTAAATGCTGCAACTTCTGAGGCAGCTGCAGCGATTCATCCGCTCCCCACGAGCTTGAAATATTGAGCTCAAGGCTGAGCTTTCGTATCTTTTGCATCTGCCTCAATCTGCACTTCGGTAAAAGTGCAGCACCAGGTCATTCGGTATCTGTTGCCAATCCAACTTTTGGTGTGGGTAATGATAGAACAAGCCATCAAACTGGCATGCCCCGATAAGGGCAGGCACAAGATATGTTCACAAATGTCAATGTTTCGAAAGTCAATTGACATGGGTGTGCTACGTAAGCCAGTGTTAGAATTAAGTTGCCAGCAGCAAATTAGGTCATCAATTCTGCTGTTCTAGACCGCAGACAACCCCAATTGCTTCCGTTCAGATTGGCCGTCAAGGCATGGTTTTTGGCGGAAAGTGCCACCGTATCGATAATTATAAGCTGACTTCACCTCAACTTCGGAAAGTGGATACTCTGTTGATATCATTGACTAACGTCCCACACCCACTTCTGGGCACCCCCCACATTTGGGCACCCCATTTACACCAAAAACGCCGTTTTTCGAAATTCTATATTAAACTAAATACTTTACTTATTAAAGAGAATAAATATATATTAAATAGATTAAGACTTAATTATAATACTTAAGTAGCTATATACTAGTATTATTGTTAGAAGTATAAGTATATTATACTTCTATTTTACTTATTTATCCTATTTAGTCTTATCTAAGACTTAGTAGGACTTACAAAAGTAACTAGCTAAGAATGGCTGCTTGCTAGTTTAAACATATGACATTCAGATCCCTATGGAATACTCTCTTTAACCTTATCTAAAAGTCTATTTAGTTAAAGAAGATTCTAGTCTGATTTATAAGCTGCTTTATAAGCTAGTTGACGTATATACTTACGTATACTAAACCTAGCTTATAGCTTCCTATATTAGCTATTATAGGCGACGTTATACTACTATATAACTAGCCTAATTCTCTCCCTTAGCTAGCTATTAGTTCCTCAACCAACTCAGCTTCAATATAAGCCTATACATTCTTTACTATTAAAGCCCTACTTCATAAGTACAAGTTCCCTTACTCTAATACCCTGTTATAAGGATATCGTACTATCTACGAGATTCCTACCTACCGTTCCAACAATTATTGATAATAAGTATTATAAATTCAAGGTTTAACATTTATAATACTAATTTACCTAGCCTATATCTTAATATATAAAATAGGTAGAGATATTTAACTAATATGATTAGAATTTTTAAGTAAGATATAGTAGATTTATATATTCTTATACTTAGTAAAAAATTCTTTAAGCTTAGAATAATATTTTAAAATTTCCCTTAAGAAAAGTTTCTATTATAGAATTTTAACCCTTAATTATACTATATTTACTAAAGTAATACTTTTAAATCTCTTTTAGATATAATTATATACTTTTAATAAGTATAAATATTAATTTCCTAGATTTTTTAAATAAGTATATATGAGCGAAAATATATTTTTCTAATGTTAAGGAATACTAGTAAGTTACTAGTATCTACTAACATTTTAAAGCTTTTAGTTTTAAACTTCTATATTATAACTATTATTATATTTAAACCTTTATAAAAAATTAGATGGCTATAATTATACTTAACATAGTTTATATATATTTTCTTTTCTTAGTAAGTATAGTAGTTAGTTTAATATAGAATTTCGAAAAACGGCGTTTTTGGTGTAAATGGGGTGCCCAAATGTGGGGGGTGCCCAGAAGTGGGTGTGGGACGTTACCTTATTCAAATACCTTCCTCCTGGACCATCAACATATTAAAAACAGTGCCTGTTTATTACACCCATTATCCCGTATACTTCATTGTCATTCAGATGAAAAACTTTAGACGTAGGCCCGGCCGCCACCAGAACGACTTTTCTTCCACACCCAGAAGACGAGGATGATGGTAGCCAGGGCAAAACCAAAGGTCACGAATTGCATGGCTTGGTCAGCAGTGGCCTTCTTGCAGTTGTCTACAAGTTGTGCTGGTGTTCTGGCTCCATAACCCCATTTCCCATCCACCTTCGTCTTTCCGCGATTGACTAGGTCATTGTCTTGCAGCTTGGTCCACTCGTCTTGAGTATTGGGGTCGCAGGTAACTCCACGGAGTCCAATGGCAATGGCCTTATGATCTGTCAGTCATCAAATCGTAATATTTGAAGTTTATGTACTTACAATGCCTCCGGCCAGGAGCAATAGCCCGCTTATAGCATCGGCAGCCATCACAACGAGGGCCGGGATTACATCAAAGAAAGTTGCGATCGCACCGAAAATGGCAACAGCCAATCCAAAACCGCCAGTAAACGCGCTGTATTTGGTAGTGGTAGGTGCATCTCCAACTCTCTGGGTCTTGATGAGCTCGATAGAAAGGGCAAGGACAACTATGGCCATGATGCCCTACAAAGTGTTAGACTATTTGGTCCATAAGATCAAGATGTCAACTAAGTTGTGCTTACCTGAAGAATCCATACGCCCAGGCTGATGAATTTGAGCGTCATTTTGGTGCTGATGTGATAAAACAAAATTGTATGTAGAATAGTCTAATAACCTTTTACTACAGCGAGGTGGCACAGAGCCTTCTTTTAAAGACGAATATGCCAAGGACTAAAGGCAGCCCACACCGATAGTTGTACTTAGACAACGGGGAGGGAACCATCCTAACGCGAGGGGGATGTAGTCTGCCTCGAGATATGTGACTCAATCACACGCGGTTTGGATGTTGGCAGGCCTGTGTCACGCCAGGCACCAACGGCCATTAACTCATTCCCCAATGTAACTTCCAAGGCGGCGCATCATGCTGTGCCTCATCCTGGCGTTCAGCCCAGTGGCACATAAACGAGAATCATGCATGTTTGCGAGCAAGTACAAGGAAGGTACAAGCAAGGTTCAGCTCTTTCTGGTTGAAATTGTAGAACAGTCAGCCTTCCAGATACATTTAGAGCAAGATATTCAACCAAACCATGAGACTGACCCCAACTTTCTAGTTACTTCAAAGTTCATAGCAGTCACTGTTATAGTACAAGCCATAATATACAATGGCACAAGCTCGTTTACGCCTGTTTTCCGCGGCAACATATCAGTACTATTGAACCAACAGGTTGGAGGATCGAGTGATCCAATGGGGCTGGGCAACTCAGGAAAATCCAACAAACATTGCATTTAATGAGCTGAGCCACAAGGACTAATGCAGGTTGGGACGTTCAATGTTGCTGCTGGGATATGGATGCGTAGTCAACACTTGCTTTTACTAATTTAAGACCTGTTGGTTGGGCAGTGCCAGGCGGCTTGTTGTTGCCGTGCTGCCTGGTTTCAGTGGAACCCAGCTGCAACCAAATCACCCCATCATCTTACCTTGAGAAAGCTTACCTAATGCGATCGTCCGGGGATCACATTCGCTGACTCATCGTATGTATTACTGTCAACTGCAGCACGTGCCAGACTGCTCATTGCCCGGAGACGGGAAATCTCCAAATCCCCAGAGCCTTCAGCGATAGCCGGGATAAGTGGATCCATCCCAAATTCCATTGCGTCCGTCACCTTCCAGCACTTGGGACGCACGGTTCAAGTCGCGACTGTGTGCCCAAATTTTTTTGATAGCTTCCATCATCGGCTGACAAGCCCACGTCTTCTGTCCTCTGACCAACTCCGATCTCCGGCTACAATCCATCAGCCACGTCCACAAACCTCGCCATGTCGTCTCTCTGGGATACCTTTTCTGGTCGCAAGTCCTCTCAGAAGGACGCGAGCGCCTCGCACACCCCTACGCCTTCCCAGGAAACATCAACTCTCCATACTGCGCCCACCCAGTTCGACCCTTCAGCAGGATCTGGTGTCGAGTCTTTCCTTCAGAGCTCTGCTTTCGCGGATCCGGCGCAACTACACCCTCTGTCCGGTTTGAACAAGGACACCCTCGAATACCTCTCTCTCGAAGATGCCGCTCTGACTGATGTGCCTGGCGGCCAATCCGTCCTCCCATCTCGGGGTTTCACGGATGATCTTTGCTACGGAACTGGTGTTACATACCTGACGGCGTTGTCGATAGGAGGAGCTTGGGGATTGCAAGAGGGTCTCAGAAGGTCCGCTAACCAGCCGCCAAAGCTGCGTCTCAACTCTGTCCTCAACGCTGTCACCCGCCGCGGTCCTTTCCTCGGTAACTCGGCCGGTGTTGTTGCCATCACCTATAATCTCTTCAACTCTGGTATCGGCTACCTTAGAGGGAAGCATGACGCCGCCAATACTATTCTGGCAGGCGCGCTAAGCGGAATGGTCTTTAAGAGCACAAGAGGCGTGCGGCCTATGTTGATCTCTGGTGGCATTGTTGCCTCTGTGGCCGGTGCTTGGGCTGTGAGTCTACGCCTGTGAGAGCTTTGTTTTTTCTGAGATGCTAATAACTCATACAGGTTGTCCGCCAAACTTTCTTCGCCATCCCAGAGCCTGCTACATCCTCGGAGCACGCTCACTTGTAATTTCACGACGCAACCATTCTTACGAACTATCTTCGTTGAACCCCCACCAATAATGAAACTCATATATCCTCTACGGTCTATCATGGATCCGTGGACGACAATGCTCACCGATACGAGCTTCTTCTGTCTGTTGTTTGAGTAGGATATTTAGAGAGCCTTAGAGGAGTCTTGGGCATGGCGACGGACGATCTCTCCTCTAGCGGACCCGTGTATAGTATTAGGAAGGAGCATAGAAGACCGCATCACTGGGTGGTGGGCGTTCGGTACTTGTCAAAACAAAAATAACCTGGCACAATCCTACTGTGTTCACTGCCACGAGTGGCAACTTTCTGTGCCATTAGTCCCCGGGAGTCCATAATCTTGACATCTACATTAGGACCTTGGCAGATTAGTGCCTGCGCCGCCTGTATCGTCGTCCGTCCCTCTTTAGCATGCTACCCCATATACCAATGTCGGACTACAACGAGCGCCGAGAGCATCATAATAGTATAATCTGTCACAAACGCTTGCTGGCCCGATGACGAGGTTGGTTTGCCCCGCTAATCGGCTGGGATTCATATTGTTACCGAAAGCGCTTCATAGTCATTTCAGACTTTAGTACTTCGAGTTATTGCTACTCATTGAATTGATAACACTGCCTTCTCTACTTTGATGGGATTGGAGTACTTATTACTTGATGGCTGCTCGTAGAACTTGGCTTTGTTAGCAACTTTTGGTCGCCGCCGAACTAAAGGTTGTCGGCAAGTTCTGTTACTTTGGGTATCCTGCCAACACATGGTATATAACCTGTTGCACCTGATTTTTCGAATGTGTTGTCGGTCAACCTCATTTCATATTTCGTTTCATGATTCGGCACTCGGAAAGCATAGCCAAGTCATGTCATTAAGGACTTGTCAGGTCGGGAATTGCGTGGATGATCAGCTTATACAGGAAGGAGCTACTGAGTTTAACTGGGCTTTTCGGTACTACATTGCTTAACTTACTTGCCCGACTCACCAACCCTCTGTTTCTTCACTATTTACTACAAACCCATCGCCTTTTTGCCCGAGTCACCGTCTCTTTTCCTTTCCGAATCTGGACCACTTATTGTCAGTATGTGTGGCTGTTGGCCCTTCTCGACCGCCTATTACGACGACGAAGATCCTCCTCACGTATATCGCTACATTTGGGACGGCCAAAAATATGTCATGGAGATGGTAAGCCAGCTATTTCTTGACTTTTTTTTTTTTCTTCTTCTCTTCTTCTTTTCGTGGCTCTTGATTTCCTCTGGCCCTGGTTTGGATGTGGTGTTCGCAGAATGATGTCCTTGCTTTAATCAGCTGCAGCTGCAGCTGTTACTTGCCCAGCTTCACCAAGAAGGGTGAAGAGTAGGAGGCAGAGCAAGCCCCCGACTACGAGCTATGAAAAGGCCCTAAGGCGACTTGTGAAAATTTCAAGAAGATCTGTCAACATACTCGTACTCCCTCGCCCTTACCTACAACCCTTTCCAATGGCCCTAACCTTCATCTCATTCACTTAAGCCTAAGGCAAGGTATAGAGAACTACTCCAGCTTGTTAGCCACACATAAAACATTTTGACCCCAAAAGTCTTTCGCTGTTTTATATACTCCTCGACCAATAACGAAGCCAAGGACTAAACAGAAGACGGAAGACAATTCGGTATCGATTTTAAGCATCGTGAATCCATCAAAGGAAGCCAACCATGAAGTCACCCAAAATCAAAACAAGTACCAACAATATTACCGGACCACGCCAGGTTCACTTCAAAGGGGACAGGAGCAGCCCAGGTGGCTCCTTCCATGTCACGCAGGAAAGCGATACCTTGACTGTTCCTGCCCTTGCCAACCACGAGGTTGAAGAATCAAACAGCAGCGGCGTCTTCATCCATTCTTCCATCAACCCATCTGCGTCCGTCAACATTGACAACGCTTTCCATCCCACAGCATCGTCCAGTCAGATCCCTCATCCAGCTTGCGGCCCATTCATCCCCGCCACCTCGACCTATCCTTCTACTACTGAGCCCAACGCTTTCGCACCTTTTGGCAAATTCAATCCATACGGCCTTCAATCATCAGCATACGCCAATATGGCTGACTACCAGAATGTCGCTCCACCTGCTGGTGGACTTCATTTCCAACCCCCAGTTCCCGATACCACGTACGGACCCATGCAACACGTCTATGTGCCTCGCTTCGACAACAGCATGCCACTTCCTGGCCATGCCTATCATGTCGGTCTTTCTCAAGTTCAAGCCAATCCTTTCATTTTACCTTCATCGTGTAGCAGCCTCCTCCTTTCCTACTTGACGCGCTGTTTGTTCCATCACTGTTTACGCAGTTATCAGTCACTTACATACAAGGATGTTCAGCACTTGTGATATCCTTTGGGCCAGGTAGTTCTTGGTGTCCATCTGCCTCTACCTTATTAATATTTCTCACCCAATTTCACGAGCGGGATGACTAGCGCTGACCTTAAATCACAGCAGCCACCCAACAACAATGTCACCTACGTTGGCCAAGTTCCTCCCTTCAATCCTCCCATCATGATCGCCCAGCAGCCGGCTATGCAGCCTGGAGTTTCCATTCAAAACCCGCCCATCATGCTTCAAGGCCAAACTCCAGTTGCTATGAACGGAACTTCTATGTTCCAAGGCCATCTCCCTATGGGCATGCCTCCCAGCATCGGCGTCGGTATTATGCCCATGTTTGCAGGTAATGCTGGTCTTCCCCCTGACGTGACTGGCTTTGGAAAGACGGCCGGTGAGGTCGCCATGGAACAGGCTCAGTTCGCTTACGCGAATGGTCTCTTCGAACCTCAGGATTTTAAGCCTGCTGACGACAACCCATCTCGCTATTATCCTGTTCGAGAAGTAGACGGTAACTGGACCCAGCGCAACCGTTTCACAATTGACAACCTTGGCGACTGTCGTTGGTATGTCACGAACGAAGGTTACTTCTACGCTATCCGACTGCCCAACTGAAGCACTGGTGAGTCAAAGCAGTCTATATGGAGCCTCCCCAACATCCCGCTAACCCCGGGGCAGATGTCGAGCCTTGATGACCACGAAGATTGATCCAAACGAAACTATGGATACAGACTTGCTTGTAAGACCCCCAAAGTATCTGTTGCAAGTGTTGCTGTTGGCTGATTCTTGAAGATCATTCTCAATCATTGCATGTAACCACGGACTTCTTCCCCTTTTCCCCGTCTAAGGGCTTCCTATGAGCTCGAAAAATCAGGTCCTTTTCTTTGAGGTAAGCCTGAATACATCAAGGTATTTCGAAACTCTCGCTTACACAAGCAGAAACAAACAACATCGCCCTAATTTTCTCTTCGAGGTCGTCAAGACAGCATTGCGGTTGACGAAATACGGGACAGACTGGAATTAAGGATGACGAAAGACGGGCGAGCTAGTTCTCGTTAGGTTCGTGGTTTGTAACGTAGCAGTACCTCAGAACACAATTTCTTTCGATGTGCAATCCATAAAATAGCTTGGTCTGAAATTTCGTTAGGTGAGGCATGATCCGTTGTTTCTGCTCAGCTTGTCATCAATTCTTTATTCAGAAACAGATAACATCCGAAAGGTAGGACCGAAGCATCATAAAGGTTCCACACAGACCTCTAGGTAAATCACTAATAAATTGGAATGCATGAGTTTGTGACATTGTGATGGTTCGCACTTAGCGTGTATCGCGGGTCAAGAAAGCTACTTCCTCCTGCCTATTGAACTTTTAGACCGCCAACAGTCATGATGGGGGCAGACGACAATTCACATAACATAAACAAATAGTTTGGCGCTTCTACTTGGTGTAGGGACATGGTAATGCTCCCCAAGGGAGAAAAATTCACTCAAAGTCGTTCTCTCTCAAAGTTGACCCCGCAGTAGCAACTGCCTCCCTCACCTTATAAATTTCTTTTAGGCAACACCACTTTCTCAAAACTCCTTTTTTTGAGAGGTAAATGTCATAACGAAGCCTACCATTCGTCTTTTATACTTACCTGACTTGTAATTCATTGGCTGTTCTTCCAATCAGTCCATCTGCTCTCGACACCACAAGGAATTCTCGTCTTCTATAAAAAGCCGGCTAATTAGAGCAGTGAACATTATGACGATAAAACAGAGAAAATATACGCTCTGTGAATGGGCCCTTGGAGTCAGCGTAGAAGAGTATTGCGACTCGGCCAAGCGGCGTCCCCGCAAGGAATCGCGTGGCAGGCCGCGGATCAGCGTCGAGATCTCGACTGATGAAGAATCCGAGGAGGAAACTGTCAAGATCACTTATCCTAGTTCTGGTTGCAGAAAACTTGGTGCTCAACCTTCTAAAATCAAGAAAGTCCGCTTCCAGAAGGCAACACCCAAGCCCGCTTTGAGATCTTCCAGTATCGGAACCAACTCATCAGGTGATTCAAAGCCCGATCCGGACTGCAAGTGTCGGGACTGTACGATAGGACGCAGAAAACTAAGGAAGACAGGGAAAGGCAATAAAGAAAACGATGTTGAGACAGAGATTTCTCAAGCCGAGGAAGAATCACACGGGAGGGAAGGCGACAGGGTCAGGCCGAAAGGGGAAAAGAAGAGCAGGGAGACGAAGGAGAAAAAAAAGGCAACAGTTGTTTCATCAGAAGGAGACACCGAAATTGAGACGACCGAGACCGATACTGAGAGCGAGGATGAGACGCCGCCATCGCCGAAGGACAAGAAGCAAAAGAATTCGAAAAACACCAAGCAAAATGCGAGGAAGTCCAGAGAGACCCCAGCCCCTGTAGGCATAGAGTCGAACAATGTTGGCCCAACAAAGAAAAAGGCAGGAAAAAGCGGTTCGACCAAGGGAGAGATTAATAAGAGCAAGGGGCCTGAAAAAGTGCGTCCTGAAGCCACTCTTTCTCCCCATCTACGTCGTCCGAATCTCATAATGCCTGTTCGAGCTGAGGTTCTCCAGGTCGAGCATACCATCGAAGGAGCCGAGGACCCTCGACCCAATGCTTTTCATGATCCGCAGCACGGTGTTGTCCGGGTCTATCATGGCCCAGCTTACGGTAATCCGTACGGGCTTCTGTACCCCGTTCGCGATTCATCCAGGGCTACTTTACCAATTGGTGTACCTCACCCGTTGCAGAATCCTTACTTCCTCGGATTCGCCAAACCTGAAAACCCTGGAGACAACCATTTCAGAGGACGCTCACCCTGGGCTGCTGTGCCAGTCACTTACAAGCCTGGATTTCCTCCAACAGTCGCGCCAATAGATCCAACTGAGGTGCCGAGACGAGCATACTGGACTGCGGTTTCACCAAACAAATCTATCCCAGTAGAGGAGCCTCAGAAGCCTGTAATGTCAGGGGCCAACCAAGATGACAGCACGTCAACCGCCGCGAAGAACAAGGAGAAGGGGTGGGATACGAACGTTGGTCCTGAAAGCAGAAAAATACCTACTCCTACCAACAGCGTCAAAACTAAGCCACTCAACAGCAATGTGGCTCCAAATTCTCCTATTAATATCAACTTGACCGTCAATCCGGATACTCCTTGGGCTGCATTTGCAAACACCCTAAGCAAAGCGCCTGACACACACAAAACCAAGTCGCAATCTGGAGGCAGAGATGGATCCAACAATGGAAGCAAGAAATCTTGGGGATCTAAGAAGGCTACTGCTGAATGGCAGCCTCTCCCAAGCGGAGAGCATCCAGACCTTGAGTGGGGCATGCCTCCCAAGAGTCTGTCGGCCAATGATTCAGGCTGGGGACAGGCTGGGGATGGTAACAATGACACTTGGGGTGTAAACGGTGGCTCTGGAAGCAACCACGGAAGAGATAAAAACAATAATGATTGGAGCTTTTCCGCCAATGGTTATAACAATGGCGGTCTCGGTTGTTCGGGCAATGCCCAGAACAGCGGTAATCAAGATGTGTCTGGTGGCGACAATGTTTGGGCAACGGCGGCCAACGGCAATACTTGGGATGGCTCTGGCAATGACAGCAACCAAATGTTGGGCAACGATGATTGGGTAACCTCCACCAAGAATGCGTCGGACCCGTGGGCCAATATCAGATGCAACTACAACAATGGGGCAACGACTTCTAATTACGCCAGATCAAATGAGTCGAACAGAAGCCACAATAGCGGAAGAGACAATCGTAGCGCCAGCGGCCAAACGAAACCCGACAGTGACTGGTATGGCCGGAGTAACAACGTTGGCGTTCCAGCAGTCGCTAGTGGTTCAAACAGATCTCGTCAGTCACAGAAAAGCCAAGCTGCGCCTATCAACGGGGGTTGGGATGGAAATGTCGGCCCCATGGTCAACATTCCCACTGACACTTCGTCCAAGAAGAGTAACGAATCGAGAAGGAGTTCAAAGAAGGGATCGGTAAACGGTGACCCCTGGAACACCAAAGGTGGCGATACATCGACTTGGATCACTGACAACAATGCTGGACCGACAACCAACAGCCCTAACGCATCCCAGATTTCGAAGAAGAACGAGACAATCGAAAACACATGGCCGGCAGGCGATGGCGCCGGATGGGGGCCCAACGCTAGCGGCGGCCATAACCCTACCGGCACCGAGGTGAGCAAGGGATCGGGTAGCAACAAGAGCATGCCGGGTGCCTGGGACAACAACCTCCCATGGGGTGATACTAGCTTGGCGCAGTCGACTGGTGGATTGGCGGACACCTGGTAGAGTAAAGAGTAGTCAACATCTCTATAGCTTACCAGAAGACCAAAATTCCATTCCAACATGGGCAATGGGAATGTTGACCCTCGAGTATGAAGGATACTCTAGCTTACGGTAGTCGGTCTGGGAGATATTTTTGGTTTGGAAGAGAGCACATGGAGCTGATTCAGAAACCTGGCTTGGCGCTTGTGGCCAAATAGCATACGTAGAGAGCTACAACATATGCCGTGAAGAGGGATCGGGTCAGAAGGCGCAGGCAAAATGTATTTGACGCATGGAGACACAGCATCATCGAGGTGTTTGATGGGCAGCAGAGTGACGGTTCCTGAATTGCAATAACAGTTTGTGATACCTGAGAACTGTGAACTTCTGCTCTGCGGCATACGAAGGTCGATGACATCGACCTAATAGTGCCCAAGCATTTGGAGAAAAAAGAGATGGGTTGTATGGAAACAGCAAGAATTGAGGGGCGACAAGAGTCCGAGCAAAATAATCAACATAGGCCTGGTCAAAACGCTGCAATAGCCCACGCCCAAGGGTGGTGCGAGGCTTCATACACATGTTTGGCCAATTTACTCCTCATCACTAGACTCCTCCTCCTCGGCCTCCTCGAGCCACTTGATGAAGGGCTCGGCGGCCTTGCGGACCTTCTTGGAGGTAGCAATATCAACGTACTTCTTGCTGGCCTTGCTGCCCCACTTGATGGCGACCTCCTCGCTGAGCAGATCGTGGTTGTAGTACAACTGAAGGATCTTGACAATCTGGTTGTACAGCTCAGGGTGCTCCTTGCCAAGGCTGCCAATAAGGCGCTCAGTACCACCGAGCAGAGCCTTCTCGTGGCGGTCGGAAGTGACAAACTAGAGTCAAAAGTTAGACCTGTCGTGGCAAAAATGTGTTTAGCATCGTCACATACCTGCTTCATCATGCCAGCACGCTTGGAAATCTGGGAGACAATGTTCTCGTCAAAGATGGTTTGAACCAGGACAAGAACGGAGCGGTGCTTGGTCTCAATGCCCAGCTCCTTGGCCTTGACAAAAATATCAATAGAGTCAACCTTGTCGACGCCACCCTTGGCGGCGGCCTGGTCCTGAATCCAGGTGCCGAACTCGTCGTAGACGGTATTGCCAGTAGCCTCACCGTCCTCGTCCTCATCATCACCATTGATGTTGAGCTTCTGCTTGAACTCTCCAGGAAGCTGAGCCTGGCGGGCCTTGACAGCCTCCTCGCTCATGTCGACGGCCCACTCATGGTCCTGAGTCTCGGTCTCGTCGAGCTCGGGGGCCTCCTTCTTCATCTTCTCCAGCTCATCATCGCTGCCAGCGTCCTGGTCATCAACGTCGTTGGATCCGTTATCGGAACCCTCGCCGCCGCTTCCGCTTCCATGGCCGTTCTCCTTGGCGCCGTTGGCCTTAGCACGACGGGCAGCCTTGCGCTCGGCCTTGTCCTTCTTGCCCTTCTTCGGCTGGTTCTTCAGGATGTAACTGCTGAGCTTCAGGCGGAGATCAACCTCGGAGCGCTGACCACATGCCTTGCAGTCAAGGAGGATACGTCCGTCCTTGATGTTGACGTCGGTCTCGGGGTTCTTGCACTTCTTGCAGAGAACAAACTTGTTGATAAAGCCGTCGAGGTGTTCTTGCAGCTTGGCGGCGTTGTGGGAACCGTTGATGATCCAGCGGTCGTCAGCAGGGTCGACGTTGGTCTGCGCACCAAGCTCAAAACCAAAGTACTTGATGACGTAGGCACCAGGACGGGCGAGAGACTGGGCGACGCTGCTCAAATTGACAATGACAGTCTTGATACCGTTGCCCTTGCCTTCGATCTTAGTGACAAGCTTTTCCATCTTGTAACGATAGAAAGCGTCCTTGACGTCGCGACGAACGTTGATGAGAGAAGCCATGATTGCGGTATTGGTATTTGAAGACAACGAAAGGTCTTTTGAAGAATAGTTGATTGGGAAGTTAGGATAGCGAAATTGGGCTCAGGAAGCGAAGCTTGTAGTGATACTGGGCGGTTGAGCGGACGGGTAGCATGAAGCCGTGATTCGAGGTAATATCGATCGAATCGAGAATAGCTGAGATGGAAGCTGGAGGCGAGCAAGAAGGGCGGACTTAATGCTCAATGGGTCTTTTGATGGACATAGGGTAAAGCGAAACTAGATCGTCTTTGCTGTCGAGAATTCATAGACTCCTCTGGGATGGAAATTTCAGCCAACTGAACTGATGTTGGGGCTACAAGGTTTCCGCGCTATGCGAAATGATTGCAGCTTGGGGACAAAGTGTCTGAAGACGGTGGTCTTGTCGTGCTGATACATAAACTGCTATGTGCTTTGTACCGCGTGAGGGTGTTGGGTTATGTTCAACTCTCGCGAGGGAAGACTCAATGGCCGGACGATGCGCGAGAGAGGATGCTAATGCTGATTGATGTGATAGTTGTAGTGTAGAAAGAGGGGTGGCAATATTCTCAGGTATGGAGTATTTTGTGCGTGTTTACCGCGAGCGGCGCTAGGTACGGTTGATGCCGAAGCAAAAGCGGTGGGACTGCGAATTGCAGGAATATATTGGCGAAGATGGACTTATCCCCGAGCGGAGGGAATTTTTGCGTGTTTTTTGTGTGTGGAAAAGAGGAGAACGGAGATGACTGGGCAGTGAGTGCAGAGTTTTGAAAAGGTCGGAGTGGAGTGGGAGGAGGGACGAAGAGTCAGGAAGTTTTGGAGACACATGAACAATAAAATTCCTTAATAATGGGGCCCAACCTCGCCGCCCGCCCGCCCGCCGCCTTACCACGCACCACACTCCCTGAGCCGCTGCAAGTGCCTCAGTGCATCTCGTAAATTCACTGGTACCGCGCCGCCGCCGCATCTTTGGGCTGTGTCTTAGGTACTGTACCTGCCAGCCTTGAGGTACCGGCTGGGCCTGGCCGACCTATTGGTCTGGAAACCTGAAAGCCATGGCTCGTTCGCCACGATGAACCTTTCAAAAGGTCTCCTGAGGAAAAATTGCCCTCAGGGTGCAAGGCATCTCCGTCTTTACTATGTGTAGTCGCACTTGTCTTGTTGACTGGAGCCGTAAGCCCCTACAGAGGTTGTTGTTTGCCCCACGCGCGCCACCGTTCCAGTTCAGTGCCCAGAAACCAGGGGGTAGTAACGCGACCACACGTAACAACGCCCAAGGTATGCAATCTGGCCCACTCCCTGCCCTACCCTGTCTTCCCTGTACTGCCTGTAACGATTGCCCTGTGCGCAACCAACGTGGGTGGTTTCTGGGTTTTCCATCACCGAGGCTCAAACACTGACAGACTGACCACCCTGGCATTTGGAAGGAAGCTGCAACGGCTCCCCATCGAGCACGGGCCAAACAATGGCCTTCCCCGCTTCAGGTACATCCATCGTACTGCAGCATTGCATGCCCCCCAGTCAGAAAAAGAAAAAGATAAAAAAGGGCCTAGAAAGAGCAGACAGCAATGAGTAAAATGCTTCCTGTCGATGAACAAAGGCAGGGGGGGAGGTGAAAAGACAAACGAATAATGTATTGAGAGCTGAATAGCGCGCCAAAAAAATAAAAAAATTAATTAGCCCTAACGCTGATATGCCTTTCTTATCTTTCTCAAGTCGCATGGGCCGCCCCCTTTCTTCTCACATCGCCATCTGTTTTTCGCTCTGCCTTGCCTAGCCGACAGACAACAAACAGATCCTAGGTAAAAGGTAGGATTCAAGTTCTACCCTGCAAGTCATATTTGACTTACTTGCCTAAAACCCAAGTCATCCACACAACTACCCACAAGTCAGTGAGGCCAAACTGTAATGATGCCTCATTGGTTGTCTCACGCATGGGACGGAGTTGCCTGATCTAAATTTGGCTAGCATACTGGTTCAGACTTACTACGTACTTCGGCTTCCGCACCTGCATGCTTCCTATGTCTTTGTCCATATGCTGTGAGAAGTGAGCCATTCCAGCCTGATGAAAACACGTTGATGAAGGCTAATAAGTCCTCAGTCGGGTTGCCAGAGTCATCCATTTTTCCTAACTTAAAAAGACAAATCTTTGACAACATAGTTGGTTGCCGATAGTTTATTCACGAATCTTGATAGACTATATTTGTCTTTCTTGTAAAAGCTCTATCAATCGGTTTATGTATTCTTGTAGTATCAGAAGTTGAAGCAAACGTTCCATCATATTGATGCTCTTTTGATCAGTACGTGGCATAGGTTCGACCACTCACAACTGGAGGTGGGGCAGAAAAGCAATAGAAACCAAGAGAAGAGGAACCAAGAATAAATCCCGCCATTCAATAGGACAAACAGTCGGTTGAACAGAAACGTAAAGGCAAAGGGCTGGATAACATACTCATGCTACACACTTGCGGGATAGAACATGAGTGGTATCATCGGTACCCCAACAGGTGCGGGAGACTACCGCAAGCGGCTGGCCAGTAATACGAAAGGTCATGAACCTGACTGTAGTGTAGGTAAGGGGGCACGCAAGGGGCACGCAAGGATCTCAGACTGCACCAGTCCCTCCGGTGTAGAACGAGGTGGTCTCTAGCGACAAGTCTGGGGCTCGTCGCTTGGCTCATTCGGCACTTCGGATGCCTGGCAGAGGTACCATTCGCCACCTGATACTGTTACCTCCAATTCAACCCAAGTGTGTCGCTTCAACTGAGGCGCTGGTCACTCCCGCTTTTCAGCGATTGGAATAAACTGCAGCAGACACTTTTGACCAAGAGGCCGTGATGAAATGAGCTGATCAGCCATGGCCATTGACTCGGCCGTCATCGAAGCATCAGGGAGCGTAGTGTAACGAGAATAGATATCGGCAAGGAGTGTCTTCATCTCAGCGAGTGCTAGACTGCGCGGTAATATGTCAGAAACAAACGTCATGGACCCGTATTGAACATGAGTAACTTACTGCTTTCCCACACAACCTCTGCCGCCATTAGCAAAGGCAAACATGAGGCGTTTTCTCTCCGCATCCCCAACTTGCTCCATCCACCGGTCAGGATTAAACAAGTCAGGCCAGGGAAACACGTCGTTGTTGATACGATGGACAGAGTACGCCTGACAGCTGGCAATCGTCTTCTCCGGGATGAAATGTCCGTCAATAGTTCGCCCACCTTGGGGCACATATCGGGGAAGAGACATGGGGATGGCAGGGAAACACCGAAGTCCTTCCTGCACTACGGCATCGAGGAACGGGAGCTTATCCACCGAAACACCAGGGTTATTGCGCAGCTCATGCTGCAGCTTCTCTTGGAATCGCATTGACCTAGGCTGCGAGAGCTCCCACATGAGAAAACATAAACCATCACCCGTCGTGTCGATCCCGGCAGCCATGTGGTCAAGACACTCTCCAGCCATATCAGTTTGGTCCAGATCGCTTGACTTCTCATGCAGTCGGCTTAATAGTGTGAACTGTGCAGGATCAGGTCGCCCGCTTGATTCCATGACAAAGTTATCGGCAAGGGGCGTTTCCCGTGGCTTAGCAAAAGCGTACAGCACACCGGACAGTGCCTTGTGCAGCGCCGGGCTGTAGTGCTGAACAAGGCGGTTCTGCAGGCTATCATCCGCGGCGACTTGGTGCATCATTTCCTCGTCCGCTTGTTCTTGGAGACAATTCGTACCGTACGGGTGGAACAGGTGGTGTGTAACGCAATCACAGGCGTATGAGTGTAAACTCATCTATTCGGAAAGGTGAGCAAGCTACTGCGGGGTTTTACTTATGTTTGGACCTACAAAGATATCATGGCTCTCGCCTACAGAGGCTTCACATCGCCTGATGAAGTTTAAGGACCTCTCCTGGATCCCTCGCAGGGGCGCCGGACGTAGGACGTTGCTATTTGCATACCGGTCGGCGATGATTCTCTTCCGCTTCGCGTGCTGATTTGTATAACAAGTTATTTTTGTTTCTCATACAAGGTGCAGAGTGGCTTTACATCTTCTTTATTCAACGTGGTAAACATGGTTCTGGGTCTGCGTAAGCCTTTGCTCTCCCACAGACGAGATTAGAACAATCTTACCTTCGTCCATAAACTCTGAATAAATCGTAAAACTCTGTCTTGTCATACCCACTGCCTCCAGAGCAGTATATTTCCTTGACGGCTTCATAAGAGGTAAATGACACCTCGTTTGGTGCGATTCGGACGACAGGGCCATACTTTTCATGAAGCTGATGAATATAATGCGTTCTGTTGGCGTGTAGCTCATGCCATTTCAGAATGAACGATGTAAATGCAGATGTCCTCGGGCCGGGGAGTTTCCACAACGGGGAAGATACACAGCGGGTGAGGTACACAACGAGGAGGACTGCGGAGGCCGCTCCTAGAAAGATGGGGGACAGAAGTAACATGACCGAATGCTGCCTTCACAGCGAGCAGGCGCTCAGTTGGCTGGGACATGAATGGGGTGAAGAAATGTCATTGCGAAAGAAATCGCTACGGATCATGGGCCAAAGCATGTGTGACGCTGGGGCCTCTTATCAGCTCTGGGCTGGCTATGATAGGCGTCGTTCAATCAGCGAGTTTCTATTCGTAAATAACCAAGCAACAGCACCGATGGGAGACCGAGGAGAGCGTTTTAGGTAAGTGAAACCCACTAGAATTCCAAAAGAGGGGGGTGTGTGTGTGTGAGGGGTATAGGGTAAACACTGAGAACTTCTCCAACATTGTCTAAACAGTAAAATCCGACTCTCTGTGAGGGAGGACTCTTCAGATGGTCTCCCCGTCGAGTTGACGGAGGAGCACTGGGAAGCAGAGAAACACACGAAGTCGTGTCACGTTTTGATTCTTAAAACCTCTACGCCACCTGTCCTGCCACCCAACCAACAAACGACTCACTGGCCATCTCCTCCAAATCAACGCCCCGCCCCCGCTCTCGCTCCTATTCATTGTTTTACATTTGCCATATTTTCGCACATAAAATGACGGTTTTCAAAGCTCTCCCCGTCTTTTAGAATCCTGCGTCGCCTTGTCATTCGAACTGCCCCCGCCCAACAAGCTGCTCAGCCAAGACATACCGGGAATTGATACTGAGCCTGCCGGCGGATACTCCTTGCCGTTGACTGTGACGCGAGGCGTGCATGTGCACCACTGATCCTCAGGGATACCGCTCAGAGCCGAGGGGATGTGCTGACCGCAACCGCGCCAGGTTGCTTTTGCTGCTAACGTATCAGCTTTGTTACCTACTCTAGATTGGGATTTGAGGATGCGTGGCTAGTCTCACAGCAAGTCGAACAAGTGACTCCAAAGCACATATCGAAAACGAAGTGGTCAGGTTCTCAAGTCTGGAGCTGTCGACGGCTATGAAGATCTTAAGTTTTGTTTCGAGGGTCGTTGAGTTGTAGTTACGTTTTCGAGTTGTGGATGATTTCGGAGAGCTCCCATGGGATTAAGTATTCGCGACCCCCGCGATGCCATAATCAAGCGGTTCTTAGGGTCGCCGACCTGCATTAAGCATCGCCGCGGACCTGTTACCCGAAACAGTGGGTCTCGGTACGCAATCCTGCTTATCGCCGACCTCGCAAACAGGCGCTCCGGGGAAGTGGGGTTGAGAAAGGAAGCTCACCATAAAAGTTTCCAAGAAAATTAGATGGTCACTGCCGAACCGATGGATAATTACGTGTACAAGAGGCGTCTTAAAACACTTTGCTGCTTGACTATATCTATGTATATGAGTTTGCGGTAACTTGTCACCGCCAGTCGCTGGTCGGCGACCACCCTGTCGACACGCGGAACTTGCTACCTGCTTCATACTTGCTGAATGAATTGAATCACGCGGTCTGCCAGCCATACCTGAGAGTCCGGATTGTTAACTGTGTGGCTGGCTCCCGGGATCAAGCCAGACAGCGGATGCACTTTGGGGCTCGTTTTTTTCCAGGATTCGATGAGAGCCTGCTTGTCGATGCTGGCAGGGACGAACTCGTCCTCGGCCGAATGTAGGGCCATGACGGGCTGTTCAAAACGATTCCATACTGAAGACACGAAAGTGTCATCAAGATCAGATGAGAAGTAATCGTCGTCACCCCTTGGTTTAATCAGCATAGGATGCTTCCAAATCATCAGAGATCTAACTTACCCTTTGGCTGCCAACGAATGCCAGCGATACGCAGTGAGAGGAGTCGAGAAAACAGACGGCACGTAGTCTCTAGGCATGACTTCACTTCCCTTGCCCCCAGAAATCATCTTCTCCGCAAGTTCCAGGCTCTTTTTCAACTCTTCAGAATCGACGAAGTCGACGATGCTCTCTCTGTCAGAAGCAGGGCCTTGGAGGATGAAGCCATCAACAGGATCCTCCTTATGCTTGGTGTACTCCATGCAGTCCTGCTACAATAAGCCGCAATCCCCAAGGGTTATTTACGCATTGGATACACGTACCTGACATCCAGTTGAGTGTCCCATGAGAACAATCTTTTTCTTTCCAATGCCTCGGAGATATCTCACTAGAGCTGATATATCTTCGACATCGTTCTTAAGACTCGAGTAACCGTAGCCTGTAAACGAGCTCCTCATCCGGATCTCAAAAACTGACCAATCCTGCCCTTTCGTCTGCAGATGATTGGCTATAGTTAAGGTGTACAGGACGGTGTGAGGCCCATCGCCGAGCCCGCCAATGAAAAGGATGGCGTTTGAAGCGCCAGACGACCCTATCTCGTAGGCGGCAGAGTTTGTAGTTGGAGATGCATAGGGATGGACGGTGCAAGAAAACGGTCCTGTAGCCATCGTTGCTAGAAAAGTGCGGGACTCAAGATTAAAACCTGCTTGTGATTTTTCGAGAGCTCTTGGTTCAGAACCAAAATTATGCATTTGCCACAGTACTCTAGATGCACGTCTTGGTCTGCAGTTGGCTGAAATGGGGAGCCTGCTGAGGTTGACGTAACTAAGAGCTTTAACTTGCACTTCTACAGCTGCGGGGCAGTGAGCTGTTTCCAGTGCAGCATTGTAAAGTTAGTAGCTGTTTGATAGTGGGGGGTGTCCTTCTAAACCTGCTCCACAGAAAAGCTCCCGGATTGGTCCAGCCGACAATTCTACACTCACCAATTCGGTGTGCCTACGGAACTCACAACCTTGTCGTGAGCTGTGCAGGCTGCAACTGAAGCGTAACGAAACCCATATCTTTGTCACACCGTATCTTCCATTACTTATTAAACTACACTAAAACAACCAACACAGATAGAGCCTTTGGGGCAGCAGAAATTACTGTTTGAGTAGAAAGCTCCACGAAACGAAACCCAAAGCGCTCAAGGCTGGGATGAGTGTTCGCTACTCTCGCTATGGCGACCAGTTTGACAAACGCGACTCCGGCTCGAAATGAGTTCTTTCAACAGGTTCGCTTCCACACTCCTATTCCATAGTTACATCTGACACATCTATCACTAGCTTAAGCCATGCTGCGTCTCAATCAGCCAGTTGGCTATCCGGCCACCTGAAGGCACATCTTCATTCAAACGGCTCACAGAATTGACAACGGAGCTGTTTCACATCCTCAGCGACCAGATCAATAAAGACGCTACGGTAATGGATGAGAAGCTTGCCGATTATGTCTTCTTCCCACTTTCACATGTCTTCCGCAACCAAGAGCATCATCCTAAGCGGCTTGTCGAGCTCGCGGTCAAGTGCCTGACCATTATCATCCATCACGGTTGGAAATCGAGCATTTCGCCCCAAATTATGCAGCAGCTCCTTATACTTCTCACCTTCATCATTGGGGGGGTTCCGGGTCGGGAGGAAACGCGTGATCTTCCCGAAGAAACCGAACTAGAATCACTAAGAGCCCTTACCACCCTAATTACTGTGACCGGGTCGTCGGCAAAGGCAGCAGCAGCTCTGACCGAAGAGAAAATGGTGCCGAATCTTGGGCATACCATCACTGTCCTTCTGGTATGTGTCACAGACGGCAGAACACCAGAGATTCAGCTCGAAGCTCTACGCACTCTAGGCTGTTTCTACACCGGTATCAGAGACCATGGTGCCCTTGCATCATTCCTGCCTGGTGTAGTTTCATCCTTGACTAAAATCCTTGCCAAACCCCAGAGAGAGAAGACTAGAGTTCTTGTTGCGTCTATTCAGGTCTTGAAACTTGTTATCTTACAAGTTCTGGGAGATGTCAAGACCCGAAGTATCACTGCAAATTTAACTCGCTCGACCTCTTCCGAGGCCGAAACGGGCGAACTACTAAGCCCGTCTTGGCTGAAAGCTACATCATCGCAGATAAAGCTAGCTTTAACAACGGTTCTAAAGCTCCGCGGCCATGAATCTTTGGATGTACGAGAGACGTTACTAGCATTATCTCTGGGGCTTCTTGACGAGTGCCATACCACCCTGGAGACTTGTGCCTCAATGCTGGTAGAATCTGCTATAGTTCTGTCCTCAACAGACCATGCTCCATCGATGGCTGCAACAAGTCTACAAGATCTAGCAATCATATATCCTGAACTCGGAGAAACTGTCAAGGTTACCTGCTATAACTGGATTACGAGCTTGCCACGGATTATGCAGTCTGCCGACGAAGGCAACAAACAGTCAGCCATCCATAATCTCAGGAAAGGCATGACTATGGTGAGCACCTTGCAACTAGACTCTTCTCTTCTCGATGAATCAATTGCGGCAGCTCTAAGAGAAAGCGTCACATATCTGATAACCGGCACAAAATCAAGCAAAATCATGGATCAAGTGGCAACCGACGCTTCATGGTACAGCCGAGATGTTGTGAAGGCGGAAGAAGCCTCAAAACAGTATCAATTGACCTTGTTAAGCCAAGAGAGCCAAGCCGGAACAAGATCAGCAATAATAGGCCTGCTCTCTCAAATTGGCCCACCATCTCAGCAGACCAAACTAGCCGCTGAAATGCTGGATTACGCCCGGGATGCAACGGGTGATGCCCAGACAGCGTCGTTTTGGTTAAGCTTTGAGCTCCTTAAAGCCTCATTGTCTCGTTCCAACGAGTTGGATGACCTTCTCGATTTCTCCTCGTTAGGTCCTTCCGACGAGGGGGCCGATGCCGTCTTTCAAGAAGTGTACTCATTCGCCGTTATGGTACTTGATTCTCACTCAGAACTCTCCGAGGCTGATTGGAGATTGGAGGCTACTGCACTGGAGGTTACTTCATTTGCAGCATCTCGATTGGGCGAGGCCTTTAGACCTGAACTTATCGATGTTCTGTACCCAACTACGACTTTCCTGGGCTCAACAAGTCCTTTACTGAGAGAACATACCATAACGACACTGAACATATTAGCCGCGTCTTGTGGATACACGAGTGTGTCTGAGTTGATTATCGAGAACGTTGATTACATGATCAACTCAATTTCGCTACGCCTCAACACGTTCGATATCTCGCCGGCATCCACAAAAGTGCTGGTTATGATGACCCGCCTAACAGGGCCGCGTCTACTGCCATACCTGGACGATGTGGTGGCATCCATATTCGCCGCATTGGATAACTACCACGGGTACCCTCTTTTCGTGGAAAGTCTCTTCTCTGTTCTCAAGGAGGTTGTCAACCAAGGCGCAAAATCTGACAAACTCCTGCTTGAAGGTCGACAGAATGGCTCTGGTAACCACAAAAAGGTTGCCGCCAAGCCAGTCACTATCGAGGATATCATCGGCCTGCTGAAGCAACGGCAAAACAGAGAAAAGAAAGTGGCGAATGAAGCAGAGGAAGAGGAACCCCAAGGGCATCCGCAACAGCCCTGGGGAACTGAGAAGGCGGCAGATGAAGACGAAGTGGACAACCGGGTTGACAAAGAGAAACCACCGAAGACTCCGACTTACATCTTACTAGAAAAAATCACGAGCCTTACACAGCATTATCTTACTTCATCGAGCCCGACGCTACGAAAATCGTTGCTCGATCTCTTGGCAACCGTTTCGCCCGCCCTCTCTGGCGACGAGGACTCATTTCTGCCCCTCATCAATGTCGTTTGGCCTGTCGTCATCACTAGGCTCTACGACCAGGAAACTTTTGTAAGCATTTCAGCATGTGACTCTCTTTCAATACTGTGCGTCACCGCAGGTGACTTCTTGAGTTCTAGGATCAAGACAGAATGGTGGGATGGCTTGGGGAAGTGGTGTCGAGCAAAAAAGATGGAGGCTGCGCGCGCCCAAAACAAGACAAGGACTCATCAAGATACGGACAGAATTAGCGAAAGGACTGCTCCCACTGGTCAGGGCATCATCATCCCCATCCGCTCTGACAACGATTTGCTGGGCCAACAATCGACAGACGTTGCAGTTAGCACGGTAGCAGGCGGCCTGGGCAAGTTTTCTCAGGCAGCACAAATCTGGGAGGCAGTTGTTCGACTGCTGACAGCCATTGTGTCTCATGTGCGCATTGAGGCCGAGATATTCGACGAATTCCTGGAGTTGATGGCAGAAGTTATCCAAAAAAATCCGGAGGCACGCCAAGCGCTTGAAGCAGTCAACTCTGATGCCGTCTGGTTTGCACTGTATCAACGAGGGCACATAGAAGCGATGCGGACGCCGCAACTTGATGGGTACACATTCACGCCATTGCCTAGAATGGGTTAATGTAATGCATACGATTCCTCTACAAGTCTCATTATTAGCGGGATACATTATTTAATGTGTGAGCCCACATATCCTGCCATTCAAATCATCATCCTATCGACATGATGTCGGAACAGGCCCAGATGCACCGCATTAAAGCCCGCCCGACTAGCAAGGGTTGTGGTGTGTTGGCAGATGATGCGCAGGACGTTGCTCTGGGAAAGCAACCTGCTGATTGAAGGAAGCTAGAACGACGCTAGAAACGTTCTAGTGCATGCAGAGATGGGCTGGCAGTTGGTACGCCAATCACAAAATGAGCCAATATCACACTTGCCCACCCACCCAGGCTACACAGCACCCCATGAAGTTGAAGACATGGCAAATGACCACGAGACAAAACGGGAAGAAAATATGCGGACAAGCAGACCATGTATCACTCTCGATCATATTCCATGGCGCTTTTAGACGCCCAGCTATTGTGCGTTTAAGTGCTTGTCAAAACCTCGGATGGTCTCTTGTTCTTCTGGTATCTCGGTGAGTCCGACCCTAGCGAGGACAGGGAGTAGATGTCAGGAGATCAAAACTCCAGTGTGATAAAAGGTAAGATTGCGATAGAAGCGAACCTGTCCATTCCGTACTCATTACTGTCAAGATCGGCAACTGTCGTTTGTGATAGGTTTAAGACGCGAAAATATCAATAGTCCCACTGCAGCTCATTTAATGATGAAGCGGGCATGAGGGTGATGCGCCCAGGGTATGCCTGGACCCGTGGAAGAGCCACGGGATGGCAGCAACTTCCCCAAGTGTTAGAGCAGTCTCGTTTCATGAGCGGTAGACACGAGGCACAGGTTAAAGGGCAGTTCCCGGCGAAGTGATCCATTCCTTTTCGTAAAGAGCATCTCGACAAAACTGTTGACTTGGAGCAGCAATGCTTGTCAAGGTATCTTGGAACTAAAATCCTGCTTCGGTTACTTATCAAGCAGATAGGCAATCAACCTCCTGCCAATTTTGGATAGCAGAAGTAAACGCTATCTTTACATGACTAGGTGCAAGAGGGTGTCGCAGGCATGAGCACGCTCACGCGCACGCGCACGCCACAAGAGGCTACGAGCGGCTAGGGGTCGGACACAGTGTCCGCCGCTTGGCTAAGCATTGGGCCAATGGCTGTCACCGACCTAGATCTTGCCAAAGCTTGATTTCTCTCGGCACACAGGGGAGACGAAACTTCAACCAACCATCTCACTTACCTCCGTCTTGCAGTCTAGCCTGAGAACCAAACATGAGAAGCAAGATTATTGTATCCACAGTCAATAGTCAGTCTTCCAGGCTGCTAAACCAATTCCAAATGATTACCAGGCATAAGTCATGCCACTAGGCAGGCCAACTCGAGCCAGAGAATGGTGGTGTGCTAGTTCACCTTCGGGACGCTAATCCCCAGCTTCCGCGAACACCTGTGGTACACTGCGTCGAACAATGTTCTAGAACACATTCTACATGACAATTTAGTGCGTTTATCGTTCTACGATGTGGCGACAATCCCACAGGCGTCAAGCGCACAATCAAGTGAGTGTCTCGCCCCGAATAATGCTCTTTGATCATTTCGGAGCCTCTAACCCTTTCCTTACTAGAGGCAGACTCCGCATGTACAAGTCTTATCACTTCTACCAACCCCTCTCTCCGAAACCAATGGGTAATTAATAGGTTGTCCCAAGAGAGGGGATCTCGCGATCCGTAAAATGTGATGGCGAACCAGAGACCTTGATATTAATAAACGTGCAAACCGTTTTAAGACAGCACTCACATAGAGTTTTGCTTTCTGTCTACCTTCCGCATCGGTCAATGGAGTACATTATACACCTCATGCTGTCGTATCGTAGCGGGGGTATCAAAACATGACTGGCAGACCTGTGGAAGAGATGGCAGGTGAGCGGAGCTGGGTGGGAAACAAACTCCAAAGTAACACCGAGAAACGCCAGCATATCTACAGGGCCCGGACCATCAGGAGCATCTCCAGCGAGTTGACCTTAACCACCCGAATGGCCTGCTCCTACCGTCACCAGATTCAATTATTGGTTGCTTCAGCCCGGGACTTGAGCTAACGTCAGATACCCCGCCTACCCTTGTCAGCAACACGCACGCCGCGCCGGGTGATAATGGGACTACCCCGGCCCGGTTCCCTCTGCTGGAGCTAGAGGTCAAGCCATTTTGGTCTCTAGTTCCGGGGCAGGACTACTGTTATCAGTTTCGAAAGCTTTGTCCACTAGAGTCCGAGCAATCAAACAAGGGTCTAGCCCGCTCAACTACTCTGTCGTGTGGGAGGATGGAAAGAGGCTACTGCAGCGGCGAGGCCGGGGAGCGCAGTCCTGCCCCCGTGGACCTGGAACAGACGACCTGGATTAACAGAAGTGTGAGAAGTCAGTATCCGAGATCGTTCCCCGGTCACTAGACAGATCGAACTCCTGGTCTGACCAATTCTAAAGTATATATCGGGGTGTTCCTCAACACTCCAAAGTTGAGGTGGTGAATCGTCCCCAGTTGTTCCCTCTTTCCAATATCCAACAGCGATACCCAGAAATCCACATCGTTTGGCACGGTTCGCAAAGATGTCCACCCAATCAACAGATGGCGAGAAGCACCAAACGAAAGAACCCGCTGTAGTGGATGTCCAAGATGGATACGAATCCCACGATGTTGAGGTCGGAGTGGTCACCAAGGGCGAGCCCCTTCAACGAAACCTCCACAATCGGCACATGCAGATGATTGCTATCGGTAAGATACATTGGATTATGAACTTCCACTTGATAGTTCTGTGCTAATCTTTATTCTTGTAGGTGGTGCCATCGGTGCAGGTCTTTTTGTTGGCTCTGGAGGAGCGCTTCGAACTGGCGGTCCAGCCGCTTTGGTAAGAGCCCAATGACCTCCTATTGAGTATGATCTAAACCTAACCATAAGACTGCAGGTTATCGGCTACCTGATTGTTGGAATCATGTTGATGTTCACGACCCAAGCACTCGCTGAGATGGCAGTACTTTACCCTGTCAACGGTGCCTTTTATACCTATGTCTGCCGATTCGTCGACCCATCCTGGTCAGTTGCTCTTGTAATCAAACACACACATCTATCTAACCATGTCATAGGGGCTTCGCAATGGGCTGGGAATATGCTATGGCCTGGCTAACTGTTCTTCCCTTCGAGCTCATCGCAGCCAGTATCACGATCAAATTCTGGCGCGATGACATTAACATGGGTGTCTGGGTAACCGTCTTTCTCGTTGTACTCATCGTCATTCAAGTCTTCGGTGTCCGCGGCTATGGAGAGGTCGAGTTCGTTCTCAGCATCATCAAGATCGCCGCTTGCACGGGCTTCATCATTCTCGGCATCGTCATCAACTGTGGTGGCGTTGGTGACAGGGGTTATCTCGGCGTGAAGTACTGGCATGATCCGGGCGCCTTCCAAAATGGCTTCAATGGTTTTGCTAGTGTCTTCGTTGTTGCAGCTTTTGCGTTTGGCGGCACTGAGCTTGTTGGCCTGGCCGCCGCCGAATCAACAGACCCGCGCAAATCCATTCCCATGGCTTCCAAGCAGGTCTTCTGGCGCATCGCATTCTTCTATATTGTCAATCTCCTTATACTCGGCCTCATTGTCCCCGCTAATGACCCCCGTCTCATGGGCTCCTCCGGCGCAAACACCAAGGCGTCCCCCTTCGTCCTTGCCATCCAGGATGCCGGCATCCAGATCCTCCCTTCGATTTTTAACGCTGTCATTACCATCGCTGTCATTTCGGTCGCAAACTCCTGCACATTTGGTTCAACCCGCACAATGCAGGCCATGGCTGAGCGGGGCATGGCGCCTCGCTTCCTTGCCTATGTTGACAAGAAGGGCCGCCCCCTTTGGTGCATCGCGGTCCAGATTGCCTTCGGATTGCTTGCGTTCATTGGCGAGTCCGCAGACAGCAGCACCGTCTTTGGCTGGCTCCTCGCCCTTACTGGTCTGGCTTACCTCTTTGTTTGGGGCTCCATCTGCATGGCGCACATCCGCATGCGTATGGCCTGGAAACTGCAGGGCTACACTCTCGACCAGATCCCCTATAAGGTACCACTTGGCATCTGGGGAAGCGTCATCGGCCTTGCTCTCAACCTTCTCTGTCTTGCGGCCACATTTTATAACGCTCTTTACGTAAGTTACTCTACCGTCAAGTCAAAATGTCGCAGCGCTAACCCGGCCCGTAGCCCTCCCCTGGTGCCAAACCTGACGCTGAGGCATTCTTCAAGGCCTACCTTGCTGCTCCCATTGCCGTCTTCCTCTACCTCCTCTGGAAGGTCATCTCGCGCGACTGGCGTTTGTATGTACCCCTTCACGAGATCGACCTCAACTCTGGTGTCCGCCTCCAGGATCCTAGCGAAGAACCTATGCCCGAGAAGACATGGGCAAACCTCCCGCGCCGGATTGCACGTGCTCTGTTTTAATAAATAATAGGGGGCGAAGGCCATGTTTTGCTCGATATCAATTTGTAATGAGCTTTCTCAGCCGTGGAAAATCGGCGAATCAAAGGTGTAAGAGAGAAAGAGAAGGGTAAAATGACGTGCTGCGAAAGCATCTTAGAAATACCACGGGAAAATTTTCAAGGTCATATTGAGAGATCAGGATGCTCTTTTCTGCCTAGTACGTCCTGCTGTACTGTTAGATTCTTTTTCTCATGAATGACGACGTTTTGCACTTAAAATGCTACAGTTAAATACATAATAGAAGTACGACTGGAAAATACATTTTGGTCTTTGAATAGGCGCATCGTATTGAAACAGTGTTCTACGGCCATTTATACAAGAAAAAGCCCTGCCGCTTCGAGGTACGGCATAAGGGCCATGACCGGCTAGATCTAACCCACCGCAGCGTTGGTCGCACGCAAAATTTGACATTGTTCACGCTTGCTGATCAGTGTATGTATTCAAATCTAACCCAACCTATCCGTCTAAATCAGCTCTGCCGGCGAGGATGGCAAGCTGTTGGTGCGCAAGGTATGCAATGTCTCACCGTGCCGGTCGTGGCTCCCCTGCCTCTGCCGCGAGATCCCGCTCAACCATCTCGATAGAGCCCAGACTAGGGAAACGCTTTGAAAAGTCCTGTAGGTAGTCGTCTTTCTCTTTTGCTGACATCTCCAGTACTGACCGCCCTGACAACCCCACGCCAACCAAATGGTCGGAGGGCATAGTAGGGGGCTGCGACGTTTTTGGTGGCGAGCTTGGTCGGCCACCAGTTGGGAGGCTATTAAGGTGCATTGGCTTACGCGGTGCCACTGGTCTTGGCCCAGGAGTGTTTCGTCCAGTTGGAGGCATTGGCTCACTCGCGGACGCACGTATTTTATGGACCATGACATCTTGCGAACCGGAAGGTGTCACGGATCGGGGTTTGGGACCACCGACCGGCTTGCGAGGGATATCGGGCAGCTGTTTGTCCAAACGATTGCCGGTTGAGGATGCATCGGTGTAGACTCCATAACCCTGAGCAGTACGGGGAACCTGGGCCGCGGATTTCTGACCCTCGTTCAAAAGGGTTTGCACTCTGTTTTGAATGCTGACAGCCCGAGAGACTCCACCAATGCTTTTCGGCAGCGGAGTGGGACCGCCAGAGCTTGATCCTTGGTTTGTAAACCGTTGGCGGTATTCTGCAGCGGCAGCTTCGACACGGCGCTCTTCTTCCTCAAGGCGCAGGCGTTCAAGCTCTCTTCGCATTGCTGGTGTCATATCCTCAGTTTCCTCCAAGCCCTTGCCGTCATCAGTGCGGCCGTCGGTAGCTTCTGAGCCTTCAATCGGAGTTAATGCTGGGCGGTCTGGTTGCTTGAGAGGTGAGGGGGTTCGAGCGGGCACAGGGGCCTGGTTTCCTTCAAACCGTTTGAACGCGTCCCCAAACTTTCCAGCAAAGATATTTTTCGTCCCCGACAAAGAGCTAAGACTTCCCCGTTTGCCATGCTTAGCGCCCCAGTCCTTTTTCTCTGACTTTGACTCTTCCATACTACGCAAGAACTCTACGTTCGACTCAATATGGGCCTCCTCCTCGAATTCTATCGGCGCCGCAGGAGAAGGAACTCTATCAGGGAACTTCGGGGACAAGAGACTAGGGGAAGGCAGAGGCTTCGAAGAACCTTCTTTCTCCCGCAAGAAATCTAAATTGGACTCGAGATGGGTACTGACTGGCCTCGGGCGGCCGTCAATGGATCTTCTTTGGGCGCTTGAATCAAGAAGATCTAGGCTTGGTCGTCCACCTTCCAGTGAAGGACGCGATGATGATGGATGCCGTACGTGAGCCGGCCGGAACTGGTACGATGGAACGCGGGCAATGGACCCCGTGGCCGAATCCTCGGTGCCTGAGCGCGAGCTGGCGTTCGCATCTACCTGACGAGGAAGGCTGGCTGACCGACTATGGTCGGATGTAGGCACTCGCCATATAGGTTTAGGCTCCCGGGCTTGCTGTTCAGGCGCTGGAGAGGTTGTCATCGTACCCGTCGAGACGTACCTCGATGGCGGAACCTGATACTGGGCTTGCGTCTGGGACTGAGATGAAATGGCTTGCAGTTCGGGATTCTTCTGAATGATAGCATGTGCTCTGCTCATCTCAGTTGGCTTCGAAGGAGCCGAAGCAGTCTTTGTTAAGCCAGCAGTGCCTGGTGGCGGCGACTTCACTGTTGGCGGCGTGTAAGAAGATGTACCTGTTGGGGCAGCAGTCCTAGAGCGAATGGGTTCCTGGCTCTCCGGAGTCGGCTGCGCCGCCGTAAAAGCCGCATCGGCGGGATTCTCATTAGGCCTCTGGCCCAGGTTCCTCTGCTGATGCGTTGAGGGCGGGGTGTTCGAGTCGAAGTTGAATTTGGACCCTTGCTCATGCAGGAGAGAAAATTGGTCCAAAGAAGGAAACCGGGAAGAAAAGTCATCCACATCTCCTGCTGGGGCAGCTACAGGAGCAGCTGTTGGAGCGGCTTGCGTATCCAGAGCAGCAAAAGGATCCCCATTAGTCACCCGCATCGGGGACGGACTCGGCTTTGGTGCTTGCTGAGTCTGAGATGGTTGGCTGGTCGCTGGAAGTCTCCCTCTTCTCATGGGAACGATGTCCGGAATGGCCTGTTCTTCTTGCGCAGACGGGGAGAAAACGGCACCAACAACGGGCTTAGATTGAGAATGGTCTGCAGCAGAACGCCGATCTTTACTTTGCAGCTCTGAGTGATGCTTTCCAGAATAGATCTACGCATTTCCTTAGTGAGCCGTACACCTGAAAGCATGCTAGAACAACCCACATCGTGTATAGGAACATCACGGCCCTGCATGGCACAGCCTTCGCGTAGAACCTGATAAATATTCGGTCTAGATTGAGGGCTCTCGCGCAACATAGATGCTAATGCCTGTTAGTTGTCGCTCTCCTTCCGCATGTATGAACGTACCAATGAGCTTCTTCAGCCGGTCAGAGAACACCGGGTAACTTGGGAATCTATAGCTCGCATTGAGAATGGCCAGCTGTCCCTGGTCTTCAAAAGGCGTAGTGTAGTAACACAGTTTGTATAATAGCACACCCAAAGCCCATATGTCCGATTTCTCGTCGATCGGTAGCTTGCGGTAGACGTCGATCATCTCTGGGCTTCTGTATTGCATGGTGGTGTGCTTCTGGACATCCTCGTCCATGAGCCTACATTCGACAACTGTTTGCGGGGCGGGTTTGGGAGGCGCGGCGGATCCAAAATCGCAGAGCTTGAATCTCTTCTGGGAGCCATGGCTGAGAATTAAAACGTTCTCAACCTTTAGATCCCGATGAAGTAGCGGCGGCTTAAGATAATGCATACAAGCAACTCCTTCAGCGATGTCGGTGAAGATGTGGAGGATTTCAGGCTCGGTCAGTCGGTGTTGTAGACGCGTGTTCATAAAGTCGATCAAGCCGCCTCCGTTGCAGAATTCCATGAGAAGGAAGACCTCGTAGCCTCCCCCACGCATTTCAGATGCATGCGAATCGATGTAAGTAACGATTGGTCGATGGCCTTTCAGCCTTTTCATGGTCTCAACCTCGGTTCGCATGCTCCGTAACGCCTCCTTATCGGGAACAGCCACTCTCTTCAGGACAGCCACGTCCGTGTCATCAATGGGCTTGGGAAGCTTCACCAGATAAACATGGGCAAAGCCTCCCTCAGATAGATATTTCTGAATCACCACCCTGTGGTTGCCAACTTGTATCTTGGTTCCAGGAGCGAAAGTGCCCGCAGGAGCTGAGGCCACGGGAGCTGGCATCGCAGCGCCATAGGTGGCAGGATGAGCAGCTCGCGGGGCCGCTGCGGGCATGTGGTGGCCGTATGATGCCATATTTTTATAGAAGGCTCGGAGATGTCGTGGTCGACTGAACGTGGAGGTATCGCCGCCCGATGCAGTGAGACTGGAGAGGTGGGAAGTCAGCGGGCGGTCGAGGGAGGACGGTGAGAAGGTAGGCGACAGTGTGAATAAGGATTATTAGGGAAGGGACCGTGGCATTGACGAGCTTTTTCGACTCGATCAAGGCACACCTATGCCATTCTTGGGTTTCGATGGCGGTTGTTGGCGTCTTTGATGAGTTGATTCCAGGTTGCCATCAAGCTGGACCTGAACTTGGACATGCAAGACAGTATGGAGTACGGGTAGGCAGTACGTAGTGCATAGGTACGGAGCGTCCATCAGCCGCTATTAGTGGTGGAGCGCTGGCATAAGGCCTTGGGGAGCTAACCAAGACCCTGGCACACCCTGTTCACAGTTCCATGTTTCGCAATGCACTTAGTCGGGGAAGTGTCGGGTAATTGTCATGCACCACAGTTTCTGTCAGTGGCTGGGCCGCAGCTGCCACGAAGGTGTCACCAGATGGCAGCACCTGAATCTCATCTCATCCTGAAAACGGGCAACAGAGATCCAGATTTCGTTGGTGGGGGTAGATCACTGATGGTTCTTATCGATATCAGATAACGATAAGACTTTCTTATCCAGCCAAATTTTTTTTCTCTCGGGCCTCGAGCCTCTGTCCGGGCTGCAGCGTCGCACCTTTTTTAAGCTGATCTGTAGCAACACCAAAACCTACGCAATTCTAAATAGACGACAACGAAGACGATAAATATGGTCAAACGAAAGAGAGTCGAGATTGCGAACGCCACTCCTGCCAAGGGTGCAACGCCCGTAAAGAAGGCTAAGCCGACCAGCAATAGCTCAGCTTCGAAACAAACATCATCAGGTCTCCCGGCGGAGGAGTTGACGATCCAGATTGTCGCAGGCTCCTATGACCGGGTTCTTCATGGCATTACCGCTACGATCAAGCCAGAGGGCACCGTTGATTTCGCCGACACATTCTTGTTCACCGCGCATACCTCAGCGATACGTGCCGTCGCCCTGTCTCCTTTCTCAGCTCCTGTCCCTGGACAGGGCCAGAAAGTGCTGTTGGCATCTGGAAGCACCGATGAGCGAATCAACTTGTACAACTTGTCAGCGCATCCCCCAAACAGGAAGAACCAGGAGCTTCTTTCATCCGTCGCTCCCCGACCGATCCTCGAAAACCCCAAAAACCGCGAGTTGGGAACATTATTGCACCACTCGTCAAGCATCACCAAGCTGGTTTTCCCCTCGCGGTCTAAACTACTTTCTTCGAGTGAAGATTCTACGATCGCCGTTACGAGGACAAGAGACTGGTCTGTCCTGTCGACAATTAAGGCACCGATAGCCAAGCCCCAAGGCAGGCCTAGTGGTGATACTGCCCCCTTTGGCGGGACACCGTCGGGTGTCAACGACTTTGCCATCCACCCCAGTATGAAGTTGATGATCAGTGTCAGCAAAGGCGAGCGGTGCATGCGATTGTGGAATCTGGTCACTGGCAAGAAGGCGGGTGTTCTCAATTTCAGCCGAGAGATGCTGCAAGAAGCGGGAGAGGGGAAACATTCAAGTGGCGAGGGCCGTAAGGTAGTTTGGGGCAAGACCGAAGACGAGGATGAGTTTGCCGTTGGCTTCGACCGAGATATTGTGGTGTTTGGCATGGACAGTGTTCCTAAGTGCCGTGTTATGCCTGACACCCGAACCAAAATCCACGATTTCTCTTATGTTGCTATCGAGGGCGAGACGGAAGCCAGTATGCTAGCGGTTTCAACAGAGGATGGACGAGTCTTATTCTTCTCTACAAAAACGGATGACCTCAACAAGCCGGAGAAAGACAAGTCGCTGTCTACAGCCAAGTTGATTGCTCAGCTTGGCGGGAAGGAAGCAGGGGTCTCCGGCCGTATCAAGACCATGGCCATTCTGCAAGCTAACCAAGCTCTGTTTGTTATCGGAGGCAGCAGCGATGGAAAAGTGCGGTTATGGAAGGTCGACACGAAGGAGTTGGGAACCAGCAACGGTAACAGCAAGGCAACAACAGGCGGCAAGCTACTGGGAACCTACGATACACAAAACCGCATCACCTGTTTGGCGGCATTTGCAATGATACCCCGGCCGGAGGGAGTGGAGGAGAGCGAAGACGAGCTTGAAGAGGATTCTGAAGGCGATTCTGAGGATGAAGAGGAAGAGTAATTTCATGCGACTGTGCAATATCACCGACAATAAGATATCCGTTTAATCAAAATATATACATGCGCAGAAATCGTGAACATCGGAGTTTCGCAAGGCGTGAAGTTCAGACGGCGGGGAAAAGATTGACTCCGAATGGCCGCCCATCAGCGCCATGCAGAGGTTTGGCTCGTGCAGAGTCCCGCTGATCGGCATCGGCGTGTCTCGTATCAGTCTGCAGATTGCATGCCAATCCTAAGCTCTGTCTTTGGCGCACGAGCGTTTATGGTTGGAACACTCCAAAACTGCAATTTAGAAAAAGTCATAGTTGGGCCAGGTCCGGACTCATCAGAGACAAGCAATGTACGCAGATGCAGGTTGGCGAGACATGGTCGCAAAACAACGACGCAGCCGGGCGCCTGAGGTTGAGATGAATAGTTGGGTGCGCTTTGGCGATGCCAGACCTGTGTACGAATATGTCCATTCGGTGCGAATCTGATGTGAAGCACTTTCTACTGGCATGCATTCTTTGTCTCTATGCCGTTGGACGACGAAGCACGGCAAGACAATGCAAGCCGGCGAAAACTATGTAGGGCTACCCGTTCCCCCCTTCATGTTTGCTTACGTTACCTGAGTATGAGAGCCTCGTGCGAACGCTTTTACCAATCTTGGTATATCTCATCTACTGGTACCAGGGCCCTATACTTGGTTAATGGCTGGATACGCGGACAACTCGGATACGGGCAAACAGGCTGGACGACCTGCGCCCCAAATCCCCTTGCCTGAGACCCAGAGTAAAGCAGCTTGGAGGCAAGGCACACGACTCGACTTCCCCTGTTCACCCTTCGATCGTGAGGGACGCACTGTGGCAGTCACAGGGCACTCAACCTCTCGAGGGTGTTGTTCAAAGGAACAAGAGGGACCGGGCTAGCAAAGTGTGGGGTAGCGGCGAATCAGCAGGCCAAGAATGTCATTTCAGGACCCAATCTGGCGTCCACCAGTCATGTGGCCCCACTGGACTTTATCCTATTGCATGCAGCCGTGCCTTGGCGCCAGTCCCCTAGCTCCAACTCATTCAACAGTAGAGGAGGCAAGTGCCAGCAGCCAAGGGGAATCCTTGCCTATTCGGTCCATGTCTCAGCAGAAAAAAAAGGAAAGCAAAAAAGAGGGCAGGAGTACCCCATTGCGATGAGGTGCCATTTGGTAGGCAAAGTGGGAGAGCTGCAGGGTAGGTACCTTAAGGTGGAACGTGAACATGCTATGCGGGTTAAATCAAGTGTGCAACCTCCAGACATGTGAATTATTCCTTCAGATCCCTCCTCACAGAGTATTCCCGTCCCTATTTCTGCTGCATACGATTTTTGAAGTCCGACCTCCCGCCCGCCGCTCCAAGCCACACAGCGCAGAGACCACACCACCACCACGCCGAAATTCCCCTCTCTCGTGTGTTGCTCGCGTCTGTTTTACTGGTCTGTCTCATTTTCCCAACCGAGCAACGCGCCAGAGGTGACTACAACTTGTACCAATGCTGCTACGGAATACGGAAGCCAATACCGGTACCACATAACTTCTGCGAACTGACCTCTAAGAGATCATGCCGTTGCAGTCGCCTCTCTCTTTCCTCCCGTCGCCCTAGCATAAACCCACTTGTCGTCAGCAAGCTCCCTTGCGGAAAGCCTCACCTAGTCGCTTCTTTGCAGTGGCACGTTCTTTCTTCCTCTTCTCCATTCGCATACACTTACGCATCCAATCCCGCCCGTTCGGTTCACGGCATCTGTGGTCGGCGAGCAAAGGTTGTCTTCTATCAGCTCCTCCAAGTTGACAGTCGGGGTCCTAACAAATTCTCGTTGCTGGATGCTGCAGTCTTACACACCTTTAGCATACTCCATCCAACCCTTTCGATTCTCCTTCGTTCGTCTCATCCTTTGTCACCGTACCTCTGACCCCGGTTTGAGAGTGAATCGTGTCCTAGCCCACGTGAGACGAGACACTTTACCTCTCGTCTGAACGTCTCGGTGACGATCACCAATCCTTTCGACCTTGGACTGCGGGGTTCAGTTTTGTTGTACTAGGCGACGTCCGGCTCAATCATCTCAAAAGTGTACCTGTTTGTTTTTTTGACGTGAGCATATAATACTTCCTCGCATTTGCCTGGTGAACTTATTCCTAACTATCTCATCGCAGAGCATTCCTATCGTCATCCAAACGCCCGATCCCTAGCTATCACCAATATCGATCGAACACTATGTCTGACGACGGCCCCCCTCTCTTGCGACCCATCCCCCGCCGCCCTTTCGACTTCAATTACATGAGCCCTACTCCCCCAGATGAAGACTCATCCTCCCCTAGTCCGAACCCTGATATCGATCTTTCCAGATTATATAATGGACAGACTGCATCCTCGGACGCAGGTTCACTGCCCCGCGCCCAATCCATAATGAACTTGACGGCTTCCACACTCTTCGGAATCTACTCTCCGACAGCGTACGGAAGGGACCGTGACGGCAACGAAAGGGATGAACCGGATACGCCTTGGGGTACTGGGTCGCAGACTCCCATTAAACGCCCCAGTGTAGACGATTCGACGTTCGAGCTCATGAAGGACCGCTCGACCCTGTTACGCCGGCGGACCTCCCAGCGCGGTCCGAAGCCGCAGCCGCCATCAACTGCAGCCTCTACTCTGTTTACTCTCTCTAGAATAACCCTTCTCTTCATAATTGGCATGGGATATGGCGTCATGGTCACACGATTACAGAACGAGCACAGGTTTTCGTCATTCCAGGTTGAGAGCATAATTACACCAAGCTATGACTGGCAATATCTGTCACTATGGGGCTTGTCGGGTGTTGTTCTCGGTGGCCTTCTACCTTGGTTCGATCGAGTGTGGGAGGATGCGTTTGGTAAGGAAGAGGATCTCCCAGAAGAAAGGGATAGCTCATCGCCGGAAGATGTAAGCCCTGTAAAGGACTGGGCCCTGGTTGTGCGCAGCATAGGTGCTTTTGTTGGCATTGTCTTTGCTATTGTGAGTTTTCCCAGCAATAAGTTATGTGACACAGAAGCTGACAATGAATAGCGGAAACTCCCTTGGGCGTCCACCCTTCAAGTATCCCTTACATTGGCTCTTGTTAACCCTTTCCTGTGGTATCTTATTGACCGATCAAAACCTGGTTTCTTGCTCTCAATGGCCGTTGGTGTTGCTGGATCGGCAGTGCTTCTTGGCATTAATCCTGACGTGATGCCAACCCCATCCTCTCTCACTTATCGGAACGAATCGGACAGAGCGTATTCGGAGCCAAGTACGCTCGGTGGCCTGGCTCGGCAGGAGACCATTGAGACGGGTATATGGATGCTTAGCGTTTTATTTTGCAGTTGTGTCTGTTTTGGAAACATTGGCAGACGGCTGGCTATCAACAAGTCGGCCACCGCACGTGGCCGCTGGGCCGGCATTAGATAAAATTGTACTGTGGATCAGTTTGTTTTGGCTATGTACGGGAGTGTAGCTTGTGGGATCGCTTGAGTGAACAGAGGGCCTCGAAACAGCGATAACGGGGCGCATCCGGTGCAATTCATGACTGTTTGACTCTACGCACTGGCTCTTATAATGTTTGGACGGAAGGGGAACCAAAGTGCAGAGACTATCTTCGCTACAAAGAAACCGGCTTTAGCGACCTCTTCTACCCGCAGGTATGTAAATAGCCGGTTTCTGGCGGTTTGGACACAAAATATCATGTGTTTTAGGTGTTTCCTACCTTGAGCGACAAGCGATAGTACAAACATGCAGGAACTCCCATCGATTAGGCATCACTCGGTGACAAGACGCAGGTTGAATTGATAATCCCCCTCTTTTAATAATATCAGTTTCTTAGCCTATAGTTCATTCTGTTTGTCTTTTATTCTCAAGCTGTCTCTTTCTTTTTTTGCTTTCCGCTTTTTCCGTCTCGATATCGTCATGGGTATTGCTTTTTATTTAATTTTACCGACCTCCCATATGTCGAGTTTTGCAGACTACCTGGTCTGAGCGATGGCATCGACAACGGCTTGGGCTTTGCTGGTGACCTCGTTCCCATAGTCCACTTGAGGGAGGCCCATCATGGTTAGGAATCGCGGGCTGCTGATCATCTCGTTGATGGTAATGGCTCGTCCGCATACGTCGGAAAAGCACTCGGCGGCAGCCGCAGGGCCGGTGGTTCGACCTAGGGTCCCCTTGTCAGCAAAATAAAAGTATGCAATTATTGATTACACGATCCTGGCTTGGCTCGCATGCGGCGACGGCGCGCACGCGGTCAGTCGGTGTGGGGGTTGGATGCATAGCTGCATGCGCTCAGGGCTATTCTAACCAGATTGCTGACGGATCTGCTCCGGATATCGCACGGGCTCGCCGTCCCGAATGTGATCGAGCTCGGTCATGATATACCGGGACCGATTGACAAAGTCCCAAATGTGGTAGAGACCCCGGTGGGGATTTTCAGGCTTCCAAGCAGGGTGGGCCTCAATGGCTTTAATAAGATCAGAGAGCCGTTCAGTAATGGTAGCCCGGACTTCGGGAGAGGGAAGGGCTGGAGACATTTTGGAGACCGGAATCGGTGGGTGAAACTGGAAAGGAGGTAAATATTGTACAGCCTGATGTGTTGTGATGGTACTGTTGAACGACATAGGCAGCGTTCTCGAATATGTAGACTGAGTCGTGGGAAACAAAGTGTCGAGAGGTTGACAATAGAGAATGGGACGAAAAGAAAAGAAAGCTAGAAGCTTAGCTTAGTCAAATTGGCAGTCACAAGGCAAGTTTCCTAATCTGTGAGCTGTCGGTGAGGGTAAGCAAGGGTTTGGAACGCGTTGCCGCGAGTTGTGGCATGTTTCCATCCCACAGGCTCGGCTGGACAACAAGCCACCGCCTTCATTTACGAATTTTAGGTTGCGTTTACAGAGGGGAAGCAAGTGGAGTAGAGATGACGGGATTGGGCTGAATGGAGGGGTTCGAAGGGGTTGATGGGGTCTTGACGGCTGATCCAGAAGCGAAGATCTGGCCTAGATTTGGCAGCTATATTAAGTTACGAAATCAGCATGACGAAACATCGAGAATGGTTACACAGAGATGGCAATCGGATCGATAACAGCTACAGCGCCGTACATCCCCACTGTTCCCCGATCTTGAATGATGGGATTCTTATCATTGGGAATGGAACCAGAGTTGTGATATCCGTTGAGTGCAGCAATATGATTGTGTGACCACAGTAGTGGGACTAAGCAAAGCTTCTTCACAAGAGCTCGCCTCATAGCTCTCTTTTGGGCTTAGGTGTTGATGCAGCCACGCTACGGGGCGTAGGCTAAATCCTCCCGAATAGATCTTTTTTTCGAGGGAGCATCGCCGACAAGGCTTAGCAACAGAAACAATTTACCAGCTTTGTGGTGGAGGGCGACAGATCGTAGCAGCCGTTACTTTGAACCCTCTGTACCCAGCAATGGAAGTATGACTAGCTTACTTACGAAGTTGATTGCCAACTTGATAAATGTATATGGCCTCATGCCTGCCTGCTACCACGGCCAAAGTTGGACAAAAACTGAAATCGAGTTGCGTCTAACCGTGTGTTTAGCCCGAAAAGGCCAGTTTCAGTCACCACTCATTATTCCATGGGGTTTGAAAGTATTTCGAGCTAAAATGATTACTGACCCCCCTGTCCGGAACAGCGATCAACCGTGGCCGAGGCCAGCGACTGGGACTAGGGTCCATTAGGACATAGCGGAGTTATGACCGAAGTTGGCCATAACAGACTTGTTGCAGGCATTGGAGATCCGAAACACAAACTATCGAACATAGTAGTTAAAAGGTTGGCCTGCACTTGTTGTGGTCGTGCCCTATGGCATAAGGGAAGAAAAAAAGAGTGAAAAAGAATGTGTGCCTGCCGCTTCGTGTTGGCGGGGGCAGGTAGTGCTGTAATGACGCACTGGATCTGGAAAACGAGTTGCATCTGAGTGGGCGCAGTAGCGAACGAGACGCTGGAAATGCAAGACCCTGGACATGTGTATGCTGTCTTGGGTGTGTACATTCGCTAGCGTCGATTGCTGGCCTTGAGTGAGTTGGGCAGGATCGCTAAACTCAGTTATAATCACTTGCGAGAGTCATATTCATCCGAGTCAACTCAAAGGGAAACGCAGTTTTTGTGTGGGAATACGGATAACAGGTCATGGCTCAATGCGCTGTCGCAGGTTCCTTCCTAAAAAGAGAATCGTCCGTCCAATATCGTGTACACTTTAAGTCACGGTACTTGTCGGCATGGATGGAGCGTGTTGATGGCCATGTTTGCTGATGGCAGGGTCCTGGGGCTCGCTCCCAGCGAGATCTCCTTGCGGCCAGACGAACTTGGGAGACAATCGCGGTGTTCCGCCGGTTCGCAAGTCGCCTGTAAAAAACAATGACAGTGGGCTAACGGATAACTATTCCTTGCATATGGACTATTTCCGCAACAGAATTAAACCGAATCAGTTGCTGCACAATACCGCCTGCACCAGATCCTCGGCCGAGATACCGGACTAGCACTTCGGAGACAGGAGGGTCTTTGGATGTCACGTGGCCTTGAGACATCATTTCCTCGCTGACCTAAGCTGCCCTCACTTCGTCCTCCAAGTCTACTGCCAGAAACATGGGGAATGGCACTGGTTGTTCAATTGCGTCATGTCGCTGAGGGGCATGAACAAGGACAGGAACCCGTCATAAGAGACAATTGACAAGCCGAGAAGCCAGATGCAACACACAACGCACAAAGAATAGCTACGGTAAGTCGACAAGTACAAGCATACAAACTTCAGTGTTTTGCTTTCTGGATAAGAATACAACGATTTCAGATACTGAATGCTGAAAGATAGAGCCCTGGTACGCTGATCGTGATGGGCACATAGTACATAGTGGTGGAAAGGCAAATACCAGCAGTTGAATCCGACCGCCGTTGAAAGGCAATGTAAGGGATCCCCTTGTCGCCCTAGCCCACTTCACCGTACCTCTAGTCAAGTAAGCCTACCAAACCCAAAGTCTGTCCCTCCACCAAGCCCGTAAGTGTCGTCACAGCTAGCCTGGGATTTGCCCACTGACAACAGCCCGCTAAACCCTTATTTGCCTAGGCGCAAGGGGCCTGTCGAGGGCACTTGGAAAACCCGCCCATGCGTCGCCTGCCGGAAAATGTACCGGTACTTGACGTTACCTTTGAATATCGACATGGGCCACCAGGCCTGGCACCATTGTCCGAGGGCGGCTCTCTTCTCATCTTTCTCTCTTTCCTACGCGCGCTCTCTGGGTCTTCTATTCATCAGTCTGTCTATTGGCCTTTCATTGGCCTCTCTGGCTGCTGGTCCCTGTTCGCAGTCCCCTGGCCGCCTCCTCAATTTCATTGACCTCATTGCACGGCCACACCATCCCAGAAACGCCCCTCCAAGTCCACCCAGGCGCCCAGCGGATTGGTAGCAGGACGTTAAATGTATGACGCCTATCTACGATTCTCCCCCATCGTTACTTCGCGCTCCAAAGTACTCTTCCTATGCATCTGGCTCCTACCTGGTACATGCATGCTGCCACTCCTCTAGCTTCTAGCTCCGGCCCTCGGTCAACTAGCTTCGCCGGCGTTCCTTTACCTGGCCGCTTTTGAACTTGTTCAGGCGCATCATGAGATCCGCTCCATTTTGGAACCACTGCAGCTCTGATGATACCGCATATATGACCCTAGGTTACTACCCCCCCGTCACTTTTTTATTGCCGAACCACTCATACGTTCAAGTGGCTGCTAGAAAACACCTCTTTTCATTTGCTTTTGATACCTAGCGATAACACGCCTAGAAATCCTAAGACGCTCCGACAATAACGTTTCAGAAGAGAGGAGGAGTACGGACTATACGAAGAGACTGTAAAGCCTAGCGAGCCATCATCAGATACCCCCGAAAACGCCTTGCTGTGCCAGCGCCGTGCTGGAGGAGACGCTTCATGTCCTCCGACCAGCCGCGGGTCGTCGAGAGCAGACCATCGGCCTTGACGTCTAACCCGGTACAAGAAGCCGAGGACGAGAAGGACCATGGCACCATCGAACGTCCCCTACTGGCTGATCAAGTCCGGGATGTCATCCGCTTAATCCAATGTCGAAAATGCTCACGCCCGCTCCGAGAGCCCGTCACACTTCCCTGCGGCCGGAGCCTTTGCAGAGAATGCCTGCCCGAAACACATGCACGAGAAAATATATCTTACCCTGCTACGCCAGGTAGACTACAAGGTTTCGAGTGCCCATATAAAGAATGCGGTCGTAACCATGCGGTGGGCGACTGTGCTGTCGACGTAATCCTTACTAAGGCCGTCAACAACTTCAAGGCTGAGATCGAAAAGGCAAAAGTAATGAACACAGGTGCCGAAATATCCACACATGTGGTGATCAGGTTTCCTGATGCTGTCAAGAGCGATACGGGTGTAGATGATGAAACGACATCAAGGGTCGTCAAAGGAGGCCCACTTGCTGCTGTTTACGCGCTTGCGGAAACAGGTGAACTGGATTACAACTCCAACGTCACCTTCGCAGAGGTCTCATCGCTTGGAGACGAGGCAGCGGCCCTTGACACCAGAGTTTTTTCCAAAGTCAAAGAGTCTGTCAGAACGGAAATGGATTGCCAGGTCTGTTACGCCTTGTTCTACGATCCATTGACAACGGTCTGCGGCCACACTTTCTGTCGCTCTTGTCTTCACCGGGTCCTGGATCACTCATCATACTGTCCGATCTGCCGAAGGGGGCTGTCAGTTAGTCCCTTGCTCTACCGAGAGTCATGTCCCTCGAACGAGCATCTGAAGACTATTATCCACACATTTTGGGCCGACGCTGTTCTCACGAGAGGCGATGCTTTGGCTGCTGAGGCACTGAATCGACATCGCGAATTCGATATTCCGATATTTGTTTGCACTTTGTCGTTTCCTATGATGCCAACATTCCTCCACGTCTTCGAGCCGCGGTATCGACTTATGATTCGGCGGGCACTAGAAGGCGACCGAACTTTTGGCATGGTTCTTCCACAACGGCCCCGGACCGCCAGCGACACACATTTCATGGAGCATGGAACACTGTTACGGATTGTTAACGCCGAATACTTCGCAGATGGTCGAAGTCTTATCGAGACAACCGGAATCTCCCGTTTCAAAATCACGAGGCACGGCATCTTGGATGGATATCTGGTAGGGAAAATTGAAAGAATCGACGACATTTCCATCGCGGAGGAGGAAGAGCTAGAGGCAACTGAAACCCAACAAGCTCTTGAAAGATATGAGAGCGCCGCTACTCATCAGAGCGAGGAATCTACAGCCACGAGACCAACCATGACTACTTTGGAAGATCTGTCGAGCATGCCGACCAGCGAGCTGTTGGCGTTTGGTGTTTCCTTTGTCGAGAGGATGCGACAACAAAGTGTACCTTGGCTGGCACAACGAATGTTGGCAATATATGGAGAATGCCCAAACGACCCTGCCCTCTTTCCTTGGTGGTTTGCCAGTATTTTGCCAGCTAAAGAGTATGAAAAGTACAAACTGCTTGGCACAACAAGCGTTAGAGAGAGACTGAAGATATGCTGCGGCTGGGTTCTGGAATGGGAATCAAGTAGGTGGTAAGTGTGCTAAACCCCCAAACCAAAGTGTCATTTGTTATCAGTACCCCTTTCTATGATTGATCTCATTGTCAAATTTTCACTTCTGTTTGGACTCACCTCTGTGGTGAGACTGAACGGGAAAAGTTCACTGCTCCCGTTTGCTTGTTATCAGACAATGAAACAGACGGGCTAAGTTGCAGAATTTCTCAGGGGTACCCTTATTGACGGCCGGTCAGGTCTCTCTCGGACTGCAGGATCCTCTGATGCTGGGGACTAGCCCAGTGGCAGGCACTGCAGGTCCTACACGAGTGGCCTCGGCATTGCGATGTTGGCCGATCCCAAAGTAGTCACGGAGACTCTTAAGCGCCTTTGTGCCGTCTCTCTTGAAAAGGATAACGCATTGGTGGATGAGCACGGTTCCGCATGTGCATGGTGGTACTTGGCATGTGCTAGGATCATATTGCAGCATTACATTATACCAACAGATACCAAGTTTGGGCTCTGTAAGTATGCTGATCAGTTGTGTCTAATGGAAAATTGACGAACAACCTTGGTATTCACCCCGTGACTTTGTACGCCCATGTGTTGAGACTCTCCCAAGGCCCATTTTCTGTGACAACAGGCACCTTGAGGGGCCATTCGTAGGCACTATCTTATAGCGAGCTGGCTTAACCACAATGTTCTACAAGAGGTACCAAAGTTTTACAGTTATGGAGCGTGAGAGAAATGTTGCCATGCTTTTAGGATCTCAAGCGCTAGAATACCCTCTGCATGAGTTACCAAAGGAGTCCGGAAAGAAGATGCCTCCCACGTACGCAAGGGGATTGATGCCTGCCTCTCTACGCGCCTGCCTTAGCACTCGTCTCCTGAGGATCCCTTCTCAATGAACACTGAGTTTACTTAGCTCATCTGGAGTTTCCTTTCATCTTCCGGGCTCCTGGCTGAACAGGATATGACCTGTACCTACCGCCATCTGAACAGGTAATTTGGATAGCTCCTTACTTGAATTCATGTGGGCCCTACCCTTCATAATCTAAAACCTGTGGTCCCCCATCCAAGCACACCAATACTTGCCATCACACCTACAACAACTTTGACTGCTCACGGCAGCATACGATACACCGTATAAGTCAATCTTCTGAGCAAGCAAGCATGGCGTCCAAGCGCAAACGCAGTCATGCCAAATCCAAGACCGTAAAATCTCGCAAGATTCTTTCTGGGAATCTTACATCTAAATCGAATACCAATTCCCATGCCTCGCACTCGACGTTGCGGAACAATGGGGACGAGAGCTACATTCAACGGATACCTACTGAGGTATATACCTTCTCCACAAGTCTAGCTGATGGAGTTTCCTAACGTTGTGGATAGGTCCGTCTAATTGTTTATGCTGCAGTTGTAACACAAGATGCCCCTGTCAGGCCGGTCCAAGTAGAACACAGGTCAAACAAGTTCTATACGCCACAACCTGCAGTACACAACTTCACGAGTCTGCTTTTGACTTGCCGGCTTTTCTACAATGAGATCCTCGCTCATCCATACTTCTATACAGTAAGCTATCTAAAGTTAGACTGGAACATAATCTGACATGTTCGCAGAGAAATACATTTATATTCAAAAACATTGAGACCTCGAGCACCTTTCTGGCAGCCTTGGTGCCGGCGCGTCGTTCATATATACGCCAAGTCGATATTCAGATCGCTCCTTTCGAGTTATGGGCGGCCAAAAAGTTCATATGCTCGACTGCATACTTGCTTTCTCATTGCACCTCCCTGAGGCAAGTAAGAATGATTTTCACCGCTTGCCGTTTGTATACCGACCTGCCCTTCTGGTTCGACGACCTCCGACAAGAATGCATGAATACCAAAAACGGCCCTTTCAAAAGTTTCGCCCTGCTAAGAAATATTCAACACTTTGAGGTGTTGGTAGAGTGTGGCAGTTGTGGTGAGATCAAGCTCGTGGGCTTGGGTACACCATCAGGTGCCGAGTTTTCCGAGACGCATGATTACTTTCGATGGGACGAAGAATTGATGAGAATTGTTCAACTCTTGAGCACCTCCTTGGAAAATTTAACCCGAAATTGCTACACGAAAGACGATACATATGCACCAGTAACTGGGTCACAATTGCAAGATGCTCTCCGCGCTTCTGGCATTGATGTTTATAGAGAAGACAGAATCAGGCGGAACAGTCAAGGAGGCTTCATCTCATGCAGAACTCGAGGACGGTTGCACAGGTTAAAGGAGGTTTCGATGAATGGGGTCATTCCCGAGGCTCCAATGAACCTCAAGTACCTGGAAGTCGATGAGTACAACGATAATGGCCGTATATAAAGGGTAGAGGGAGGGTTGTGATGAGCAGGAAAAGGAGCTTCTGCCATACTTGTGGAAAATATGATATAGGACTGCCCATGAACAAATCGTATATGAACTATAGAAAGAATACTACCATCAAAGCATATGTACCAACTGAACCTGACTACTGGCTTTGTCTGTTACTTCTGAAAGTTACTGTGCATTGAGGTAATATTTAACAAAAGCAAATTTGATAACGACCTCTGCGCATGGATATGTAATAGGTCAAGGAGCCAACGTCAAGAGAGCAAGGGGCAGTCCACAACGCTTCCTCATCATAGCAAGCATGCATTTCTCTCCTGCAACTATCGACGACCTTTGTTAGTGAAATAGCAAATTCCAAGACTTGAGAGCCTGGTCCCACCGTTGGATTCTCGTCGATAAAGCTGCCATGTCCTACAAAGTAATGAGATTACGAACAGTTGCAGGCAATATTAGATGACAAGTATCTCACTCAAGGCAAATATGAGAATGATCCTCTTATGCAAGTGGCTATTCAATTGCAGTCCGTCACCATAAAGATCGAGAGGACACTTGAGAGATAAATAAGATTTATCAACGTCGCTGGGCGGGTGTGGACGGTCAAAGTAAGGCAGTCTCTTTATAAACTTGAAGTAGGTTAAATACTGATATCAATGACAGTCTACGAGGTAATTTCTATGATATGGTGGGGATCCTGCCGAGGCGAGAGCATGCCTCCTTGTAACAGCCATAATAATACACTAACACAGATGTCGCTTTTGCCCAATAGGTAGTTCCCCTTTCCCCAAAAGCAGCAATGAGACCAAACCCCAAAAATCGATTCTTTTCCGTATCCCCAGCCCAGTCCAAAGAGAACAAAATATGTCAAGCTATCAATCCAGATACCTGTGGGATCACAGATTTCTCCGTGGCCGCCTACTGAATTCCAAAGAAGGCATCGTCAAACTTCCCGTGCTCCATCTCTGTCATGTCACCAAAATACATATCGTCGAAGGTACTGCCATCTCCACCGTCGCCGCTCATATTCATGTCGAGATCCATGCCTTCGAGGCTCGTGTTAGCGTCCATGTTGAACAAATCGTCCAGATTCGTAGAATCCTGCTTCTCGGCCTTGGCCTCGACAGGCTTCTCCTGGTTGGCAGGTGGTGCCGACGTGACTGTTCCTGGTGCCGTTTGTGCCGTTGTCTCTGTCTTGACGCTGTTGCTGGCGGCGTTGTTGTCAGGCGGAAGTAAGCTGTCGAGTGACAGGATATCGCCACCCATATCAGCGGTGCCAAAGGACATGTCCATGGTTGTGTCTTGTGTTTGCGACTGATCTTGAGAATCGCTATTCGGAGGAGCTAGGCTAAAGGTCATGTCTGTGAAGTGGAATTCTGAGCCGTTATCTTCCGTTCCGCCGCCAGCGTCGCCGTCAAGGCCGAATAGGTCGTCCATTGGTGCCTCAGGGGCGCCAGCGGTTTGTGTGGTGGCAGCGTCCGGGTTAGCTTCCGGTTTGACGTCGCCCATGGGGGCCATCATGGCTGGCGGTGCCGGTGCCGGTGTTGGCGTTGGCTCCTGTTTCGTTGCCTGTGTGGGTTCTGCTTGTGGCTGGAAGCTGACGCCCATGTCTGGGAAGGGCGCCATCGATGGAGCTGCACTCGGTTCTGCGGGGACCCTGTGCGGACCCGAAGCTTCCGTGATTTCAGATTTACTGTCCGGAGACGGCTCCCGAGGCGACGAGTCGATGTCAATGGCCATTGGCGATTTTGTCTGCGCCTCGACCGGGGCGGGTTGCTGGACTGGGCGCCTTAGTTCTTGCAGCCGGTCCAAGTCCCTTTGCAAAGCTGCCTTTGCTCTGGTCTGTTATAGAAATCAGTACTGCCAAACATTTCAACCGGCGCATCGAATCAATAGGGACTTACAATCTCGCTCTCTAGATCATCAAGCTTCCAGTGGAAGCTCTCAATAATCTCGGGCATCTTCGTCTGCAAAGAAATCTGAGCTTGAACCTGGTGCCTACCATCCTTACTCCATGATTTCAACGCCTTTCCAGTTTGTACCAGCTATAAATTGCGCATCAGTCAAGCTAACACATGTCACATTGATGGGGAATGGCATACCGCATCGTTAATGAGGCCCTGAAGGGCGTCTGCAGCGTCGACATTGAGTGGTTTTGAGTTGGCCATCTCAAAAAAAACGGAGTCGCGGCCCGTTTTACTTATCTCAGAGTAGCTAACGAAGCACCTCTGTCTTCGATTTGTCCGACCGAGTATTGGATGCGGTGACCAATTTTCGGATTGTTCAAGTTGGCCAATTCTGCTTACGTTGGGAACAGTTTGCTAGGCGTGGACTCAGTGAAGTATTTTGGCAGAAGCAATCGGACGCGTCAGTAAGTGAGCGGCCAACCTTAATGACAATGTATACTCTGTTTGAAGAATGGTTCTCTTTTTGAGATGAACGAGGCGGGAGTGGAAGATAGAATGATAGCCTGCCGTATATCTTCTGCATAGGAGAGGCTGTAAATGTTTGATGTCGTTTGAAGCAACCCAGCCTCCAAATCCGAATGACGATACGTACCTTGGAATCTGAGAGCAAAAAAAGAGGTCCGAGCGAGGTTGCGCCAAGAGAATACAGCCTCAGGCTCAACCAATCAACAGACGCTAGCCGTTCAATTGTGCCACGCCTACAGCGTTCCAGCGCCAAAGGAACCCTGGAAGGTACCCCGCACGTTGATGTGGACGCAAAGGCAGAATGGAGGGAGCGGAAGGTACCAACGGCGCAGGCGAAGTAGCCAGTCCACTGCGAACTACGTAGTAGTAGGGCAGTTTCCCCTCCCTCCTCATTGCTTTCTGTCTGTTACCCCCACCTCCCCTATCATGCATCAGGTCACAATCTTGGGACGAAAGTTTACATTGAGTAAACCCCCCTAGCCGATTCGAAACCAAGGACTGCCATATGAGAAGGCCATTGTTTAAGCTGAACTTTTCTGAAAGGAAACCTCGAGGCTGGCTCATCCCAACTTTGTTCCAGCTGGCTTCATCCGCACTCACATCACTACCAACCGAAGCAAAAGCCAGCCAAGCTAAGACCAGCTGGACCCTTTCGAAGTCTGGCCACTAAGCGGATATTATACCCCAATTAGCAACTCAAATGCTTGTCTGACATGTAATTATCGACACTACTGGGCCACGGAGCTTTTCCGGATTAAGAAGAGATTTTAAAACCTCGCGGAGACCGTTGTTGCGGATGGCGGATGACGAATGGCAAGGACTATGCCCATCATCGGAGGTATGGAAAACCCTATCGTTGCCGCTGGTGGGTTAGACCAGGCAGAGTGGCCGAGCAATCGGAGCAGGGAGTCCTATTCCCAGGAAATTGGTTCTGTCCTGCAATGCGTAGCTCCAAAGCCCGAATTTTCGGCTATCGATGTCTTGATCTCAGTTTCTTTTAGACTTCCCTGGCAGACCGGCTGTTGTGATCTGCTACAGCAAGGCATTCTCGACTGCGTAGTAACTGAAGTGCCAGACAGGCCTCGTGACACGGAGTTGAAAGCAGACAGTTAGTAAAACGCATTGAATCGAGGTTGGTCCCAGATGGCCACTCCTGGCCATCATTCGACTCCCATCAGAGAACTGGACGTTGAGGCTCGGTGGCTCAACACTGGGTGCTGCTGAATGCATGTTCTCCCGGTTGAGACCTGCCCAAAATCGGTATGCGGCTCTTATCCAAGACACTCAATCGATGAGTGCGTTGGTTACAACGCACGCTGTGATGGGTAAAGTAGGTGCACTCAAGGGAAGCGGAAATCCGAACCATAGCTGGGAACATCCCATGAAAACGGCAAACCGTTTTGTATGGTGATCATTTTGTATTACTGCACTTAGCCTTGCATCCATTACGGCAACGACGCACGATGCGCCGGGTTACCAAAATTTCATCTTGAGGCCGGGATTCCCATTGACGCAAATATTATTTGACTGCGCTTGCATTTCGTACTTCATTCAAGCTCATCCCCTCTCGCCTCCATGTAGATGGTACCATCATTTAACGTGATGCATTTCTGCTGTCACTGTAAGAGGCCCAATCCACGTCCTAATCAATGCTGCTTAGGTGGGTACTCTCATGTGCCCCCTTCAGTTCTGGAAATCTCAAAATGCAACCAACTGTTGATGAGGCGGCCGTCCTTACCCGTACTGCCAGACCTGCCTCGCTCATCGGCCTGCTAGTGCCTAACGTTCAAAACATCATCCATCGTGTGTCATGGTGCAATCCTCAGAGTCCCACGTTGTCAGTGGCAGTCAGTGTCAGTTGCAACTGGCTTTATTCCTGATACAGACTAGCGCCAGTCGCTTAGGCATCTATCTGTTGCAGTAACACCCCTTTTTTCTGCTGCCATCCCATATCTGCTCACGCCACAAGCCCTGACCCGTCGGGAAGCTCCTAAGTGCCTTGGACAGGCATACCTAGGCACGATCTGCTTGAAATAACAGTACTCGGTACAGGCGGCAAGCGACCAGGCGAAGAAGAAAAAAAGAAAAGGAACAGGCCACTGGGACCAGCTACAGCCACCCGAATTTTAGCAGCGCCACCCTGAATTGACTGGGGACAGCCGACGACTGTATCCAGTGAAAGGACTCAACTTGACAGGCCATAGCCTGGCAAATGAGCTGGACTGGCCCCAACGGACCAATCTCGTGGTCTGGGGCTCGGCGGTGGGCACCACCGTGGGCTGGACTGGTGCTGTGTGATAGGTACCTATGTGCCTTGGTGAGTGGCACACCCCAGACCAGAGGTAAGGTACCTACCTACCTACCTAATGAGTAGGCAAGCAGGTGTGATGGATGCGCCTGCACACTGCTGCGCACGCGCTGCTGCAGCACTTAATTCTTATTTGCACACTGGGCTGGAGGCGCCGGGAATATCTGGCTGCTCCATGATGAAAGTCCCCTCATCGCCCGCCTTCTTCTCCCTCTTTCCATCTGCTCCCCTCCCCCTCGCAGAATCTCCTCCTCTCCTCCACGTTGTCAAGAAACCTCTTCTCCTCTCTCCTCGGACCGGTTTTTGTTGCGATTCCTTTCAGGGGGTTCCAGTCCTCTTTTCCCTGCCTGTTTCCTTGGTGCTCGCCTCCGCTTATCATTTCCTGTCATCTACACCACTACCTACGCTACAGCACACAGCGCAGTCAAGTACTTTGGAGCTTCTCGGCATCTCTCTTATCATTCGCCGTTCCCCTTGTCTTCCTATCCGCTTAAGCGTCTCTCTTGTCACGTTGGGTCGACGTCCTTTTAGCTGCTCAGCCGTCCCCACGTCCACATTTTTTCCTGTCGACTTTCGAGTGCTTCTCTCTTCCAAGTACAAGTCAAGTCAAAAGTCGTTTGTCCTAGACCGCCAGACTCGACACCGAGGTATTTCTTTAACCTAGGACGAGCCCTGATAAGTCTGGATACCAACAAACATTCGACACAGAATTTTAATTGTGCCTGCCGTCTTTTCTCTCACTCCCGCTCCTTTGGCCTTGTTGCTTCGCCTTTGCGTTGGGGTTCTACGGTCACGTCAGAAACTGTGTGACGCTTTCCAGTACCATCGCTTTCACCCTTTCTTAAACTACGACCAACCTTCGAACTGTCGACACTGCTACTCGAATTGTCAAGGTCGTACCCGCACTATTGCATCCGTCAGATTGTGCAATATCCGACCTAGAGTTCATCTTTTTGAGTTGCCTGACCTCTAATATCGCTATCTGACTGTCAGCACACGACTCCCGAATTTCTCGACATCCAAAAGTCGCGCGATCGCATTGTAATACCGAGCGAAGAGACAATGGCGGACAACGGACCTGCTTCCAACGCGGCGCAGCTGCCCCCTCCTCCCCAGCCGAGCGCTGGAGCTCCGGGCTACGAAAATGGCCAGAACGGTCAGTCGAACCCGGCTCACATGCCGCCGCCTCCTCTTCATATCCCTCAGAACACCAACCCGATTCCAACTGCGGTGACGTCGCCCATGTCTGGCGTCGACAAGATCATGTCGCCCAGCAGTGCCGGCGGGTTCGGCCGTCGCGCTGCTCCCGAGCCTAACAAGCGGGCGCTGTATGTTGGAGGCCTGGACCAGCGTGTCACTGAGGACGTTCTGCGCCAAATTTTTGAGACCACTGGCCACGTCCAGAATGTCAAGATCATCCCCGATAAGAATGTGCGTACTTGTTGAATCAGTATTATGTGGGCATGGTTGCTGCTGGCTCCAACCTTCTACGAGCCTTCCGCCTCTCTCTCATACCCCTGTTCATACCATTGCTGACCTTGCGGCACAGGCCAAAGGTTACAACTACGGTTTCGTTGAATACGACGACCCCGGTGCGGCTGAGCGTGCCATGCAGACCTTGAACGGAAGACGTGTGCACCAATCTGTATGACCGCCTACCCCGCTATGGCGAAATTGGTACTGACCGCTGCTAGGAAATTCGTGTCAACTGGGCCTATCAATCCAACACGTCGAGCAAGGAGGATACGTCGAACCACTTCCACATTTTCGTTGGCGATCTCAGCAATGAAGTCAACGACGAGATCCTGCTCCAGGCATTCTCTGCGTTCGGTTCCGTCTCAGAGGCCCGCGTCATGTGGGATATGAAGACTGGCCGGTCTCGTGGATATGGTTTTGTTGCTTTCCGAGACCGACCGGATGCTGAAAAGGCTCTGAGCTCCATGGATGGCGAATGGCTCGGCTCGCGCGCCATCCGTTGCAACTGGGCAAACCAGAAAGGGCAGCCATCTATCGCACAGCAGCAAGCCATGCAGGCTATGGGCCTGACCCCTACGACGCCATTCGGCCACCATCAGTTCCCGGCTCACGGTGTTGCCAGCTACGAAGTCGTTCTGGCCCAGACGCCTTCGTGGCAGACCACCTGTTACGTTGGCAACTTAACTCCCTACACTACTCCCAATGATGTTGTTCCTCTGTTCCAAAATTTCGGCTATGTCGTTGAGTCCCGCTTCCAGGCCGACCGTGGATTCGCATTTATTAAGATGGACAGCCACGAAAGCGCGGCCATGGCCATTTGCCAAATGAACGGCTATAATGTTAATGGACGTCCTTTGAAGTGCAGTGTAAGTTTGAATCATCTCCAATTCCTCGATTTGGAGAAACAGCACTGACATTCATTCCTATTTGAAGTGGGGCAAGGACAAGACTCCCAACCCTCAGAGCGCCGGCTTCGACCCCTCGCAGCAGGCATACAGCCCCCAGAGCGCCTCTGGACCGGGCTACCCTGGCACCCCGACGGCCTACTTCCCGCAATACGGTGGTATGTGCTCGACCATGGCTTATGTTCAAGTAGCCTGTTGGAACTAACGCATCTACCACAGGTCAGTACGGCGGCCAGCCTGGCAACTTTGCCGGCCCGACTGCCCAATCCCCGGCCGGTTATGGAGCGCAGCCGATGGGATACGGCGGACCCCAGAGCGCAGGAGGCTATGGCCGTGGTCAACAGCCACCCAACGCCCAGTGGTCTCAGGGCCCTCAGGGACAGAATTTCAACAACGGCTTCGCCGGATACCAGGGCTAACTCCCTAGAGAGGAGCCTCAGCGGTGAGCCCGGAGCGTACAGTGTTGCATGTTGGTTGAAACGAGCGCATCTCTCTCTATCTCTCTCCTCTGTGTGCGCGCATTCACAGCGTTGCCAGGTCATAGGGGTACTTTTGTGGAGTTTTTGATGTTTTTGGTGGCAGAATGGCATGACCTACGCATCTTTCATGTTTTCGAAAAATCATTTCTTGCCAAGGCGTCTCTCTCTATCTCTCTCCTTTCATCTGCGATGAGGGGCATGCGTCGGTTTCTCTTGTGTGAGCACTGGGAATGCGAAGGACTATGTGCATTTCCGGGATGTTTTATGTCTTCTTCGTATCTTTCTTCTACGGCCTTAGTGGTTTCCACCAAGTCACAAACATTTCTTCTTCTCCTTTCCTTACGCGGTCATTTCTCTCAACCTGTTGGGGTAAGAGGCAGACTTGAAATGCTGTCCCGTTGACATAAAAGTTTGTTGCTTTCTGTTCTCTCATGGATACCTCTTCAGCATGACGGATCTGTTGGATTGACGAGTTATGACAAAACTTTTTTTTTTCTTTTTTTTTCTTGGATACAAAATTTTCTTCGTCGCTTGTGTGTATGGTCCCGGGTACACATGGGTCATACAAACCCATTTAGATACGTACGAACCAGAACCAGGACCAGACCGAAGAAGATGTGACTGATACAAGGCGGGGACGGAAGAATTGTCACGATTGGTTGAGAGCAGGGGTGGCAGTTGTGCAGGAGGTAGAGAGATTAGTGAATCGAATGGAAAAGATAAAGAGCAAGCTTGAAACGACGAAAGAGAGAAGGAAAAAAAAATACAGAAGACACCGCAAGACAGGTCCAAATTCGGGACAGACTGACGTTTCCATGCATAGTGATAGACATGAGAGTATTCCTGGCCAGCCAACCACTCTCGTGTGACGTCCGTCCGTTCCTTGTTAGGCGTGGGGTGCATGGGAAGGATGTGGCGATGGTGGCCAAGATACCACGAATGAGGAGGAGGTACTGCTGTACATGACTTACCTGGCCAAAGTGCCAATCAGAGACAAGGCTTATGAGAGGGTGTCTAATTGGTCGTTGCAAGGTGAAGGATGTTGGTGAATTTGACTGCCTGTTCGGCCTGTAGGCTCTGTTATATGCACCCGTCGGCAAACACCATGCTACCTGCAACAAGGAGGGGTCAGGGAGAAATTTTACCAACTTTATGCTTGGGAGTGTACAATATGGGTGGCCGTTTTTAGCCATTGGGCTAATGGGAGAAGGACAGACGTTACGAGGCAGTTGTCCTCACCTATGCTTCGGACCAGGCCAAGAGCGGTTGGCTGTGACGGCGCTCCTTGGGGGCGGACATGTCGTCATTCGTTGGGCTTTTGCTGTAAACCATCACTCCTCCTCAGGCCGCCGTTGGTGCCTCGCTCGGCATTTGGGGGTTTGTTGGATTCCTGCCAACGCTTTATGCACGCGGATGGCCGTCGAGAACGGAAAAACGCAGAGGAGCACAGTGGGGGTAATTGGAGGCCATGGAATACATAGGAGAGGATTTGGCGATGGAGAGAATCACAGCTCCCTCCAAGACCTTGAGTTCATAGCACTCGCACACTGGATATTGATCGGTACTATCTTACATGCTCTCCCTCTAGCGAGAACCATTGAAGTGACAACTTTGATGAGGGGCGAAGCCCATGAGATCGCTTGGGTGATATTATCCTGTTGAGTTCCGAATCAGCTGCCCGAGCTGAGTCTTGATTACCCATCCGCCGTCGCTTTTTACGTGTCCTGTGCCCCTGTCACGTTGTCGGGCTGCAGGTGACATATCGCTGTGCCTTTCTTCATCGCGATAACTCATAACCGCCTGAACCGGTACAGCCCCATCCACGAAGGCGAAATTTGGGCTTCTTATCGTCATGCCGGTTTGCCAGCCCTTGGTCCATCAGTTTGACCATGAAGAAGCAGGTGTACTCAGCCTGTAATATGGGCATAGCAGCGAAATCTCGACGGCTTACAACTTGGCCTTCTCAATCCTTTCCTGCTCGGCCCAGGCCTTGTTGATGCGGATATTCTGATAAAAGCGCCATGCACCGAGGGCTGCTGCCGCCGGCGGACAGGCCAGTAGCAACCAACTCCACCACACTGGGTTCGAGGCCTGTACCTCGCGCATGGCCTCCGTGATGGCCTTCTTGAGGTCCTCTTTGGTTCCATCATTCCAGAGCACGACGCCCTTACCCGGGCCCCTCGCCTCGCACCTCCTGGCCTTGAGTCTCACGTCCGTCTGACTGAGCACCCGGTTCTGCGCATCCTCGGCAGAGAGGTGCGGATCGCGGGCTCTAAGTCGTTGCATTTGTACTTCCGGGTCTCTGACGGCGACGACGAAGACCGTGCCACAAAGGCGGTCAAGACCACTCTCGAAGAGGAGGGGCACGTCAAGGAGAACAGCCCAGTGACCACGGATGTAGGCGTGAAATATGGCCCTGTACATGGCTCCACGAACAGCCGGATGGACGATGCCGTTGAGAACGGCGCGGTCACGCTTGCGCTCCTCCGTATCGCCGAAAACGCGACGACCGAGCGCGGGCCGATTCAGCGGGCGTCCCTTGCCGTCAGGCCCGGCTTCCGGCATAGTGTCCGAGGCCGGGATGAGTAAGTCCGGGGTCGTCGGGAGGAAGTACTTCACGATTGCAGCATAGCCTTTTGTTCCAGGCTCGACGACCTGTCTGGCGAGAACGTCTGCATCGATGAGTGGGATGGAGTAGGGGGGGGTTGAGAGGATGGATGAGACTGTGGACTTTCCCGTTGCGATGGATCCCGTTAGACCGATAAAGAGCATCTTTACGTGTTGTTCTTCTCGAGTATGAGCTTATTTCTTTACTTTCCTGTTTTTCTTTCTTCTTTTTTGTAATATTCTTTATGTATTTTATGACTGGGGCTCGAGTTTTGTTTTGATTGGTTTGTGGCGAGCCTGTCTCTCTGAGCTTGGTGTCTTGTTGGGTGAGATGTAGAAGAGCTCAAGATGCTGATAATGGTGATAGTGGGGTGGAATGATAGTGACCGAGGCACTTGTGGGTGATGGGGAGGGTTGTCCAATTGACGTGCTCAATTGTCCTGCTAAGCACGGTTGGGGTGACTGGTATGAGCGCGGCCAACTCTAGACCGTTTCGGCAGGTGAATTTGGGACTGTACTACTGTTTGCTGAGTAAAGTAAAAAAACGCCTTTCCCTTGGGGTCGCTGGCGGGAGTTCTCCGCCATGTAGTCTCACAACGCCATAGCCAGTCTCAGGGACCACTATCATCATCTACAAGGTGGCATGCCAGTCAGCTTACGTAGGGTAGCGCAGGAGCGCAGACCTGCGGCCCACCTGCAGGGAGCGTCTGATGCCCCCCATGTCCGTTCTGTTCTTGCCCCTCCTGTACTCTTTTTTTTTTTTTTTTTTTTTTTTTTTTTGCCTTGAAGCGGAACGATATTGTGATATGAAGAGATTGAAAGGGCAAAAGGTACGGTTGGCAACTGCTTAAGGCATTGTTATCTTGACAGCAGCATAGTGGATTGGGGTTACACTATGGCGTGGAAGGAAATTGGTGTCCGCTGATGGTCACCCGCTCCATTGCGCACCGTCCACCATGGTTCGTAGTACTATGTAGTTGTGCCACTAGGCTGGAGTGGAGCCGTGTTTGGTGGCACGCAGGGCAAATTTGGCGGAAGGGAAGCGGTATCTGCAGCGCAGCGGCTGATGAAGAATTACGGCGGCTTGCCTTTACCTATATTTATGCCGTGAATGACTGCAACAACCACTGTCACCACAGAAACAGACCAGAGAAGCCTTTGCTCTTCTTACCTCCCTCATGAGCCTGGCGTTTGACTTGGTCGGTCACTCCTGAGCCGGATACTCAACATTACTTAGTCCGGACCAAACCCAGAGCCAGGCGTCTCATTGTACATTGGCAACGGGTAGTTTCTCTTCGCTGGGAGCGGATATTCGGAACGTTTGGCGTGCTGGCCTGGGCTTAGCCAAACCCACCAAAGTACTCACTCGCAAATGATCCGAGCAAAGAAGTGCGGCATCAAATGCCATTTCAGTCATTCATTGTTTCCATTGCTGGGTCCACGCCGTAATAGCTGTCCTCGTCGTTGTATTGCTCGGAGTCGTTTGAGTCGTTATCGTTATCATAGTCCGGTCGTTACCATTTGCGTCTTTTCGGCAGCCATTCAAAGCTGCGAACAACCGACTTAGCTGATCCAGCAAAGCCCGGCCTTTTCGTTCAACATTAACTCGACAGCGGCTATCGCTGCGAAAGAGACAGCGGAGGGGGAGAAATAATAATAAATAAAGAAGATTAATAATACATTCCTATTCTGGGAACGAAGGACTACTCAGCGATAATTGCACGGGTTGGCGAACGACGAAGGGGGAAGGATGTGATGAGAGGTGAGAGGGCGAGGGCACTATGGGTGAGCTGGAGCTGGAGCTGGGGCCATCCTCTTTCCTCGCTTGGGTGCCCCTCTCCACTGCGCACCGGCCAACATGGAAACCCAATCCAAGCCTGACGTACGTACTATGACCATGCCTGCCCTCGCCCCCAGCTTTGCTATGTACTTTTGCGTTCGGCTTCCCCTCCATGAGCTGGACTACGCATTGCGTCGTCGCGCAGTCCAGCCGTGGGCCCCATGTAAATGTTGCAGTAGAGTAATGATAGCCCACACGGTTAAGGTGCTCTGTAGAGTGAGATGCTATCCGACTAGATCAGATCAGTTCATTTCCCTTTGTGCACATATCAAGCACCGGGGGCAGTCCAACCTAAGACACAGGTCTGAGCCTGCTCCCGTCCGTTGATGCTCGCTCGCTGCCTTTAATTCCAGATATGTTGGTCCTTGTCCACCCTGGCTGCGACTGTACATGCTAGCGGTAGTATTGCTGCAGCCGCTGTGTTTTTTGTCCGTGAGGTAAATCAAGGTACAGCCAGACAAGATAGAGAGAGCATTTCTGCGCAACGCAACAAGGGCAAATCCTTGAGGCACATTGTCTTGCCCATTGCCTACCCAGCTCTGCCCATCCCCCGTCCCGTTCTCCTCCTCATCCTGTACCATCGTTGTGGCCCGCGGGACGCTCGCATCCTCTCTCCCACCCTTCACCACTGCGCCGCCCCATTTCGCGCCCTCGACACCAGCCCCACCACCACCACCACCATTGCTTCATCATCATCCGCCTCCTCCTCTAGTTCCCGCAATTACCTCCCCGCCTACGCCAGCAGGAAATCAACTCAATTCTTCTGTCGCTCTCGCAGCCATCTTTCTTTCGCGTAGTCTGTTACCGAATTGTCATTATGAATGCTTGACAAAATCACGCAAAGACTGTCGCCTTCTCAAACTTTATTCCCACCAAGAGAGTTTGGGCCGTGTCAGCCCAATTTCCCCGAATCCTGTCCTTGGCACTCTCCGTCTCAGTGTTTGACTGCATTCTCCGCGCGCCTTGGTCTGCTTCACTCTAAGCCTGAGCTTGAACCTGACCATCACTCTCAGCACCACACCTTGCTTAACACTTACTTACTTCCCTACCTGCCATCCCCATCCACACCCATCGTCCCCGTCCTGGGTCGACATCCCCGATACCTGCCTAGTGCTGTTCGCGCCGCAACAAGACTTGCCGCACACGTACTGCGCTTGCTGTACAGTACCTGGCACCGGAAGACGGGCGCACAAACACGCATGACAACCAAGAGCCCGACCTACCTTTACCACATTTACCCTACCAAAGCGACTGGCACCACCACCTTTACTGCCCACCTCCGACTTGCCCTCTAACCTTTCCATTTCCAGTGCAGCCCAGACCAGACCGGTCCGGCCCCATTTGTCCGCTTAACGCGTCCAGTCAAACCAGCGACGACATCAGCTCAAGCGCTCGGCCTGACCTTCTTCCCTCCAACATCACCGACCCCCGCGCAACCGTTCAACCTTCAATCCAACTGACTCCGACCGACTGCAAATCCTCTCGCTTCCGAGCCACCATCGTCCCCCGCCGCCCCCGCCGCCATGGACTCCCAGTGGCAGCAGGGCTACGCCGACTCGGCTGGCTCTGCGAGGAGATACAATGGCACCGGCGCCCAGATTCCTCGGGGAGATTACAATGGCCAACAGGCCCCGCAGACTCAGCAGCCTCCTGCAGGCTTCAAGTATGACCAGTACCAGAGCGCCAGTGGTATTTCCTCCCACGCTGCAAGCGCTGCCACATCCCCAATGTCTACTCCTCAGATGCGCGATGGCAACGGCGACATTCCTATGCACGATGTCCAAGACTCGTACACCGGGATGAAGTATCCCATGAGACCTCATCACCAGTCTCACCTCTCGGGTAGTCGCTCGTCCACCCTGTATTCACCTCAGGAGCCCTCGGCTGCTGCCCAACGGTATTCGCCAATGGAGGCCCTGTCCCCCACCTCGCCTTACGCGCCTAAGTCTGCGCAAGGCCAATTCTCATCGCCCCCAGGACAACGACAATCTCCGACCAGGCAGTCCGAGTACCTCCCTCAAAGCCCTCATTATGGCGGTCGTCAGCAGGGTCAGCAGCTTCCGTCGATCCCCCCCTATGGGTCTGGGCATGATGGTTACCCGTCCGCTGTCGTATCCAACATTGACGGTGCCTTCGCGGCCGATCCCAAATCACCGCGACGCCCAATCCCACAGCCAATGACTAGAGGACCCGTTCCCGAATTCAGGCCATGCCGAGCCCCAACCGACCTTCGTCCAAAGGCCAGCTCCCAGCCCCCCTTCAGGCGTGCTAACCCGGAAGGCGGATTCATCAGCGTAAGCTCAACTGCCTCGCGATCCCACTACAGCCAAGTCGTGCTAATACGTTCTCCCTGAAGCCTCTCCAAGCACTTACCGTGCATCTACCTGCCACCTACAGGATATGCAATCCAAACTTCAAATACGAGTCCTCCCGCAACCCTCGCCGGGTTCTCACTAAGCCGAGCAAGGGCGTGAAGAACGACGGTTACGACAATGAAGATAGCGACTACATCCTTTACGTGAACGATATATTGGGCTCGGAGGAAGCCGGCCATAAGTATGTTTGTACAGAGAATCTCGGCGAGCGCGTAGCCCTGGACGCCTGGACGTTGAAATTAACTCGCTGTGTAGAAACAGGTATCTCATCCTCGACGTTTTAGGTCAGGGTACCTTCGGTCAAGTTGTCAAGTGTCAAAACCTGAAGACTCAGGAGGTCGTGGCTGTCAAGGTCATCAAAAACCGTACCGCCTATTTTAACCAGAGTATGATGGAGGTTTCAGTTCTGGACTTGGTAGGACTATACCTATGCCGTGATTCGCAACAACCAACTGATGTGTACCGTTTAGCTCAACACCAAGCTCGACAAGAACGACGACCATCACCTTCTACGACTCAAGGACACTTTTATACACCGTCAGCACTTATGTCTAGTATTTGAACTTCTAAGTGTCAACTTGTACGAGTTGATTAAGCAGAACCAGTTCAGAGGTTTAAGCACGACTCTTGTCCGTGTTTTTGCTCAACAGCTCCTCAACGGCTTGGCCCTCCTCAACAAGGCTCGACTTATCCATTGTGATTTGAAACCTGAAAACATTCTGCTCAAGAACCTTGAAAGCCCCATAATTAAGATCATCGATTTCGGTTCCGCATGCGACGAACGGCAGACGGTCTACACTTATATTCAATCGAGATTTTACAGATCTCCAGAGGTTCTGCTGGGCCTGCCATACTCGTCTGCTATTGATATGTGGTCATTGGGTTGTATTGTGGTCGAGCTGTTCTTGGGACTTCCTCTATTTCCTGGTTCTTCCGAGTATAACCAGGTCTCACGCATTGTCGATATGCTTGGTAACCCACCAAACTGGATGATTGAGATGGGCAAACAAGCCGGCGAATTCTTCGAAAAGAGGCAGGACGAGTTCGGTCGCCGGACGTATCAGCTAAAGAGCATGGAGCAGTATGCAAGGGAACACTCGACCAAAGAGCAGCCTAGCAAGAAGTACTTCCAGGCGAACACGCTCCCAGAGATTATCAAGTCCTACCCTATGCCGCGTAAGAATATGAAGCAGAGCGAGATCGACAGAGGTAAGTTTGCTCCTCACATGAATTCCCTTGTTAAGCAAATGCTAATATTATTGGCAGAAATGAACAACAGAATCGCTTTCATCGATTTCGTGAGAGGCTTGTTGAATATCAATCCTCTGGAGCGCTGGTCACCGCAACAGGCCAAGTTGCACCCTTTTATTACGCAGCAAAAGTTCACCGGTCCTTTTGTCCCGCCCATGAACCTCAAGTCCAGTTCCCTGAACCGGTCTCCGGCGCCAGGCACTCAACAACAGCAGCAAGCCGAGGCCCTGAGCAAGCAGAGGGCACAGGCCGCTCAGGCTCAGGCGAATTCTGCCGCACAAGGAGCTTATGCCTCCATGGCCACTCAGTATCAGCAGCCAGGACACTCGCAGGGCCCTCAGATGTATGGAAACAATTCCATGTATTCCCCTAGCACTGGTCACGCACCTCAACCACCTCCTTACGGTGCTCAGCAAGGCGCATACGGGCAGATGCCCATGACACAGGCTCCGCAACAAATGCCACCTGGACCATACGGTAATATGTCCCAGCCACAGCCACAGCCGCAGCCGCAGCCCCAACAGCAGTCGCAGCAGCAGCAGACTGGCCTTTATGCCCAGTCCGGAATGCGGCCTCCTCGCCAACGTGCTTCAACCATGGAGCAGCAGCAGAGTGGCATTCCAATGGCTATTCAACGCGTGGCTAGCCATCTTGACCCGAGCCAGCCTATTCGGCTGCAACCTAGCCCGGCGTACTATCCTCCGCCTGCTGACGGTGGCATGGCTGGAATGGACAATGCTCCTGGCCGAGCAGGCAGGCGTGGAAGCCGTGCACAGCAGGGTGGAAGGGGTAATCGGGACTTTATTCGCAACCTTGAGGAGCGAACTTTGGAGGAAGGGTTCATGGGCAACCAGAACCCGTGGCATTGATTTATGGGCCATATGTGGCCACACGATCACCTTGAACCTGCGATCCGATATCCCCGTCAATAACATAGACATTGGCGCCACGCAAAGCGTTTGCACCAAAATCCGGATCGGTTGTATCAGGAAAGCCCTGAGATTGACGCGGCCTAGCGAGATCTTTTGGCCGCGCGGCAGGACAAGTCCTGACTGCAGGATCGAAGATGGAATGATGTAAGATACCCCAAGGTCCTCGAGAATCAACTTGTGGACCGAGACTGTCATACAAAACTCTGTTTGCATGAAACCATCAAGCGAATGAGACGCGGCACGGAGCTAGGACGGGCGATGAAAGAATGCACAATGGAGCTTTGATGGGATGATGCATGAGGAAAAAGAATGACGAGGACTTCGGGTTGGCAAAGGAAGGGGCTTGGTGCTGAGGGGAGAGGGAGAGGGCCCTACAGGCCAGCAACGACACACGAGAAACGTCCTTCACACAACGTTCCTAACTACCTACCTACTTCCTGAAGTTCGCACGGGTCCCGGATACTGCAGGTTGGCTTTACAAGTTGTTTGACTAATGTGGAAGCGATGCCTATGTCAGCACGCGATGGCCTCTAACATGAATCTGCCTTATATGTGCCTGTCCAATCTAGTGTTGAAGCCGATGCTCTTAACCAAAGGAATCAAGTGAACAGTTTGATGCACGACGAAGTCAGGATATGGCCGGGGTAGAGAATCAGCCAAGTAAGTGGGATTGAGCAATGACCGGGACAGGAGGCAACACCTCACGCTAAGGTCACTGGAGAAGGCGCGGTCGAAATTGACGGCAGCATGGAAACAGACAACCGGCAAGAGGCCGGTAAGAATGTTGGAGGATGCTGGAAGCCGCGCGTGTGAGAAAGGTGAGGGCATGGGAATGCTAAGATGACTACTGACTCTTTCCACTGGTCTGATCTTCAAAGTAAGGAAGGAGGTTAACATTGCTCCCATTCTGGTGACGCCGCCCCTGGTCGGTATCAATTCCTGCTGTCCTCCATGTCGTCGTTCAGATACTTCCCCCCTATCTGATCTGCATACACAGCCTCTTTTTTTCTTTTTCTTTTTTGGATTGTAACATCTATCTGGAATACTCCGAGTCATTGTACGGCAAGCTTGTTTGAGCTGCCTTACTCCACCATGGAACACGAATTGTCCGACGAAAACAAAGCGACTGGAGCGCATGAACCACCGACAAATGTCGCGTTATCCAACAAGCGACGTTCGTTCCGCTCACTACTTGTCAAATCATCATGGGCTCAAACAGTGGGCTTCAAGGTTTTCGGCAACAAAGGCAAGAGAGATGATAATACCATTGGTAAAAGGAACGACAACAACCAAACGGACGTCATTAGAACGACCAATAACGCGCGACCTGAATTCTTTTCAAGGAAACCAAAGCGTTCAACGCACACGGCTCTGGCCGAGCCGCTCGCAGAGCTGGGACGACTGGATAAGAAGACTACCAATTCTGAATGGAAGACTGTAACACTTGACGGTATCCCAGACTAAGTTCTGAATCTTCTACCAGGATAAAGCTAATGCAACGATAGAATCCGAGAAGGATTCGCTGAAGCTGCTCAGGCGACGCAGCCTGGGGGACTTGTTCAAAAGTATTCGCCTTAGTAAAGTAAATCGAACAAAATTTCAAGACATGCTCCAAGACAACCAAGACACCGAATTCGAGTCGAGGGCCGAGGATCAAGTAGATGGACGTCATCCCAAGATGTCCGAATGCCCGGCTCTTGGGGAACTAGAATTTGATATGAAGTTTTACGCTCCTCCCAACGGCTCTTTGACTCGTTCTGTTTCTACAGTAGAGAAAAAGACGATAGATACGGCAAGCAGTCACCAGGAGCAAGATCAGGCTTTAGTCATGCCAGAGGATACAGTGGCCCATGACTCTGGCTCTGACAATGCCGTCAATCAGCTGGTTGTCACTGAAGAGAATGTAAATTCTTCTGGCAAAGCTGTAGAACGAGTAGCCGTCATCTTTCCAGCGACTATGGAATGCGAGGAGCATGTCGAGTACTTTACGGGAGCACATGGCGCTTTGATGGCCATATACAATCAACGGAAGTTGTTCGCGGATCGAGTACTGTTCAATTCGTGGACCGACACTTTTTATGCGCTACCGCCTGCTTTTAATGCAGTTCAAACACAACCTACAAAAGACTACGTCAAACTTACTGACCCTCGCCTGAGTATACAGTCTTCTTCTAAAGTCGACAGCTCTATAACGCTTCCAGGACCATGGAAACTTTCAGCTTGTTCACAGCAGTTGAACGTCAACGGCTCCAAGGACATCCGGACAGCCATTGCGTTGGAGATGAAGACTGGAAAGGATGTCGATACTTTGGTGCACAATGAAGACACACTTCAGGGGCCTCAAACTGACCCGGAGAATAGCCTCAACAATGGACCAACACCCCTGATTGTTAGTGCTTCAGATGACACAGACCTTGCACAGAAGTTCATTGAAGTGCCTTTGATAACGTTGATTTCCTCACTAACTGGAGAGCCTACATCGAGCGCTAATGATCCTTGGATTTGGTATCAAATTCACAAGAAGACAAGAGACACAGCAGGACTCGTCGTTGTGCCATTTATGCGCTCCACAGAGTCGTCAACCCCGCTTGACGTATTGGAGTATGAGAATACCCCGACTTGTTCAACACGTAACAGGAGCTTGGAAAATGCCGCGGCCGGTCATACCTCGTCGAGATCAACCAAGGCCTCGACATCCATCAATTTCGATGAGATGAAAACGGAAGGTGGGCTTAACAATAACCCCCTATTTTAATTTTGTGTGACATGGGAAACGGTAGCAACTAACAGCAAAGTGAAATCTGCTGTGGAGCAGAGCAATTGACAGACGAATACGCAGGCAGCGTTCTATCGAATAAAATGGTAGTTTAGACACTAGTAGTGCATGGGATTAATCATTCTTATTGAGGTGTAAGAGCACTATTATACACGCTTGAGTAAGAGTAACAGGAGAAATTCTACTCTATGGCATTGACAAGCAGTCAACATTGAGGGGGTTGATCAAGAGTGAAGCTAATCGTTTGCTTGACCACTGCAGCTAACGCCACCCTTGCAGTGAGGCTCACAGTGGCACCTATAAGTGGAGTCGCCGCTGCCATCCAATCGACAGTATGTGGGGGCCCCTAGAAACACGCTCCACGGCCTTCGCAGACCAACGCGCCCAAGTCAGCCTCAAGTTAACTTTCCTTCCCATGTCGTCCAGGGTCTTTACAAGGTATCTGACCCCGAAGCTTGCTCTGCCCGCCTTTTCGAAACCTTCTCTACACCGCAAATACGGATTTAGTTGATTGATTGACTGTCCTTCTCTTCTGCCTGTTAAACCCTCGCAACATCTCCCATCCAGTCACAGCTCTTCCAGCCCTCCAATCCGCAGAGTCTACTCCGTTGCGACAGTCTCGACCTTGACATTTCTCCCATTTACCTAGCCTTTGTCGCCTCTTTGAGAAGCCAAGATGGCCAAGGTTGCAACCGACTTCGAGAAGATCATTAACGAAGGTGGGACTCCTAATCTGGACACAAGCCATTATCTCGGATCGGTTGCTAATCGGACAACGTTGCTCGGCGCGCAGGGCGAGAGAGGAAGAAGAACGAAGCACTGGCACAGAAGATTTTCTCCAAGGACAGAAGGCAGAGCGCCCCAACTAAACTCAAGCCCGGCGTAGGCCCCTCGCTGGCTAGCAGAATTGGTGTCAAGAAGGTATTGTTAGCCTCAGCATCATCCCCGTCATCCTCTCGATTCCCCCAAGAATCATTCAACAAGCTAATATCGCCACTACAGCAGCGCACCGTGTCTCTCGGCCCCAAGGCTGTCCCCGCCGGTAACATTGACGGCGATTGGACCCACGATCTTCATGGCACGGTAACCGGCGGTGGCGTAGGAAGACGAGGCGGCGCCGGTCCCGGCGGTCTCGCAGCGCGCATCTCGGCTCCCGGAAGCAAGCCTACCGCAGCAGGAACAAACAACAGAAGAGGCGATCGACGCACCGAGCAGAGGGCTGCCAGGGTGGCCAATGCAATTGAACGCACTGATGCCATGGCCGATGTGCAGATGACATCTGCCGCCCCGGCCAAGAAGGGTCTTTCGATCCGGGGTCTTGCGGGCCCGTTTGCCGTTATGGCGCACAACTTTGCGCCGGGAACGACGGCTGCCGATATTGAAAGCGCGATGACGCCTGTTGGCGGAGAAATGCTTAGTTGCAGAATGGTCAAGTCAAGCCCACTCCTTGTAGCGGAGATGGTGTTTGCTACTAAAGAGGGTGGCGATGCCGTTATCTCTACATTTAACAACCAGACGGTATGCAGTCTTATCCCGAGTGCTAGAATTGACGAATGGGATTGCTGACTCTCATCTCGACAGGCCGATGGCCGTATTATCAAAGTCTACCCCAAACCTGGCGGTTACAAGGAGCCCGCCGCGCAGCTGAACGCAAATGGGTCTCGCAACGCAACCCGCTCGACGTCGAACAATGTCATTGACGGCTCCAACGGCTTCCCCGAGCCCATGGAGTCCGACAACACCGTAGCTTCTAGCGGTCTCTACAGTGATAAGCTTGTTGGTGGAGGTAACGGTAACGGTAACGGTAACGGCGGCGGCGGCGGCGGCCGCAGAGGGCGCGGCTGGAACCGTGGTGGACGACGATGAAGACAATTTAAAATTGCATAAAAACAGATCCTTGTCTTTGGCGTTGGTAAAGAGCGGGCGGAAGGTCGAATACCATGGCGACCCATATTTGCAGTATTTCTCTCACGGCAATCAACCGGGACTTTCGTCTCTCTTTTTTTATTTACTCCTTTAGTTCTTGAGGGTGTTCTTTTCTTCTCACACGAAAGAACATGTAGTAGTAGACGACTTTTTCTTCGCTTCGTGCCATGGTACCGTCACTTTTGCTCCTTACCGTCCAGTGCGAATTGAACGACCATGCAGTTTCTGTATTCATTATGCTGCATGAAGATGCGAAGAAAAGTATTTGGTATTTCTATGCTTCAGATTGGGGTATATTGTATGGTGTGGTGTGGCCGTAAGAAACTCTACTAAACTACAGTTCTTTTTGTTTTTACATGGTATTACATATTTGCGGCATATGCCCTAAGCCTTTTCTTCATGAGAGCCGTTGTTGGGGGTCGGTGAGCTCGACTACGAAGCGATTGATGACGTTCCGCCTCTGCTGAAGCTTCTCGAGCTCCTTTGCGTCTTCAAGCATGTTGCCCTTTTCGATCCTATCAACAGTAGCGATCAGGCTACGGCCGAGATCAAGAAGGTCCCTCTCGAAAGCGTCACGGCGCTGCGTCCATTTCACAGTCGAGGGTTTGCTAGTAGTCTTGGATCTCTCCATGCCCTTCATCGCTTGCTTAGCTTTGAGGAACGAGTACCACAGTTTGTTCACGGCGGCCGCCAGCTGGCTGGCATAGCCTTGTTTCGCGCCTTTCTCGTCGCCGGCCTTGGCCATCTGTCGGAATTTGTGATCCGTAGCCAGGGCAACACGGTGATAGAGGAGCGGCGCGAGGAGGTCGATCTGCGGGCTTCGACCCGTCTCCTCTTTCAACGCCTGCGCACGCAATGTCATCAAGTCTAAAATCGCGGTGGCGTTGTCGAATGCGGCGTGGTTCATGTTGTCGCGAAGACATGTCTGCAGTCCACGGTGAATGATAGTAGGCGTGATGAGCTCTGGTGGCATCTGCTGGATGATGCGGACGCTTGCAGCGCTTGCTCCGTTACGTTCGTGACTAAGGAGAATCTCTCCATAGTTTTGAGAGTCAGGTTTGAGGCCATACAAGTCGGTAAATATTTTCCAGTAGTCAGCACTGACTTTCGCGCGTCTGACAGCCGTCTTGTCGCGAGCGGCTAGGAGGAGGAGCGAGAGCGTGTTTTGACCCGGCACGGCGTAAGTGACATTTTTCAGACCGGGGACTTGTTTTGGCGTTTGAGTGGCGATGATGTTCTGCATGCCCTTGTTTATGTCTTTGGATTCTTTGCCACGGGATTCCGGAATGGCTTTTGTTCTTAAACGAGCTTCGGTGTCCAGAGTGTAATTGGGAATACTCATGGTCTCCTCCACCAAGGTAAAGATCTCCGCCTTTTCCTTGCTACTCCCCAGAAGCAGTGTGCGGCCCATGGCACACACCAGGTTCTCGTCGATTTTGAGCTTGCCGTTGCGCCATTCTCGTGTCACCTCTTCCCAAATGGCCTTGCACCGATCGATTGTCTGCTGCGCTGCGTCGTCCAGCTCTCGAGGCGCCCTCTCCAGCTTCTGGGACGTCTGTCCTGACTCGCGCTTTGGGTTTTCGGCATCCAACTTAGGTGCAACCTTATATCGCAAGTTGTTAAGAATGGTTGTGTATGTGTATGCATCGGCTCGGCGTCCTTGTTTAACATCTGCCGTCTCAAGGATGGCGAACATGGCGTCGATATCGCCGGCACGGCCGCACACCTGGAGAACAGCGTTAAGGTGGATGAGATTCGGCTTCAAGCGCTTGTCCTTCAAGAGTGAGTTGTATATATGTACGGCCTTATCAACAGCGGCTTTTGGATCGGCCAAAGTCGCGCAGCCACGGAAGATTATGGTATAGGTCTGTTCGTTGGGTAACTGGCCGCGTTTCTTCATGTCGTTGAGAAGCTTGATACTGGCGTTCAGGCGCTTCCTCTGCCTAATCTCGTAGTCGATGAGATGATTCCAGGCCACGACGCATTGCTCGTCCTTGCTGGCGCGTTGCGTGAGGAGAAGAGCCTCGTCAAAGCGGTCCTTTCGGAGCGTCGCCTCGACGTGCTTGCCAATTTTCCAGCGATCCTGCATATGCTCTAGATGTTTGCCAACAGCCCACTCAAGCTTTTGCTTTGCCCGCTTCGCAGCAAACTCCTCGGATTCAACAGTATCCTTTAGTCCTTCAATAAAATGCTCTTTTGAGACAACGCCTGCCTCCGGCGCAGTCTCTTCTTCCTCTGAGGGGATAGCATCCCCTGGTTCACGACTTGCGGCGTTCTCGTTTTGTCGGGTGCGTAATGCTCGGCGTTCGTTTATTGCAGCGGCCGGCCTTCTGGACAGAATTAGTGTTGAGTGTTGACGACGGAAGTGTGTACATACTCCGCAGTGCTATTCCTCAGCTCCTGCATAGTGTTCTTCATGGATATTGAGTATGGGCGTTGGAATCGGCGCATCGGAAGGCCGTGTTGGAGCATGCGCGGGGCCTCTGGAAAGGAGCCAGCAGAAATAACAGGCTTGAGAGCCCGCTTGAGGCAGGAGTTGCACGCCAACATATTGGATGGCTATTTTGTACTACACCAGTAGATGCTTCTGGTCGTGATGGTCCAACGAGGCGACTTGGGAAATTTTGCGACAACTGAAGCTGCTAGAGCTCCTTATCTTATCGGACACCCTGCATACAGCAAGCATCTTGCATGAGTAGCGTGGTTACTGACGCTGGGTAGCGGGGCAGCGCCGTGCCGCCCCATAGGTACTCAGGTAGTGTAGCTGGAGAGACCAATTGGCCTGACGCCAATTAACAATTATAGCCGAAAACGCGTCTCGCCAAACACGAGACGCGATTTCTTCACGCGCTACCCCGACGAATTAAACTTATGGTGCCTAAGAATCCGTGCTGCGCCCATCCCACCTGCACAGGTCAATTCCACCTCTTGACAACCAAGTTGAGACGTCAACAATCCCACCTTCTCACGATATCTTCTTTCGATACGATGATCTAGAATATCACCAAGGTTCTTACTTCTCTTCCTCTTTTTCTTCAATAATACCCCATAAATCCATTACGAAGTCTGTCTGCCATGCCTAAAGTTGACAGGCGCTCGAAGCTGGCTGAGCTTAGGGCTCTGCGACAGTCCGGGAAGAAGGGCAACTACGAAGTGGAGGACGTTGCCGAATTGTATGAGGAAGTCGACGAGAATCAATACAAGAAGATTATTCGAGACCGGTTAGATCAAGACGATTTTGTTGTGGACGATAATGGCGAAGGATATGCCGACGACGGTCGAGAGGAGTGGGATCGTGCCCCGCAGTACTACTCCGACAGCGACGACGAATTGGTTGGACAAGGGAGAGGAAGACCGAACAAAGCATGTAAGCCGATGCTCTCATTTATTACTTTGCAGCGGGCAATGTCTGACAAACAGCAGCAAAGAAGCAGCGTGAAGAGGAGGCGGCCAAGCGAGACGCCAATGACAGAGACATTAGCGAGTACTTCACCAAGGGGGCTGCCAAGGCACAGGCAAAACCTAAGGTTTGTCCAGAAGGTTCAGCATGAAAGAACAACATAGTGACAATGCCTTTAGGTCGTGAAAACGAAGGAAGACGATGACTTTCTCGCCGATTTGCTCGGTGAGGTTGATGCCAATGTCCCTGCCCCCGTTTCTCGATCTGGTGGCAAACGCAACAGATCTCCGGAAAGGCGAAGAGCTCGTGTGCTCTCCCCCGCACCTGATATACGACGGCCATTGACGAAGAGGACCAAGACGGTGGATGATAGATGCCCATCCCCTACCATCGATGACTCGGCCCCCGAAGATGGTTATATGCCCCCAATGGGAGACGACAGGGAAGACACCCCCACGCTGGACAATGCAGATATTCTCATGTCTGACCCAGCGCCGTCCTCGCCTGCTGCGAAGGTAGCGCAACGCAAGGCTCAAATCAAAGCAGAGCCAAAGGACGACGAGGACGATGATATGATGGAAGTTGCACATGCAGGTACCATTACCACTGCCAGTGTGAACATCACGGGATCAAGGCCACCCAAAAAACTGGTTAAGCCTGATCCTTACCCGTCGCCTCTCGACTCATCTCCTGCAAAGGCGTCTGAGCCAGCTGTGGACTCCTCCGCTTGGAACTCCATCACGGATCAGTTGAACGTCGTCAGTAGTTCCCCTGCTGAGACCAGAACTGTTGGAAAGATAGACTATAAAGACGCTATCGAGCCGGACGGCAGCCTCAACATGTTCTGGACAGATTACACCGAGGTCAATGGCAGTCTCTGTCTTTTCGGCAAGGTTTTGAACAAAAAGACGGGATTGTATGTCAGCTGTTTCGTCAAGGTAGACAACATCCTGCGCAAGCTATACTTCCTCCCACGTCAAACAAGGGTGCAAGACGGCGAGGACTCCGGTGAGGAGGTCGAAATGATGCACGTCTACTCTGAGATTGATGCCATTATGACCAAAATGAACGTGGGCATGTTCAAGATCAAAGCATGCACACGAAAGTACGCATTCGAATTGCCGGGAATTCCTAGGGAGGCAAAATACTTAAAATGTCTTTACCCCTACACAAGTAAGATACCGACCCATGCGACTGGTTTATATATGCTAATTAAGAACAGAGCCTGTGATCGATGGATCAACCAAGGGCGAGACATTTTCGCACGTTTTTGGAACAAACACCGCTCTGTTTGAGCAGTTCGTCCTGTGGAAGAACATTATGGGACCTTGTTGGTTGAAGATTAAGGACGCTGATTTCGGTGCCCTTAAGAACGCTTCCCACTGCAAGCTTGAAATTCTAGTCGAACATCCCAACATGGTGTCTCCCCTCAGCGACTCCGATAACCTTGACACACCTCCTCTGACATTGATGAGTCTTTCTCTGCGTACTGCCTTCAACGCCAAGGCCAACAAGCAAGAGATTCTCGCTATTAGCGCCAGAATATATGAAAAGCTCTCCTTGAATGACACTACCCCGGCCGAGAAGCTTCCCTGCCGCACTTTCACCCTTGTCCGGCCTTATGGGACAGCATTCCCTCTAGGATTTGAAACGATGGCAAAGGATAGGAAGAGAGGTCTCATCAAGACATTCCGTCAAGAGTCCGAGATCCTGATGTTCTTTCTTGCTCAGCTCGACGTTGTTGATCCGGACGTTATTCTCGGGCACCAGTTAGAGGGCGTTGACTACAGTGTTCTGCTCAATCGCCTGCACGAGAAAAAGACTCATCAGTGGTCTCGTCTCGGCCGACTCAAGCGGTCACAATGGCCAGCTTCCATGAACAAAGTTGGCGGCAACGTGTTCGCCGAGAGACAAATTATGTCTGGCCGCCTGCTTTGCGACCTCGCCAACGATGCTGGAAAGTCTGCCATGTACAAATGCCAGTCTTGGAGTTTGACGGAAATGTGCAGCCTTTACCTGCCTGGCAACAACCGCCGCCAGGACATTGACAATGAGGCAGCACTCAAGACCTGGGCTACTCAAAACAAAGAGGGCATGATGAACTACGTTTCCCATATGGAAGCTGACACCCACTTCATCACTGCTCTTGCCTTGCAGGTTCAGCTTCTGCCTTTGACCAAGGTCCTCACCAATCTGGCTGGTAATTCCTGGGCGAGAACCCTTACGGGTACACGTGCAGAGCGAAACGAATACATTTTGCTGCACGAATTCCACCGCAACAAGTACATCTGTCCTGATAAGCAAACTTTCAGGGGCAGAATGGCTCAAGAAGAGAACCAAGAAGAGGAGGGCGAGGGCAAGAAGAAGGACAAGTACAAGGGAGGTCTTGTCTTTGAGCCGGAAAAGGGTTTGTATGACAAGTTCGTTCTTGTTATGGACTTCAACTCTTTATATCCATCTATCATTCAAGAATTCAACATCTGCTTCACAACGGTGGACAGGTCAGCAATTGTAAGTCGTTGTGGTCATGTGTCTCTGAATTCGGCGCTAACGCAAGCTCTAGGAGGAGGATGAAGATGCCGTGCCTGAAGTCCCCAAGGATCAGGGTCAAGGTATCCTGCCCAGGCTCATTGCCACTCTTGTCAGCCGGAGAAGACAAGTCAAGGCTCTGATGAAGGACAAGAGCGCGACCACTGAGCAGCTTGCCACCTGGGACATTAAGCAGCTTGCATTAAAGCTCACGGCCAACTCCATGTACGGTTGTTTGGGCTACACCAAGTCTCGCTTCTACGCCCGGCCCTTAGCTGTCTTGACCACCTACAAGGGTCGCGAGATTCTACGCAGCACAAAGGAGCTTGCCGAGAGTAAAGCACTCCAAGTCATTTATGGTGACACTGATTCCGTCATGATAAACGCCAATGTTGATAACGTGGCGGACGCCTTCAAAGTCGGCCAGGAATTTAAAAAGGCCGTCAACGAGCGATACAGGCTCCTTGAGATTGACATTGACAATGTGTTCCGGCGGATCCTTCTACAAGCCAAGAAGAAGTACGCTGCCATCAATTTGGTTGAGAAAGATGGCAAGTTTATTGAGAAGATGGAAGTCAAGGGTCTTGACATGAAGCGTCGTGAGTACTGCGGATTGTCCAAGGAAATTTCCAGCAAGATCCTCAACGAAATTCTCTCTGGCGACGAAACCGAGGTGTCAATCTCGCGCATCCACGAATATCTCAGAGAGATCTCGGGCAAGATGCGAGAACAAGCCATTCCGGTACAGAAGTACATCATTTTCACCCAGCTGGGCAAAGCTCCTACAGAGTATCCCAACGCAGACTCAATGCCCCAGGTTCAAGTTGCTCTCAGGGAGATCGCTCGAGGAAAGAACGTCCGTCGTGGCGATGTTATTTCTTATATCATCACCGGTGACCCCCAGAGCTCCGATCCTGCTCCGAAACGAGCGTACGCCCCTCCCGATGTTATGAAGGTGGACTCCGGTCTCTCACCTGACGTTGAGTGGTACATCGGCAAGCAAATTTTCCCTCCAGTTGAGCGTCTCTGCGCGAACATAGTGGGGACGTCGAGCTCCCAGCTTGCCGAATGTCTCGGGTTGGACATTCGCAGGTACAAGTCGATCCAGGACAGCCAACAAGCGTCCTCCGGTAACGACATGGAGATCCATCCCCTAGAATCCCAGATTCCCGACGATGTTCGCTTCGCTGAATGCACCCGTCTCTCGCTTCGTTGCCGCGCTTGCAAAGTGTCAACTACCTTTGAGGGTCTCCTAGCACAACCTGACCGTGTCTCAGCCTCTGGTGTGCTTTGTGCCTCGTGCGGCTCAACCCTGTCGACTCTTTCCATCGTAGCCCAGGTAGAGCATGCTCTCCGCTTACAGTCAGCCCGCTATTACGAAGGTTGGCTCGTGTGCGATGACTCAGCCTGTGGTATGCGCACTCGACAAATGAATGTTTATGGCACCCGTTGCTTAGGACCCAAAGGACTCGCGCGGGACTGCCTGGGTCGGATGCGTTACGAGTACACTGAAAAGGCCATTTACAACCAGCTCGTGTATTTTGCCAGCCTGTGGGATGTTGAGAAAGCAAAGGCCAAAGCATCCGCCGAGAGCGGGAACGACCTCTCGCGGGAGGACAAGGAAAAGATCCTCGCGCTGGCCGAGCACAACCGCGTCCGCTTCGACACGGTTAAGGGTGTGGTGGACAAGTACCTTGACAAGTGTGGCAGACAATGGGTTGCCATGGACACTCTGTTCGCGAAGTTGGGCTTCAACAAGCCCGTTATCGCTGCAGCATAGGTACGCTACGAAACATGATACACAAACAATGATGACGAACAAAATGGGCTCTTTCAGAGCAAGGTTTTTTTTCCATATGCTGTTTTGAGAGGGAGAGGAACTGGCTGTCCGTATAAATACTCCTCGTGGCTTGGAATGAGTTTTGTTAGTTGGCTTTGGCAGTTATTGAGCCCGGAGTTTCTGGTTGAAATTAAGGCATTCAAGTAACTACTATTTCCTTTTGATACTTGATGTAGTAAAATAATCATATATGAGCTATTCGTTACCTTCTGCCTCCCTTGCACAACTCACAGCACCAACATGGTCAATCTTTCATAGGTAACGGGTCCTCAATTTACCTGACTTATCAGACCCGCTTGACTTAACCCCTCTCTGTTCTAGGATGGTGGGTAGGGCTAACTTCTGCCAAGAGGAGGGGCTTTTGCATGGGTACATCAGGGCTGGCAGGGGGCCCGGAGGGGTTGACGAACTTGAAGCTATTGCGAAAAGCCATCGTGCATGAAGTCACATCTATACCTGTATATCAGCACACAGTGCACAACGAAGAAGATAGGATGCGGTAGACATAAACCATCACACTGGAAACACGGTAGGGCTCATTGTGAACTATGTAGTCTTTTCTTGTGCAAGTCCACTGGCTGGCTCATATCGAATTAAATGTACAAAGTCAGAGGCATTAGGTCCTGAGCCCGGTCGATTAATCCCGCCATCATCAATCATCCTCCCAGGTCCCAAGCCCAAGCCCAGGATCCAAGTTGCCGTTGGCGACCAACAACTAGATCCTACGGGCTAGGCTAGAGCAAGAAAGCCTCAGTTGGAGGAGTTTGTTGACCAGACAGGTTTTTGCAAGGGGAACCTCACTTTTCTCCCAAACTTGTTTCCTTGCTGTTTACGTAGAATGTTGGAACGCAGTCGTAGGAGACCAGCCAGTGGGCAAGCCAATGCCAAAGGAAAAGAAATGAAGAAAAAAGAAAAGAGAAGAAATCCTCTTCTGAACAATCCCCAGAGTCCCCATTTTTTGCATAACAGGAATCACGACCTGGCCGAAGCTCCGTTGTATGCTTTTGTTGAGCGTTCCCTCATATCCATCCGGAAGAGCAATCGCGAGTGCCTAGTTGTGCACCGCATGAGCTCCCATTGCTGGATGGACCCCGCTGAGGCCGCCTTCTGTCTTTCGTGCGTCTGGCATAACTATTCGCCCATGTCCTATCCCCCAACGTAGCCAGGCACAAAAAGATGACCCCATGAAGCGTCGTGAACTCATATTAGAAAAGGAAAAAAACACGTGATGAGAACGCACGGGAAAATGCGATCGGATAGGGAAGAGGATTGGACGTGTAAAAAAGACATCCTTAGTCCGAAATTTTGGAAAACCTCTCTTCCATGCGAGAGGTCTTCTCGCTGTGAATCGTCTATGTCGGTATTCTTCTCGAGGTATCATGGCCCGCAGCAAAGATCAGGGTAACTTTTGAAACACACGAACTGTGAAAACCCTTGTGTAAATGCACCAAAACAGCCCCGCCCCTGTCTATTTGCCGAAATGCATTGACTTATTGGAAAAGGAAATGCCCAGATTCTCTCCTCATTTGTCTTCGCCGGCAGCAGAGCTGTCAGGAACGGCCTTGGACAGAGCAGGCGATGCAGCAGTCGAGGGAGGAGAGGCTGGGTTTTCGCTGTCCAAATTGGCAAGTGCGCTGTGCAAATGTCAGAAACTTCAATACAAGCCGAGAGAGCGATTGAGAGCTTACCTGAAGGCGTTGGTGTGTTGGGTGGTAGGAGGAGTTCCGGTGCGAGAAGAGGCGCCAGAATCTTCACCAGGGCGGCCAAGTGAGCCACCAGGTCCAAGTCTGCGGCCGCTGTTGCTGCGAGAGGCAAACATGGACGTGGGACCAAGAGTGACGTTACCGCTGGCGGTTCTGCCAGTAGAGCCCTTCAGGCGACGCAGGTCGTCCATACCAACTTGGTTGGATTGGGCCTGCATATAACCAGCCGAGAAGTTGCGGGAATCGCCACGACCAAGGTTGGGACGACCACCAGGGCCACGCTGGCTGCCACTGCGCTGGTTCTCCTGTGCCTTCTGCAAAGCAGCAGCCTCGGCCTGTGTCGTTGTTAGTTTGCAATCAAACAAGTAGGTTCTAGAATCACATACCTCAGCACGAATCTCCTCAAGTGTCTTAGGGCCCTTGTTGGCCTCCTTGGACGACCATCCAGATCTGCGAAGATCAATGACATCCATGAGCATGAACTTCATTCTGCTGGCGAGTTCCGGCATATCGGCCATATGCTGGATACGGTCAAAGTAGACATTCATCAACTGCTTGCCCTTCTCAGAGGCGTCAAGGTTGCCACCAATGGTTCTAAGCAGCTTAGACAGTGACTCTATCTCTGCCTCATCGGGTACACCCTCGTAGTCAACCAACTTGCGGACACACTCGTGCATGATACGTTCAGTGAGCATGCCAAGCTTGTACAGCTCACCAATGAACTGTACAAGACCCAGACCACGTCGCTTAGCGGCAGCGGCGATGTAATACTCGTCAGAGAGCATGGCGGCCTCCATTGTTTGAGCCTTGTCCTTTTCACCTTCCTTCGGCTCGGGAATGTTAACCTTCCAACCACGCTCAAACTCTTCTTGGCAACGGTTGAGCAGGTACTTGCGGAAGAGGGCACCTCCACTGACGACAACGCCGTTCTTGTCCTTGATGTTCTCGTCGCGAATCTCAGGGCTCATCGTGTCAAGCATACGCTTGCAGAATTTGGCGTACATAGAAGCCCAGTGAGACTCGTCAGTAGCCTTCTCGAAAGTAAGCTGGATGACCTGGCGAAGGGTGCGGCCATCAGACTCGTCCTTAGACTGGCCAGCAATGGCAAGAATCTGATCGGCAATCTTGTCGAACTTCTCAGGTGTCATCTTGTTGAGAGCAGCCTTGACCTTGCGCTGGACCATCTCGGGGTCCATATGGTCTGCGCTAGGGCCGCCGCTTGCGGAACTGCTCTTGCCTACACTGGTAGGCTTCCAGCCAGTAGAGGAAATCGTGATAGGCTTAACTTCCATGCCCTGCGTAAGAGGCATAGTCTTAGCAGCCTGTGCTTCCTTGGCGTTGAAGTCGTTGCGTCTGCTACCACCACCACCTCTGGCCGAACGGGTTCTGGGAGAGTTGGGCCCCATGGACGGTGTACGACCTGGGATCTGGCCAGCGACAGGGAAGGCTGGACGGAAGTTGCCCATACCACCTCCACTCATTGCAGCGTTAGACATGGCAAAACGCTCGGCAGAGGTTGTACCTCTGATGTTGGGGTTGGGGGGCCCACCACTAGGGGCACCGAACTTGCCCATTACACTGGCAGCACCGCCACGCTGGGAATTGCCACGGCCAGATCCAGCGCGAGGAGTAGAGGCGGATCGGGAGCCGTCATTGTCCCCGATCAAAGATTTGACTTGCTGGTGGAACTCCATCGAAGGTTGCTCGGTGAAGACCTTCTGGAACTGAAGCAAGAATTGAGCGTCGTACTTGAAAGTCTTGCCCTTCTTAGCAACCGCAGCGTTCAGAGCCGGGTTGGGAGAGCTGATGCCAGCAGGGTAGAGATCCTGGTTCATGACAGTCAAGAAACGAGCAGACTTCAAAGACTGAAGAGCCGCGCTAGGCTGGGGCGGCTCAACCGGCTTAGTGTTGAGAGGAGCCAAGTTGAGGGGAGATGGCTTAGGTCCACGTTTCTCAGTGGGGGTAGCCTTGGGCGCAGAAGCTTCGGTAGGGGTAGACGCCTTAGAGTCGCCGATGCTCAGGTTAGAGAGCTTGTCGGCAACATCGCCAACCTTGGCGGGTTCGCCTTCGGAAGTAGCCCCAGCCTTGCTAGTGGCAAGCAGCTCGGCTACAGAGGGAGCGGAGCCGCCTTGGGCACGTTTCCTCTCCTTCTCTTCCTCGAGACGCTCCATCTCACGCTCGGCCTCGCGGAGCTTACGGTCCTCATCGGCGGCGTTAACCTTCTTCTTCTCCTCTTCGGCCTTCTTCTGAGCCTCCTTTTCGATGGCCTTTTTGGCGTTGTACTCAGCGGCCTCCTTCTCACGGCGGGCATCTTCCTCCTCCATCTCGCGAATCATGCGCTCCATCTCCTCTTCCTCGGTCTCGACAGGAGCAGCAGGCTGGGCGGACTTCTCAGCTTCAGCCTTTGCCTTTGCCTCGGCCTCGGCGGCAGCTTGGGCTTTAGCTTTCTCTTCCTCATCAGCCTTGCGCTTGGCTTCAGCAGCTTCTTCTTCAGCCTTGCGAGCCTCCTCCTTGGCCTTTTCGTCAGCCTCAGCCTTTGCCTTGGCCTCGGCAGCCTTCTTCTCTTCCTCTACAGCCTTTGCCTTAGCCTCAGCCTCTTCCTTCGCCTTGTCCTCGCCACCCTTGGCTTGCTGGATCTTGGCTCTCAGCTCGTCCTGGATCTCCTGGCGGGTTTTAGGTGTAGCCTGACTGTCATTGCGAACGTGGGACGGGGTCGCTGACTTGGGCGGGGGAGTAGGGGTCGAAGACACAATAGGAGGAGTCTTTGACTGCTGGATACTAGGAGCAGGAGAAGATGGAGTCTTGATGCTCTTGAAGTCAACAGCCTCGCCCGCAGCGTTCTTGATCACAATGGCAGCGCTCTTCTTGGGCCGAACGAAGTTGCCAGATGATGCCACAATGGGTGTCTTTGCCTGGGCATTTTGGGGCTGAGGCGTGCCAGAGACGACAACAGGCGCGCTGGGTTGACCGGTGCTAGAGGACGGCCGCTCTGAGTGCGATGAAGTGCGCGACATGGCAGTCGGTGCAGGCTGATGGTAAGGGGGTGGCACGAAGCCAGGTTGGAACGCCGGCGGCGCTCCGGGGGGGGACGGCATGTATCCCATCTGGTTGTAGTAGATGGGCCTGCCGAACTGATCGTACTGGGTCTGCGGGGGAGGGTAGCCGTACTGCTGCTTTGTGTGTGTTAGCAATCTCTCAAAATTACCGCTTTCAGGCGAAAGATCGATGGGAGGAACTGGGGGAGGTGTAAGGAAATGTCCGTCTGGCATCACCAGAGACGGTTCGATGAAGTTGAATTCACCCTGCGCCGAGTGATAGTCTGGGTTGTGAGGCATGTTGCTTGCAGGAAATCGCGCATAATCGACTATCCAGATCCGTTCTCCACGCTTACTGTCGTGTCGAAGTCTATGAACGTCGAACGGCGTTTCCTGCAAGGAATCCGCGTGCCGCGGCTTGTGATGAGACAACTTGTCACATTCACGACGTAGATTCTTCTTCTTGCTCTGCAACGACGGACCAAGGGACGAAACAAAAACATCTTGAAAGAAAGAGGGGTGTTGTACTTGTTGAGGGGCCATATTCGGTGGCGGGTAGTGGTACTGGGGAGGAGTGGCCATAGGCATCGGGTGCATCTGCGCCGGAGGCATGTTAGGAGTTCCTGGCTGGGACTGGGCCAGGGCAGGGCTTCGGGTCGGCTGAGGCGAGTTGGGGTAGGGCTGCATTGGTCTCCCAGGATGGAAGGCAGGTGGCATACCGCCGCGGCCTTGACCGTTGCGATACTGTTGGTTCGGCGGGAATCCCATGTTGGCGTTATACGGAGGCTGGTGCGGGTTGAAGCCGCGGCCACGGCCGCCCTGGGGTTGGAAACCTTGCCGGTTGGGTTGGTTGGGGCCAGCAGGCCCGCCCACATCACTGTGCTGAGAAACGCCCGATTCCCGTCTAATGTGCGAGCCAGGCTGCGCAGGCAGAGCGGCCTGGGATTGAGGAGTAGAGGCTTGTCTCATGTGGCGCTGCAGGAAGAAAATGTGAGTGGCGGGAACATAAACGCGTCATGCACGCGGGTCGGGACGGGTTTTACTTACATCGCCATCGCTTCCGAGACTGCCAAAAGTCATCGCGCCAGATGGAGCCATGCCTGAGGGAGGACGACCACCGCTAGCAGAGGGCTGGGGAATAGGAGATGGGGAGTGCGCGGGAGAGGGCACTCTCTGGTTAGTTCCGGGAATAGGGATAGGAGCAGCAGTACTCTGAGGAGTGCTGTGCGCAACAGCAGGAGAGTTGTAGCCAAACTGGATGCCAGGCTTGGAGCCGCCGACAGGGCCACCGTTAGGAGCGAAGCTGTTGGGGCCGTTGGCACTAAGAGTAACGGAACTCTTGCGGCTGTGATCAGCCGCGTTTCCGTTCATGTTCGAGGAGCCGTGAGCGACTGCTGGGGCAGCAGGCACAGCAGGAGTGATGGGGGGACGTCCATTTACTGGTGACGGAGCAGACGGCTTAGCATTTTGCGCAGAGGAGCCACCGACCACCACAGGTGGGTTGGATCCCGTCGCAATCAGCGGCGTAGAGGCTTGCTTCTTGTTCGCACCGGCAGCGGACGCATATGAAGGAGCCGAAGTCGCAGCAGAGGAGTTGGGCGCCGGGTTGGACTGGGGGCTGGCAGTCGAAGTCATATGTGGAATCTCGTCGTTGCGCGTACCGAAAAAGAGATGCTTTAATGGAATGGCGTTTCGAGGTGAAGGGGGCGTCGGTGTCGAGGGACGATGTACTGGGTTGCGGAGGGACGACGAGGTGGTCGAACTGGCGCAACTGACAAGATCGCTGTGATACCGAATCTCAAATTCGACAGTGGGGTGCCAGTGCGCAGAAATTCAAAAGTGAATGACTGTCGGACAGGAAGTCGATAAATCCTCGCTGGGAAGATTTAGGATCGGATCGGGGGAGGTCTGATTCGGCCCGTTGTCTGGGTTGCGAAGGATGGTGTCGTAGATTCCTTGACGGAAGGAACGAAATATCGCCAGGCGATGGGGAGAGGGGAGACAACAAGAACTGTCAGCCTTCGCAGCGGTCGCGGAAGAAACCAAAGAAAGGTTTTCCAGGGACCAGCGGGAATTACGAAGAGGGGAGAGTTGTCTTCTGAAGGGGAAAACAGAAGAAACTGTTGATGAAGAAAGGGTCTCTGGTGAGAAAATTATCCACCTTGACCAGTTTCGGTGTTTGTGGTGAGGGAAGATTTGAGAGGAGGAGCGTCCAAAAAATTTTTGGGCGGGAGATATTATGGCGTGGACCTGGGAACGAATGTGAGGGAAAGACCCAGGAAGGTACCTTGCCGAAGTACCTCGTCATAAAGCCCGCGCCCACACCCACGCAACTGGAGCGCCAGGTAGCCAGAGCCCACAATCACGGCCCTGTGTGGGAAAAGGTCGGTACAGAAGACACTGTGCCCCCTCCAATCCGCAGGCTGGCCACGCACTCAATCACTCACTGAGGGCGTCCTGGTGCCCATTCACTGCCCTGGACACCATTTACCCCAGGGCCCCAGCCCATACCGTTTAGCGGAACGACAGTGCGTCGCTAGATGAGTTGCTCGCTTATCAGCACAGTACAGGCCCCGCAATTCCGGCGCACAAATGACAGTGTGAATTCATAATTGGTGAATAAACAGGCCTCCATACTCGTTCTGGGCAGGTACACATTCATATGAGGCAACTAGGCCGTATGCAACTGTTGAGTGTTTCTTTCCTGTGGCAGAGGCCCAGGCTCAACCCAAAGTTTCATTCTGTACTGTCAATGGGACGGAGGCCAAAAAAAAAAAAAAAAATCGTAGGTGTGTCTACGGTCAGTCGACTCAGGGCAAAAAGGAGAGAACAAACAGCAGGCACTATCGTATACACGCCCAATACCTGTGGGAATGAACCACATATCGTGCCTTTGAACATATGTGTGCGTGTGTTTTGGGGCAAATCAGCTGCAGATTATTCTTGGATCAAGTATCCATCTTCCTAATCCAGAACTATCCTTTGTGCACCTGCGTCAGAACTACTGGAAGGCCTACAGCCCAGAACATCCTCGAAAGGCGATGGGGCACATGCTGGGTGACAGACATGGGAAACCAACAGTTTTCAGATTTAGGAAGAAAATTTGATCTTGGTCCAAGGAGACATCCTGATATGTTGATTAGGGGCTGCAAGTAAAATAAAAACAAGACAATGCCTTGACATGACCCCCAGATGCGATGGGTGTCGGGTCAGATTACTTGCATGCCTTTCCCCAAGTTCCGGCTCTACCTGGGCGGCCTTAGCTCGGGGTACATGGAGATACAGGGCACGCACCACTTTACAATGATTATTACCTCAGGTTGTCTTCGATTCCAGCCTGGATACGACAAGACGGAACACAACTGGTGCCGGTTACAAGGTGCTGTCTATAGGTCCCTCAGGACTCGAGGGCTCAAGCACCTCAATGCAAGCAAGGTAGCCCAGCAGTAGACGTAGTTTCGAAGGAAAGGGGATGGACAGAGACGGGGATCTTCCCCCCTTCCCTCTCGGTTTTTTTTTTTTTTTCCCATCCGACAAGCAAACCACGCTCGTGTAAGACCCTACTTTAGCCGGGGTTTGCCCCCCCCCCTTTCTGTGCTTTGTTTTTATTTCCTCCTTTTTTTTTTGCCTCGTCTCCCCCAGCACAATCTCTATACAGGGCGAACTCGCAGTTGATGCAGTGTTTTACAATCTGCACCTAGGCAGCCCAAACCTAGCAATCTTGGGTGCAGAATGGTGTGCTAAGAAAGCCCGTGTTACGCAGTCCTACCTCCTTCCTTCCTGTGTTTTTTTTCCATCCGCGCTTCATCATCCGGTGGTAGAGTTGAGTTTGCGCTTGCAAAGTGCTTCCGTGCCCTAAAAGGCCAGCCTAGGAAGATGAAAGGTGTCCCGTTCATTTGTTTGCTGCTGGGTTTCTCCCATCCCAACTCTGTGTTATCATCTGCTAGCACTATCTAGAATATCGTGGCCAATGCACATGCGTGGGGACAGTAACGAATTTGTTTACTGTCCCCACGCAATCGCTTCACTCAGCAAGATGCAACTCTGACGCCTGGTATTGTAGCATGTACGGATATGTGTCTAAAATAACGTCTATCCATGCCTCATGCAGTACGAACATGTTGTGACAGAAGAGTCCGCATTCATAATCGAGGCACAATCGTTCGTCCACAATGTTTTGTTCTGGAAAACCTTGACGAAACTGAGAAAGAAGAGGCAGACCGGAGACAGGAAAAAAAAATTAATTGATCACAGTTTCAAAAAACTGAACCTGGGTTGTCGACAAGAAGCACCAGTAGAAAGGCAAGCAGGGCTGGACAAGGGCACCCCCATAACATCCCTACCCTTCCCGAGCTCATACCCCTGCAAAATGCCGACTTCAGAAAGATGCTGACATGTGCGTTTTGCCAATGATTAATTGTTCACTTTTAAAGTTGTTTTTTTATTCCCCTCGCCGTTTTGTTCGCATCCCGCGAAATTGTCGAGACTTTGATGTCCTCCATCATCAGATCACAGCCAGGCACTCTGCAAAAAACAAGAATTCTCGTTTTCAAATCGTAAATTGGAAACGGCAAGTCCGTTTAATCGGCAAATGTGGGGTCTCTACTCGTGTTTGATTCTCTGGTCAACGGTTTGCGGAAAGAAAAGCTCTTGTACCACCCCATAACCCTCCGTCAGACTCTTAAACATCGTCCGTCATCACTACCACCCAATCCAACTTTATTTGAAGCCGAGACGAGAATATGTACCATTCAGCCTGGAAATGAAAAGAACAGAGAAGAAAAAAAAGCACGTTCTGCTAACGATCAATTACTGCTAGCCCCCAAGGTGAGAAACATTATGTTTGTCGTTGAGAATCGGTACAGCACCACTGAATGGGCCGGACTTTCCCGCGAGACCACGGTGTTGAATAACCAACTCAGCCACCTATGCCTTTGGGTCCAAAGACCGAGGGAGCAGACCATCGATTCGTTTTGACCTACTTCTAAAATAAGCCTGTATTTTTGGCTGCAGTTGTCGCTCGCTCTATACACGCACACGGTTGTTAAAGCTACTGGCTTAATCGGACTCAGCACCGTCATTTCACCACGTCGTCTGAGACGCACCGAAAAATGTTTTTACCCGGAGTGGGAATTCGGGGGTTAAAGAAGTGTCCGTCGCTCCACCCTAGATCAACATCGTTTTCCCATCAATCATCCATCACACGCGTCGACGCGTCGGGGTGGACAAGTAAGAAGAGGGAGACTGCCAAACGAGATGACATGGGATTTCCGACACGCGTGTCTAAGTGATTGCGCCCCCCGTCTTGCGTGGGATCTGCGATCCGCTGCCTGGTCCCATCGTAAGGTGCCATACCCCGGCCTATTCTCCCCGGGATTGTGAAGACCAGACGACACAGGCCATTGCGGTTGACGCTAGCTAGTCTACGGAGTGTGGACGGTTATCTATCAGGCATATTCATACCTGACGATATGAGGTATGCGCAGCCGGAAATTTATGGAAGTGGTTGCGGAAAGAGATAGGCCAGAACGATTGCGGCGCGCAAAGTGACCCCATCTCTCGTCGGCCAGCGCACCACTTCATCTTGATTTATTGCATGTTACGGGCGTGGCACGAACTGGACGTGGCATCAGGTCCAGTCATGTCGCGGTATTGCACAAGCTTTCAGCTTCTCGTCAGGCTATATATATATTTACTTGGTCGCCGTCGTTGCTACTCAAATTGTCATGAAAATACAGAAAGCCCTCAGTGCCTCAGCTCGTCATCCGGCATCCACTCTTTGCATCCGTAAGGACCTGGAGACGCTCCCTGTTGCTGGGACTACGGAAGTGTCAGATGCGTCGGTTCTTGAACGGCTTGGGCAGCCAGGCTGGCTGTCAACTCGTTGTTTTGGGCAAGAAATAGGCAGACATCAGATAAAAAGAAACTAAAGAAAGAAAAAAAAAAGACAGAAGGGGTGCCCAACTTGGTAACTAATATCAACTAAGATGAACCTGAGTAGATGAGATGGGAGACACGAGACACCCCCCAGAGCAGTAACAACCAATTACAAATGCTTAAGATCTCCCAAACTCCCAATTGCCCCCGTTCCAAGAAACAGATGGCGCAAAACTAACGAGCGGGAGAACTATTTTAGACGTGGAGAGTCTGATCCAAGGGATTTTGGCGCGTCATGTCAGGGGCGAGTCATCTCTCTCTCTCCCTCTCTCTTGCTCACAGAAATCGTTCCCTTCCTGGTCAAACTCCAGTGTTTTTTCTTCGTCACACTGTCGTGTGTGTGTCCGTCCATCTTAATTGCCACACACCTACCTATTCGCCTGATTTTTTGCTGCCTGGCAATGCCGTGCCGTACACTCTGCCAGCTGCCAAGCAATACCCTCTCCAAGCCTTCCATGACACATGCATTAAGTCGTACAAGCTGCTGACTCTTGCAAAGTTGACTCATCTGTCAGTGCGCGTGGTTCTGCGGAAAATCCGTGGTTACACAATCCCCTTCGACATCAAAATTTTCCGACCTCTCTCACATGTGCAGACAGAGAGGACCGTCGCCACTCACAGGCCCCCTTCCCCCAAGGCGTCTTGTCCGCTTGCGCTATTGCCAATACCCACGTACGTACTCACTTGAGTCACCGAGACCTCCTTGTCCCCCAAGGCGCCGTACTCGAATCTTTCTTCGGTTGCGTATTCTGCTGCAGCTCGTGTCGTCACTGTGCATGTTTGCTGCGGGCCTTCCTTCTCTGAACTAGGGGATAAAAATGATAGCTTAGAAGTTACCATTACTGTCACAAATTGGACAACGGACGCCTTTGCCCATCGTACTAGTCACGTGCTACAGATAGTGTAAAAAACAAAAAATAATAAGAGGGATGAGATAAATAAAGCCAAAAGTGTTGTGTAAACTTGATACGCACAAAGACCGGGGGAAAGAGGCGCAACGCTCCGGTATGGAATGGTCCAAAGTTTGTCAGGCTGGTAACGCCCCCTCTCCCCCCCCCCCCCCCCCCCCCCCCCCCCGGGCCCCTCCTGCCTGGCTCTCTGTGCTGCTAAAGTGCTTTCTGATACCGTCCGTCACTTAGCCCGACAAACGTTGGTGCGATGAATATTTCCTGCCATTACAGGAACACTGACAATCCGGGACCCAACCCCCTTTATGATCTCAATTCTGGATATTCTACTGCTCATTCTAGAAGCTAGTGCCAGTATCAAAGCTTCAGCAGCACCACGCAATATAGGTACAAGTGATACGGTATCGGGCTTTCTGGCTCTCTGGAAACATCTCACATGGACACGTGCTGAAGATTAAAGTTGCTTTGGATAAGTGTTTTCATGGCCCAATCGTGCAGATCTGGGGCTAGTAATTTTCCCCCAATTTCGTGGTCGTTGCATGTCCTTAGATACTGAAAAAGAAAGGGAGTCAACCTGTGTCGTTATCGTACAAGTTCACCCCACCTCAGCTGTCACTGATCGTCACTTGCATCTTATCGGCAAGGGTATTCCATCTCCAACATGTCCCCGAAATGCCTCGCCGCGTCCCTGTCACGCTTCGGAGCCTTGCGCTTCCTCCGGCTGTACGTCATCCACCTGCTCCGTGACCTCTTCCACTTCGTCCATAGGGGCCTCCTGCGTCTCCATATCACTACCGGGTATCGCGCCTTCCGCTTGAAGTTGCTTGACCTTTGTGTTGGTCATCTCGTACACGTACTGCCCAAGGTGCTCCACACCCTCCATGCAGACCTCTCCTGGCACCTCAGCCTTGTCGACACCGGCAAGCTGCCTCTCTGCCGGCCACAATTCTCCAGTGACAAGCATGAGCTTGTCCGGTCGAGCCAGTAGCTGCTCAAATGCTTGTCGAAGCTCGTAGCATGCCTCAAAAATCTCGCGGCGTCCCAATATGTAAAGCCCAAGACGGGCACGTGAGAGCGCCACCGTCATGCGACGAATGTCCCGTAGGTATCCCACTCTGGATGTGCGTGTCAACGAAAGAATGATATCTGTGGCACTGTTAGCTTCTAGTTTGTAATATCTCATAAGGAAGGTTGCTCACAGTCATTCTGCTCGCCCTGGTACTTGTCTACAGTTGTGACAATCTTCGGCATGCCAAAGATGGTCTTGTTGGCACACCTGTGTGCCAAGACATCTTTCACCAGGGCGCGCTGTCCCGCATATGTTGTGAGAATGCTAATCTTCGAGGCCGGGTAGCCTAGAAGACGCATGTACTGGTATACGGCAACCGCGTATTCCGCTTCACCAAGGTTTTGGATGAAATGGGGAGTCGGTTCAGTCTCTCCACGCCCCTTGTAATCTGGCACATTGATAAACTGATAGTCATACTTGAAGCCAGCATTCGCGTTAAGATATTCGCCCTCGCTCTCCACGTGTGGCAGGTTACCAAGCTTGGGGTATCGCCACTGGTAAAGGCTGGCAATGGACGGTCGAGCTCTTCCCTGCTGATCCAAGGCGATGGTAGGGACCCCCAGACGAACGAGACGTGAGAAGAGGGACTGTTCTAGATTTGCATAGTGACGGAACGCCAAACTTTGAATGACTGGAGAATTCTGGAAATGGTCACCACAGAGGACGACCCTCTGTAGAGCCATCTGCCCGTTCTGTGGCTTCTGCATGGCCAACGGAATGAAGTTTTCGATTTCGGTAATTTGAGCGGCTTCCTCCATAACCACATTGTCATAATGAAATCCGAGAGACGCAATCTCCCCCCGCCTCATCGCTGCATGAGTAGATGTCATGGCGATGATGCGAGCTTCATTTGTCAGTAGGTAATTTGCCTTGTCTTTGTCTCGGCGCAAGATTTCAAACGGCATGGCGTCAGCCAGTTCGGAGAAGATCTTTTCAATGTGTCGATAGCACCCGTTCGCAATGTCCAGAACGGTGTCTCGATCCGCTTCGGGAGGGAAAAGTGGCTGTGGCGCGTCTGAGAAGAAAAGATGGAACGGGAAAGCCTCGAGGATATTGGCAACAGTTGTATCCTCGTGCTTTGTAAGTTCCACGAATCTTGCCCAAGCCGGCTCGATGTAGACAGAATTGAAGTAGCCAGCCGTTTCTGCAGAGTTACCATGGGCACCTGGAGCTCCGACACTAATAGCTAGACGATTCACTTCGTGTAGATACCGGTCCCGATTCTCCAGAAATGACTCCACTCGTCCATGCTTGCTGAAGTTACCTTCCGTGTAGAGTTCTTCCTCACCGTGTCCCAAACGAAGCAGATGGCGTTCGTCGATATCAAGCGCCACGATCTTCGCAAACAGCTGGTTGAGCGCCTGGTTGCTATGCGCAACCAGGAGAGTCTTCTGTTCCGGGAAGTTGTGGTAGATATTGTTGATGATTTGGGTTGCAACATCCGTTTTTCCTGTGCCAGGTGGTCCCACGATAACTGTGAGTCCTGGTTGGGTTCCGGAAGTAATGGCTTCAACCTGCGCCGGGGTGAATCGCACCGTATTCAGCTTCGGTGCATCAACGGGGTATGGGCCCATGTTTGGTGGTTTATAGGTCGACACTTTCACAGTTTCTACTTCTGCTAAAAGTGCAGGCTCGATGCCACGACGACGCTTCTTGGAGGGCTTGGCTTGTGGCTCAACAGCCTGCTTTTCCGCTGTCTCCAACACGTACGGCGGGCCGAAGCTGCCGCTGACATCGTCACTAGGCTCAACAATTTTTCCGGGCAAACTTCCCGTAAGATGCTGCCAATCCAAGAAAGTGTCGCGGTAATCTATCGTCTTAAGACGATTGGGCAGCTGCTTATAAGTTGCCCCGGCCGGATCACCGTAGCCTAGGAAAACCTCGTGGAACCAAGAGGCAATAGGAACTTCAGAAAGCGTCAGACTGCGGATAGATTCCAAGATTGGCTTGAAGTTGTTCTCCCTTCCACTCCGGCGCAAAACTACGTTGATTTTCTCGTATGCTTCCGGAGGGGTTGCAGACGATCGCTCTGCATCCAAAGCGTACGTTCTTGAGTCCAGTCTTAGCTGAAGCCTCCGCCGACCGTCGTAATGGCCTGCGCCATCACGCACGACCTTACCCTTGTCATCAGTAATCTGGATGATTTCAGCAGATCGGATAGTAACAATCCCGAGCTTCTCAGCTTCAGAATAAGAAGCGTCTCCGTTGGTGATGCTGTTGGCAGCAGGCGCCTGGATAGCCAATAGAAGGACAACATCATCGGGTCTCAAAGAGTCCCATTCACGTCTTATACCATCATTCAACCGACGGACATCAATCGAGATTTCCGCCCGAACCAGTGATGGCTTGTCGTCCCCAACAGATGCCGGGGCAACTTCGAGAATCCTAAATTGTTCAGCAAATCATCTTGGTCGCTAGAGAAACAGTAACATACGAAGGCTTGGTTGTTGGTAACGCCATCTTGGAAAACCCCTGAAAATTAGTCTCCCCTGGCTTTCGGCTCTCGGGGCGGAGGCGACGGATGGCTGATTCCACATCCTTTCTAATACCGTAAAAAGCCTCGGCGCGGGACAAAACGAGCGATCTCCATAGAAAGTCTCCGACAGACAAATACTGCAGGTTGAGTTTTGGCAACGCGAGGGGATGAGACCCGTCATAACTGTCAGTTCTCATGATGCTATTCTCGAACAGAGACTGCTCGGTTGGCACAAGGCTCATACTGCGTGTTACTTCCTGGAAAGTCTTTCGTTTCTCAAACGTAGTGAGGAGTACCTCGATAAGAAACTTCCTGTCAATACTAACGCGCAAGGAGTCAGGGTAACCAGTCCGAAGGTGAAGTAATCGCGTTAGCTCTACAAGTTCGGCATCCGTAAGGGGCGCCAGCAAACTTGAAAGTTCATCTCTCTTGTCGATAGACCCGTAGTTTGACAGCGCCAACACCGTAAGTTTTTCTTTAAAATACTTCAGCGAAACCTTTTGCAGTTTAGACAAGTTCGCGCAGTGCCTGTCATAAGCTTCTGTCCGGCTTAGCTGTGCACCTGTTTGATCGTCAATCGCAAAATACGAATAATGGCGGAGAAGCGCATGAAGGTCTCGTAGGAGATTGTTTTCCTCGTCGTTGAACACAGGAGATAGGCGCATAGCGGGCAAAACGTGAAGATCGAGCAAAAGAGTGTTGACATATCGTCGAGTGGGTAGTTGACTTTGCAAATCTGTCAGAAACTCGACGAAACGCTCGCAGTAGGAAACTTGGTCTAAGATGTATTAGTAACAGCCAACATGGACTCAGAAGAGGGAGCAAAATATCTTTACCTGGCTTCACGCTTTCTGTGTATATCAAACTCAGAAACTGCAGGATCAAGGTGTACAACCACGACCGATCGAATCTCAGTTTTGCCTTTGTGGCGTCATCGGCAGCATCATATCTCTTTGCTGCTGCTCGCCATGCCTTTCGCACATGAGAATTCTGTTCAAGCTTCTCCTCGCGCAGTTCCTCAGTTGACAAACTGTGCCAGATAGATATCGAAACCAGTGGCGCACATTCCTTCCTCACAATGGCGCAGTCCAAGCTTTGGAAAGCCGATATTAAGAATGCCAACAGGTGAGTCCTGATGCTGGGTGAAAGCGTTTGGTCGAGAGTCATAGAAAGAATTCGACGGAACAAGCTCGAGAAATCGTCTGGCCGGTCCTCAAATATGCCCCATGCCTCGAGCTGCTCACGTCGCTTCACGTTCACCAAAAGAACCACCAAAAGTACATGGTGATTAGATGATTCTTCCGTGTATCCAGGCCATAGATAACTACGCAAAGATAGCCGTCAGTATCGGTTCAAAGTTTGCAGGTAACATGACGTACCTTTCTAGTGTCTGCAAACTCTCCAATGTCAATATAGACTTATATGGGAAGCCATCATGCTCTAAAACATCCCATATCTCCTGCTTGACAACCTCGTACTTCACCTTGACCTTGACCGCCTTCTTGGTTGGCTTGAGCCAGTGCTTCTTGGCGACCTGAGAAAAAGCGCTCTCTCCCTCGATATCGGCAACAGTCGGACGTTCACCTGTGTGTTTCGTTTTGGATCGAGTCGAAGGCGCAGTTTGGGCCTCGCCGCTCTTCTTCTGCCGCTTGGCTGTGGGCATAATTGGCAAAATCGATTAGGAAAATAATAGCGCCAACGTCGCAGTCGCAGGCAGGTTTGTGTTAAAACGGTGAAAATGACAAATCCCCGTCGATTATGCGATGCGCGCGGGGCGCATTTGTTTACAATGTCGAGACGTTCTGAAGCTTGGAACCTTTAAAAATTTCAGCCTTGCATTTCGGGCAATTCATCAACTCCCAGGTTCTCCACGCGACGACGCGACCCTCGGGTTGGCGTGCAGAGGCTTCCAACTTTAGCGGTCGTTAAACACACGGTAGTGTGTTACTAGGGATTTTTACTGGCTCACAGCACTCTGCCAGCACAGGTCATTAGCGTGTCAGCCTATACGTAGCACACACACTTACCCCCATGCCTTGCTTCCGATACGTACCGCTTCCAGCAACTCAAGCTCAACCAGGCTGATTCTTTCGTTACCAGCCTTGCGCATCCCAACTCGCAATAATCCAGACGAACGTCACCCGCTCTCCTCGCCAACACGACCTCAAAGAGGCCCGATATCCCGGCGGTGCTGCCCAGCACACGGTGGACACGCTTCAATCGCTTCTCTCATTATTTATCCGAGCGCAACTTTCTTGACGCATCTCGAGATGCCCGCCACCATCGCGCCGGAGCGCCACGAGGTGCCCGGGGTAGTATCATTTGCGAGGCTCCTTGATGACCTCTTGGCTCGCTCAACAGAAGTCAAATCTACTCCTACAATCGAACCTGCACTACAGAAGGCGGACTTTGGCGATCTCGATAACCAGCTTGCCCACGTCTTTGCAGCACCCGATGCCTCAGAACAGGAAAATGGAGCCAGCAGTGCTACACAGAGAAAGGCCCAGCAATTTGCTATCATTGAGACAGCTGTACGAGACATGTTCAGCAACTTAATTGTGCGTCGAAACTTAGATGTGTTATTTTGAAAACTGAACTAATAGGCAATCTGGGATGGCAGGCTACTACCACAATCGAATCCCCCGATTTCGTCAAAGTCTGGAACTTGTTCGACCTACTTGCCGTTCTGTCCGATGACGAAAAGTGTGACCCCGCGTTGCTTTTCTGGTTGGTGGAAGAGCTTTTGGATAGCCAGACGATTGCCGGATGCCGCAAGATATTCGATTTCCTTGAGTCCAGGCGAGAAAGGATCACTGTCAAGCATTTCAAGCAGAAGCAGTTGGTCATTCTGCGGAGTTGTAATGAACTTCTTCGCCGTCTTTCTCGCGCGGAGGACACTGCTTTTTGCGGACGAGTTTTTATATTCATGTTCCAAAGCTTCCCCTTGGGCGACAAGAGTTCTGTGAACTTGCGAGGAGAATACCACGTTGAGAACGTCACAGTCTATGATGACCTTACTACTAAGAACGAAGACATACCTGATCAGATGGATGTGGACAAGCCCGCTGAAGCTAAGGATGCGGAATCGAAATCCCAGGCAAAGGCTGTGTCCTTTGACCCCAAAAAGCCAATTCAAGCGGATCAGCCACTCGAGCCAGATGTTTTGTACCCTCTATTTTGGTCTCTTCAGGAAACCTTCAGTCAGCCAAAGAAACTGTTCGAGCCCGAAAATCTTGCCAGCTTCAAACGTGGCCTAGAGGCAACCATGACATCTTTCCGGGCAATTCAAAACGAACAGGGCCAGAGGCCACCTAAGGCGATAGATGAGGCTCAGCGGAGCTTGAAACGTAAACGAGAAGATGCAGAAGAAGGTGATTTGGCGAATTCTTACAACCCAAAGTACTTGACTAGCCGGGACCTATTTGAATTGGAGGTATGTTTCACAACTTGCCCAGAAGAGTCGGGTCACTAACTCAGTAAGATGAGCGACATATCGTTCCGAAGACATATTCTTGTCCAAGCATTGATTATAATGGACTTTCTTCTATCTCTTTCCAGCAAAGTTAAAGAGAAGTTGGCAGGTAACGCTCAGAACAAGTCGGTAATATACATGGGACAGGTACTGAGTGATGAAGATGTGAGTAATTTACTTCTGGCTAGAGTCCCTTATGCCGTACTAACAATCAGCAGACCAAGTGGGCAACAGAGATGAAAAAGACCATCGTTGAGAAATACCTCAAACACGGTGTCGACGGCCCCTACTTCTGTCGGGTGGTTGAGACGGTCCTTGCTAGAGATAAGAATTGGGTCAGATGGAAGTCTGAAAACTGCCCATCAATAGAACTACCACCCGTGCCTCCCGAAACATTCCTCGAAGCCAAGAAAACTGTTCAACGCACAGCAACGAAGAAGCGTTTAAGGGCTACACCTATGGGCTCTTTGTCATTGAATTTCTTAGAAGATGGTAACGAAAAGACTGCGATGCAGAAGCTTAAGGCCGAAGAGAGATACAGCCTTCCAGAATTGGAGAGTTTCAAGAGGAAAATTGCCGACGATGACTTTGAGATTGAAATGCCTACAAACAATCAGACAAAGGCTGCTGCCGTCGAGAGCAAGGCCAGCAAGAGCTGGCGAGCCCTCAGGATAGCAAGCAAGACCAGGCTGGCTTTGTTTGACAAAATTGACGATCCGGATAAGATTGACGCAGTATTTGAGGAGCCAGTTGACGCAGATGAGGCCGAGGCGGCCGCGGAAGAAGCCGTGAACATTACCAACGTCCCTGAAGACAAACGTCCCATTGTCATCTCGGGGCCACCTGGAGTGGGAAAGGCTACAATATTTGGTCTTCTTGCTGCACGGCACCCTGGAGCCTTCACGCGGGTACCTCGGCATACCACTAGGAAACCTCAGGAAGGAGAGGTCGATGGCCAACACTTCCACTTTGTGGAAGCACAAGCCTTTAACATGCTGAGGGATGGCGATGCATTGCTAGAGTTTACGATGGTGGACGATGTGGATTACGGAACAAGCCGGAAAGCTGTAGATGCCGTTGCTGAGGGAGGAAAGGTTCCGGTGATGTATATGGACAGCGAGGTAAGTTCTCTCTGCCTTGTGAAGCTCTCGGCCATCCCTCTAACCCCCTGCACAGGCCGTTCAACAAGTTCGAGATCTTGGCTTCTCGGCCCGATTTGTTCTTCTTCTGCCACCCAGTAAGGAACTTTTGGCGGAACGTCTGAAGAAAGCTGGGAAGAGCGATAGTGTCGTGCAAGAGATGCTTTCCAAGGCGGTCTCCTACCTGGAGACGTCTACCGCAAATGAGGGGTTCGACCTAGTTTTAACGAACGAGGATCTCGGAACTACCGTCAAGGACTTAGAGGGGCACATATATGGTACGGGGGGGGGGGAGAAGCTCTCAGATGAGAAGCCTGCTGAAATCGAGGTAACCGGTGAGGATGCGGCCATGGTTGACGCGCCTGCAGAAGAACCACCAGTGGAAGAAGAAACGCAAAATGAAGGGGTCGAGGTGGCTGAAACTATCGAGGTGAAGGGGACGATGTCGTAGATCACCTTGTTACCCGATCATTGAAGATATAGGTGCTCATGGGCACAAGGTCGTAAAGATGTTTGATACCCATAATTTTTGACGATTTTGAAACGAATGCAGAAGCCTCATGCGCCCGTGAAGTACGATTTCTCGCACCATAGCTTTCCAAACGTTTGATCAATGCAAGTTTATTCAAGTCTTCCTCAACGTTCCAGCTGCTTCGCCAACCTCGACGTAAGTATCAAGACAGACGTGGTGTTTAACGCCGGACATAATGATTAGGGAAATGGCAAGATAGCTCCTAGATACAGAATAGTGTGGAAGTGGCATTAAAGACCAGTGTCAGGGCAAAACATGTATATTATCACCTGTTGCTACAAGCATGAAAGCAGCGTTTTCCACGTCGCCAGAAGCCGCTCTATGGTCCCTGAGTGACTGAAAAGATATTACCCAACAAGCCCTTAAACGCCGGGTTCCTCCATCCCTTCCAGTCACGGTCCATCGCCCCCCATGTCTCGTCAAAGTCAACTACTTTGTTCCGGACGTAATATGAGCCCTGGATTGCCCACAACGCCCAGTCGGCGTCATTGCCCTCGAGGTACCCCACAAGACAAGTTATATATCCATAATCCTCGGACGACAACCCGGCCTCCGGCCCACCGACCATGCCAACGCCGAACTCAGACAAGAACAACGGACCTGTGTAACCCTTACTCTGTTCAAGAACAAACCCGAAGAGAGCCCCGTACTGTGCGCGCTCAAGATTACAATCCCCAAAGTTGGGTGTCGTGACTGTGAAGCTGTAGCTATGCGCCTCCCACACATTCTTACCGTTCCATGCTGAAGTATCCAGTGCTCTTGTCCGCAACGGGAAGAAATCCGTAGCAGAGTTAAGCCCGCCGATGATGACAAGCACGTCTGGATTCGCCTCGTGGACAGTCTTGGCACCGCGCGTGACATATCCATACCACTGATCTGCTGCGAAGGGAATCTGCGTCCATGTAGCTCGGAGCTCGTTACGAATCGATATGGCGACGACGCCTGGTCTCGTCGTGGCCCAGATGGACACCTGCTGTAAGCCTGCGAGCCACAAATCTGTATCGAAGTAACGACTGTTGGCGGCCCAGTAGAACCTCGCATCCTTCCACCACCCATTGCCATCGTCAAGATTGCAGCACCAGCTCGCTTTGCTAACATGGTTGTCGAGAACAGTCATTATGTCGCGCTGCCAAAGCACGTCGATGATGCGCGAGAAGACGTCGCGTTGTGTGACGTTGGAATCCGCCAGAAACGGATTCTTCTGAACCGCCTGGTCGTAGAGCTTGAGGAGGTCTGCCTCGTTGACCCCCGCCGCCTTTGCGCCGTTAATGAACGAGTCCCGTACCTTGATCCCCGGGTTGAGGGCGTGGTCGGTTGAGAATGTGAGGCGGACGCAGTTAAAACCTTCGTGCTTGATCCAATCGGCCAGGTACTCTATGGGTTGCTTGTGTAGGCCCTCGGGGAGATTGACTTCCATGTGGCCTGCCCAGTTGATGCAGCGAAGTTTAACACGTTTGTTTGACGAGTCTGTAATCCAGCGGCCGGTTGAGAAGAGGGGTGTTTGAGGCTTCTGAGCTAGGATAGGGATGATGAGCCCGATTACGGCCCAGAGATGCAGAGTGAGCCTCATCTTAATTGCTGACTTGCAAGACTTGCAGGTCCAGATCCGCTGTAGGACTTGGGTATGACTTCTGGACGATTCAGGTCTGCGTCGTGCGCTGGCTGAAGAGCTGTGGAGAGGAATATGCCAAATTCGAGACCAACTCAACTGAACCAGATCGAAAGCAACAACTACACGGTTATGACTATAAAACAGAACCACACAAACGAAAGGGTTTGGGTGAGCCGGTGTTAGTCAAAATATCGACTTCCCGAAGACGGTCTCAGCTGGCTTTTGAAGGACGTTCTTTCAAATCACGAGGACGTAGTGTAGGACTCAGGTTTGGCAGCTGAGAGCCTCCAGAAGCATTTGGCAACGATAGACAGCAGATGCTAGTTGAGAGCAACCATCTTGTAACGGCACATGAAGAGGGGAGTTTGAACAAGATATAGTCACTCAAGACAACGTGTTGGCAACATCACGCGACCCATCTGCCTTCCAACATCCTACCTTAATTGCCTTAGTCCCGAACAGTCGACAGCAAATAGGAGCATCCAACCTATCATCTCCAGTTCATCTCCAGACCTCAGTTTCATCCACATAGAGACTCCAACCTGTCAGTCTCCACGAACAGGTGGTCATGGACGAAGGCTGATTCGGCGTGGCGAAATCAAGCCGGCGGTATACCCTACGAACAAGCGTTCCAAGGGGTGCTGTATAGCAAAGAAGAATGAAAAGAGACACTCCAATATTCAAGACGACGAACGAGAAGCAAGAAAACCATCTTGTCAAGACGCTGGTCAGGTCTCCCCCGTTAACGGCAGGGACACCTCTCTGCTGAGCACATGGCCGTCCTGGCGTGTGATTGGATGTCTTAGGCAGGGGGGCGGCATAATGAAGGTGGGATAGCGGCGCGGGCTGGTTGAACCTGGAGGTGACGTCCAAGAAAGAAAGGCCCCAAATAAGAAGTAGGTGTGTGCCCGAGGAACCGTGCTATAGGACCGTCCGAAAAACAGACCCACGTCACCCGACCGAGCCCCGCGGGCCTGAGTCCCTTTGCGCCTCTATCATTCGACACACATACCCTTCTTCCGTCGCCCTCCTTATTGTCGTGTTTCCCTGCAAGCTTTTGTTTATTGCTTTTGCATACACTCTCGAATCTTCGAAAACGGATATTTTGCTTGTCATTAGTAAACCCTTCCAGTGCTGCTCTTTCAACTAGCCCCCTTGGCTTGGGATTTCCCCGCAGGCCCCAGCAACCAGGTTAGGAAAAATTACAAGGAGAGAAATTATCCTCATTTCGCGGCACGCTTGTTTCTTGTGAGAAGCACCAATGGGATACCTTTGAGCAGGGCACCATCACATTTGCTATTGCGAACTCATATGGGCGGGAGTCCAAGACACACCGTCAGGTCATGCTTTGAGATTATAGTTCATTTCTGTCATTACTCATCAGCCATCTCTGTATTCAAGACGGCCGGTAGCTCCGGTCTACCGCTATCCCAGGTTAGGGCTACCACGCCAAGATAGTAGCCCAAACTAGGCCTTCTTCCTAACAGGCTGGTCGTTGTTGGGCCCCTTTGAGAATGCGCCAACGTCTTAACCCTCTCTCTGTCGATCGCGAACCTGCAGCGGTAATTGGATGAAAAATCCAAACGATGTTTTCCTAACAGACTCCTCGAAGTCCCCTATACATCATAGCATCATGCGTCGTGACAAACATTGGTGCATGGTTAAACTCCCGCTCAAAATGACAGTCCACGGGTTGCCAGAAGCAAAATAAAGTAAAATAAAAAAGCTTATACAGCAGGTGTCGGCTGTGTCACTGAGACCGCGGCTCGTACCTCAAGCTCTCGCCTTTTGGCAAGCAGACTTTTGAATGCCCCAAGGCAGTGGATCAGAGACTCCTCATCGTGGGCGCAGAAGCGATAGCTTTTTTCTTCTGTAATGAGCTGGAGACAATGTGTTTTGGTCTTGCTTACCGGGTCGATATCAACCACGTTGACGATTGCTGACATTGGCCTGATAAACTGCGCCGTATACTCGGATTCGTCCTTGTAAAGAATGAAGTTCCGCGGCCTCAGTACACCCCACAGGTTCTTCCACTGCCTCACGCCACCCTTACTTCTGAGGAACCAAAGCCAGCCTTGCCAGATGACGCGGTCAGGATCCTGCTCGAGGTTCAGGCCACTAACCTGGCTCGCATTTCGGTTACCAAGACCTGGCCGACCACTTGAGCCTTCACCTTCACCCAGGGACTGGACCGCCAAATCCTCGATTGACATGCCCTGTATGCGCTGGATATCGTTATCCGAGAAATCGGAGTGTGAAGCTAGCTCGTTGCCAGAATACCCTGCTGAGTCTGCCATTTGTGACGGACGACGACGGTCCGAGCCGACAAAACGGGGCACTGGAGGTTCCAGCGGCTCCGGAGAGCTTGACGCAAGCCTTTCAGGTCTGGTAGCATCTGCACCTTGTCCGGAGCTACTCCCAACCACCATAAAGGAGGACTGTCGGCGGCCACCGACGGGACTTGCAAGAAGAAGCTCCCCATCCTCCTCTTCAATCCGGGCATGACTTCTGATCAATTCGACCCATTCCTCCGCATCGTGACTGCTGCTGGCCTGGAGATGGTAATTCCTTGCTGGAGAGAATAAACCGAATACGTTCTTTCTTTTATTCTTGGGATCCTTCAGCAGTGCAACCGCCGTAAGGTCAGCGAGGTACAGCTTGTGGCGCAGCTTGTCTTCCTTGTCAGATCGGTAAATGGATAGCGATGTGGGACGCAGAACGAGATATATCGACTTCCAAGCCTAAGAACAAGGTCAGATATGGCAGATATTATGCGGCCGTACCAATTGGACAAACCTTCGTCTTCTGCGTGCGTTTTTGCAGGTAGCCGCTTTTGACGACGCGGTCAAACTCGAAACTGCCATTTTGGTTCACTGGCGACGAATAGGTATCCAGAGCAAGGCGGTTCCGCAATCGCGAATTGGGATCGGTTGGAAGTGAAATTGAAGAGGGCGGAATAGAGACCTCGACAGTTGGCGCTGGAAGCGTCTGAACCTGTGTTTGGGCCATTTTCGTTATGAAGGAGCCAATCCGTTTCGGCTTGTTGTGGGTGTAAGTGGGTTGACAATCGCATGCAGTCACGCATCAGTGGTTGAACCATTCGGGTGTTCCGTAAGGAAAGCAAGAGGATGATCGACAGATTACCGGAAGGTGAGCATTTCCCGGCAAGGACGGATGAGGGAGGATTAAAAAAAATCGAGCGGCGGGTGACCGAAAGGCTGAACTGGATCGACAGGGTATGGTAACAAAAAAAAAATTAAGTCGGCAAGTTACCCAACAGAGAAAGAGATTCTGGGCGAGGCAAAAGTTCGGGGTGGCTGGAAGTGGATATACCTTATCGAGTGGGAGTCGCGTGTCGGTTGATTTAGTATTTCCTTGGTCGGGTCTGTTTTTGGTTGCGGCGCTCTGGTGGAAATGGAGAAGGTGTCTGAGCTGCCCTTGCGAGGAGCTAAACGAAAACAAAAAAGAAGCGAATGCAGCAGGTGTTTGGACACACGTGGAATGAGAAACGAGTGCAAGATGGGACGAGACAGGCCGCGCGGTGGTAGGATATTTGGGGGGGTGAAAGCGTAGAAAACAGGAGAGGCTTCGGAGAGACCTTGGCACGGTTGTCGTGGTAAAAGGGGATATAGAAGTATTTAAATGGTGAAACTTTGAGTGCCAAGAAATGTAGACGAGTCTCGAATATGAGAGCTGGGCGAGAAGCAGCAAGGAATCGAGTCGGGTGCAGCGGGATGGGAGTAAGATGCGGTGTGTGTGTGTGCGGAATTTATGCCAGATGCAAACGCCTTCTTTTAGTGTGCTTATGTCTGCACTGCTGGTATGTGTTTGCGAATGCAAGTGAAGCAGGAAGGCGTTGGGTAGGCGTGGATATTATGATCATGAGGGGAAAGGAACGAGGAAGGGAAAGCCAATAAGGAGGGGCGTGGTGGGAAATAAGATGTGAGGTCAGATCAAGCCTCTTTATCCAAGGCTGGCTGAGGTGACCCAAGAGGGGAGGAGTGTAGTATTGCAAGGTCTACTGCTGTTGAGCAAGGAATCTATCTGGCAGAGGCCAAACGGCGAATCACTGATAATAGGAACGGATGCTGCGGGTTTGACGATGATGCCTTGGGTAGAGAGTGAGTATGTGACTGAGGTGCCCCCCAGTTAAGCTTTGAGGGGGCGCTGATCGGCACAGCGATGTCGCAGGAAAGAAATGCAGCAGGGTCGAATGTATCCAAGTTCGGGGTGAGCGGCGCGCCATCTGAAGACGGGCGAATGGGCAGAAAGGCTACAAAATTAGGCCGTGGAGCCCTTCACAATGCGACTGCATTCAAACTGATGGGATTAAAATGACCCAAGAACCACTCGTACTGCATATGTCAATAGATGATGGTACGGATACGTACCTAGCTTAAGTCCCTTATACGTAGCAGTTGCCTTATCCGTACAGAAGAAGGGGGGTTAGTCCTCATCGTCAGTCTCTGGCCCACTCACCACTGCCAGCGCACTCAGAGAACCCACCGAGCGATGCATTGCTCTGGACCACATCTCATAAATGACCTCCCATGCAGAACTGCTCAATATAGATCCGTGAAGGGGTTGAGTATTGGGGAGTAACACGGAGCTGGTCCGGTTTGGGGTTCGGCCAGGTCACCACCCCAGCTCTGAGTGGTTAAACTAATATGAAAAAAAAAAAAAAAAGAGTGAGAGTGACAAACAGACGGGCCAAGGAGACAGGGGAGAGGTGGTTGGGAATGGCGGGAATGAACAGCGGGCGGATCACCGAGCGTCTTAGCGCTGGTGACAGTATGAGAGTACGTACATACATACAAATACTCTGCCGTGTGTCAGTAAACAATTCACAAAAAGGGAGACATCAGAAGTACTTGTTATGTAAACGACCCATCATGGCGGCTGCAAAGTCCAATCTGTAGATGGACTTCGCTCCTGTGCGGCTCGTTTTCTTTCCCCCCTTGAAGCTACGAAATGAACTTGGTTGTATCTGAAAATATGCAGGTACAATATGTAGGCTAGAGCCTGATCTATGGTCCCGCCTGTAGGTCCTCTGCCCAAAGCAGTGTTTAGTTATGTACACTATGTGCCTTTCAGTGGCTGTAGTCCAGACCGGCGGAGGCGAAATAGTGGGTAAAGCACTGAACAACCAGCACCGCCCCGTTTCGTCTACAAAACTGTTTGACGACCCAGGTTGGGATGCAACTCCTAATCCCCGCCCATCCAGTCGAACCAGACTTTCACCAGCAGGCTTTGGAGAAAAGGGGGGCCGCTGTCTCAGATAGCTAAATCCTGTCACCTTACTGTGGGCGGCCCACCAATCCGTCGGGTGTCCCTGTTTGAGGTAGAACACCACCCGTCCCATCTCGCGCCTTAACAGTCTGGAGATTTGTGTTTTGTTTTCCGCTGCCCTTACGCCTGATCTCCTCTGTTGGTCCGAACATGCTTCTATTCTTCTCCAAACCCCCAAGTGACTTGGCTTCGTAAACCTTGAGATAGCTATCTGAGTAAGCCGGCCCCACCAGAAATAACAACGATCAACCGCATCCAACATTCAGTCTCACATGTCTGGGTTACAACGCTGAAGCAAAGCAAAACGCGCCATGGTTAAGCGCCCTGACCAGACCCGTCTGCGACCCCGCGCGCGCTTAGACGGTACCTGTGAACATCACGGTACATGTTGCTGCCATTTTCAATCATCCGAGCAGAAAGGCTCACTAACTTACGCTGCCTCGACGTCAAGCCCCTACCTTAATGGTCCGCGTGCTTTTTCAATCTACGCACAGCATCCTGAGCATTGAGAAAGGAGCCGGATATCAACTCCATCGCATTTCAGCCTCCCGTGTATGACCGCACCACCATACAAGTTGGATACCTCTGATCTTGAATTTGACCAACCCTCCTCTACTTCTCAACTGCCGTTGCGCACGTGCTGTCTTCACATCTATTATTGCTGGAAGACGTCTGATCGACACAAACGACACGAATGAGACTAGCCACTGCTCTATCGTGGCGTTCGAGTAGAACTCCTTAGAATGTGGCAGCTACTAGCGTGTAAGCCCGGTGCGGCCCGATAACCGGCTGTTGATCTAAAATGCATCCGTGGCCTGACTCTCGCGAGACTATCGTATATGCTCATTTCCTGTGTGGCACTAGTTATATGAGTTCGACCCTCCGTCATGGCTGTTTCTGCGCAATTCGCTCCTGTGCTAGTATTCTGGGTCTTGTGCACTTAAGCTAGGGGAGGATACGCTCAACCGACGTAAGGGGAAGAAGTTACGCATCTTCAGTTTGATCGATAGTTCCTGTTTCCATGTCCCAAAAGATCGTCAATCGTTGAACTGCACAGACTATGGCAACTTGCGTGAAAAGCTAAAGTGTGAATCATAGTATGTACAAGCCTGTAAGAGATGCCACACTCGAGGAGACATGGTATCTGAAGGTTACTTCGCCAGTATCAAATCCCCAGGCCGCTCCGTGTAAGAAACCCAGAGGGCGAACGCTCTACTCTTGGGCCTTCACTCACTATCTATGGGCATGTGCAAGTTACAATGAACGCTCGAATAAACTTATCACCTCACTCTAATATCATAAAAATCGCAACGCCTCTACCATTAACCGTCTAAGCAAACTTCGTATGGGCAGTCCGGAATAGACCTTGTAGTATTAATGTCATCAATACGAACGGCATTCCTTAACTACTACGGAAGCTTCAGACAGCTTCTTCCCAACCTCGTAGCGTCAACCTGTCCTAAAAAAACAACTTGTGCCAACAGGTCGGCGTACCGTCGTTCACCTCGGCCATCTGGGCACTTATGATATTACTGCGTGCAGGATGCAAGTACCCTTTTTTCCAAACATGGCATACTCGGTGACTTCATTAGCAATATATTGGTGATGTTGAGTTAACCCACATGGTTAGCGAATTGTTGCAACTGTGGCCCGAAATTACGGCGCCAAGGGTTGTGTTCCAGCCAATTCGTAACACAGAAATACCCCTCTGTGTAACGATTCACCTATATCATAGCATACTTTTCATTCGTACTGGTGAGTTTGCTGGTGTCGGCATGGGCTCGCTCTGATATACCTTCAAATTTTGCAGATAGGTCGGAGGTGTTGGAGGCTGGGCTTCAAGCGAAGATTAGCCCAGTAAATAACCGGGAAAGTGGAAGAGGAAGAGGGGGATGGATGGATTCCCTGCCATTTAATACTCAGTCGAGACAAGCAAGTCGGTAAGGCAAAGTGGCCGCGTGTTGTCCCTTGTGTAGGCATGGCAATCGCCCATTATGTTGCTATGCTATGGCCACCAACCCCGAAATGTAGCGTGGGATATCATTGTAGATATGCACAATCAAGTGAGACTTTTCGCCGAATGAGTCATCGGCTGAAGGTTGCAGATTGTGGCTGTCCTTCCAATTGCAGCAAGTGCAGATTCCTCTAGCAATTTTGACTTCCCCTTCTAGATCTTTCGTAAAACTTGGGAGATTTCCATTACCTGGCTTTCGTTCACTGGGACTTAAAGCCTTCAAGTCTACCTGATTAGAATTGTCCCCGACCGTGTGCCTCTTGCCAGACCTGGCACGCGTCAATTGCCATCTTCTCCTTTAAACTATCGCGAGGTATTGCAGTTGCGCTTGATTAATTGCACTTCGATACATCTCTCGAACCTCCGCAATCCACATCACTATCATGGCAAGTGACGAGACATCTGAACGTGTCTTGGGAGAGATCAAGGCGGAACTGGCGGTCACGCCTTATCGTTTCACCTCTGCCCATCTCCTGACAGGAGGCACTGCTAATTTCATCTACCAAGCCAAATTGGAGCAACCCCTGCCCAATGGAACCATCGAAGTAGCAATTAAACACGGCGAAGGCTTTGTCCGCCAAAGCCCGAACTTCAAACTTACCACGTCCCGTTGCGTACGTCACCCGTTACTCTACTGCTCATCATTTTAACTCATCGGTATTCAGCGTGTCGAGGAGTCATGTCTGAAATATCTTGAATCCTTTCCACCGCACATTGGTTCTAAAGTCTCCGTTGGCACGCCGAAGTTGTTCTACTTCAACGAAAAAACCAACACACAAGTCCAAGAGTATCAGCCAGATCCACTCAGCCTCAAGCTCTACGCTTTGAAATTCTATCATTCTGCAAGCTCTGAAGAGACAAAGGACCAATGTCTAGAGATTGGGTACGGAGTCGGCAAGTGGCTCCGGGAATTCCATAGCTGGAGCAATTCACCGGACCAGGTGAAGTTACGTGAAATTGCTGCGGCGAACAAGGATTTGCAATCCATCAAGCACTGGCTGAACTACCAGCAGCTCCCTAGTGCTATCGAGCGTCATCCATCAGTGTTTGGTGAGTGCGCGGATGTGTTTGCCGACATATTGGACAAATCGGCGAAGGAACTAGAGAACGAAAAGAATTTGCAGGTCATTCACGGAGATTTTTGGACAGGAAAGTGAGTTGACTTCGTCCCATATCCTTCAAAATTCCCTCTCACGATAGTTGTAGTGTTCTTCTGAGAGGTCAACCCTGGACCTCAGGACACATTCGGCTCTTTGTTGTGGACTGGGAGATGTTCCAACTCGCCTTAGCACCCTTTGACCTTGGCCAGATGATCGCAGAACTCTATGAACTGAAGTTGTTCAAGGATATAGATGCTGGCCTGTGGCTCATCCAGGGATTCGTAAAGGGATATGGCGCTGTGGATGATGACTTTGCCTTCAAAACTCTACTTCAAGTGGGCGTCCACCTCGTCAGTATTGGCACGACAGTCCAGGGATGGGGAACTGCGGAGCAGGTCGAGAGTGTGGCTATTGCGGGAAAAGATATACTGCTGAATGCATGGTCAAAGCAACGGGAATGGTTCAATAACCACCCGCTCGGCTGCATACTCTCTCGGAACTGAATGGTGGACTACGATAGGGCATCGGTACCGTTTGCTGTTTCATCGATATGAGAACTCAAGCCCCTCATGCTACGACTAGAAGCATGCCATTCGCGGCTGGGCCAGACAGTACTGGCCAAATATCTACAACCTCTTCTCGATACTATCCAGCTTATAAATTGAGAGTTGAGCTCATATGCAACAAGCTCGAAGGACTGACTCACTTCACAATTGACTTTTCATAGCGCGCTGTTCCATGTCGTGTGCGGAAGCAGAAAATGAGTATCTTGCGAACGATGAGAATACCGCCATTAATGAATGTTATGTACGGGTGCTGTCTTGGTCAATCATTGTTTGTGATTGCTTGAAAAAGTTCCGATGTTTCGGGAAGTAAGAGTTGAGAAAAAAGGTATTTAAGAATTTAGCCCAAAAGATAGCACAAAATACGGATACTGAGTCTGAGTCAACTGGGTGGCGGAACCCAAACATGCAAATATTTTCCTTTCCAACCAAACACCTTCGACCACCTTCAATCGCAAAAGCGAGCACAAAGAAATATCCAGTACGACAGGATACTAAATTCGTCGTCCCCTTCCCCCCAAAATATTGTGTTGGATCGAACGAGGGGAACCTTCTGATTTTAGTTTTACTGGCTCTTGCGGCCCAACTCCCACAAAAATGAGCGGAAGCAGCGAAACACGTCCCTGCCGGAGATGCGAGACACCGACCGTTCTGACCGTGAGAAAAGATCCGCTATGCGTGTAAGCCATTATATGAAGTATTTTCAGGTGCAAAAGTTCAAGGTTAATCACTTCATTAGGACCTGTTATGAGCGGCACATTTCTCAGCGGGTAATCAAGTCCCTCAGCAAGCCGTACAAAGAGGCCAAGGACAGGTTGGGAAACACGTCAAATGCGAAAGCAAAGTACCTGGTTGGCCTCTCTTTTGGTCACTCGTCGGCAGCCATAGTTCAGATCCTGGATAAAAACCTTCACGGCCTCCGCGAGAAGAACCTGCGGCTCGCCTACGAGATTCACGTCATCCACATCGATACCGACTTGTCAGGTGCCTCCAGCGCGTCGGCAGGCTCACCAGCAAACCAGTTGCTGGACAAGTATAAAAATAGGTTTCCGAACTTATCCATGCAGTGTGTACCGTTAAGCGACGCCCTTGCACTGGATACTATAGATTGGTCCGCCCTTCCAGCGCTGCAGCTAGATCTTGAACCTGCGCAACAGGTCAAAGCTATGCTTGAGGCATTGCCATCTGTTACGTCTAGAGTGGATATTCTGAGGTTGCTTGTGCGACATCTTCTTCTGGCGCTTGCTTTAAAGAACGAATGTCATGCGCTGCTGCTGGGCTGCACGACAACCGCTCTGGCAGAGTTGACACTTGCGGAGACGGCGAAAGGGAGAGGGTTCGCTGTGCCATGGCAGGTCAATGATGGCCCGGTTCCTATCACAATATTCCCGCGGTCAGGTGAAAAACTCGAGGGCCAGGCTGCCAGCGGGGCGCAAAAGGCTTCAGTCCCGGTCTATTATCTTTTAAGGGACGTCTTCAAACGTGAGGTCACAACATATACCGGATTAGTTACGCCACCTATGAGAGATCTGGTCCAAGACGCGGGGCCCAGAAGCAGCACTATCGTGTCGCATAGGGAACTCAGTATCGAAGACGTCATGGCTCGGTATTTCGAGGAAGTGGAAGAGAGCTACCCCTCTGTCGTAGCCAACGTTGTTCGCACCAGCGGCAAGCTTATGCGAGTTAACGACGGTGACGCTTGTGCAGTTTGCAGCATGGATATTGACGAGCAAGGTGGAGCGAGATGGAAGGGAGAGATTGGCGAAGATCCTGATGATGGAAAGCGCAAGGAGAATACAGGGCGGCTATGTTACGGGTGCGAACGGTCTATATATGGATAGATCAAACAGACAGAATAACTCATGTCGCTTCCCTCTCGCAGCACTTTAACCTGTTCTCTGCTGCCTTTGTGAATAACCCCCCGCCGGCCCAATCACTAGAGAGCCGATCCCCGGCTATGATATGTCCATCCGGTCTACCCAGCTATTTTGAACTCCATATATGCAAGGAACATTGATTTAGTAAGTACAGGATCGATCCTCGATCAAGGGTTTTGCAGGGCGGCCGTAGGAAGAATACGATCTTCGAGCTTCCTAATTAGCTTGTTCGTCTGCTCAGCCAAGGTCAGGGTTAGGATTGTGTGAGGTAAGATTCTGGCAAGATGAGGCAGAAAACCCTTGTAGATGGCTAAGAACCCCTCCGTACGAACCGTCTTGGACAAGCAGTCAAAGACGCCCTTGTACAAGTTTCCGTTTTGGTTGTACAGGCGGGACATGATGGTATCTATCAGAAGGCATCAGTAAGCAATATCTAAGGGTGCCACTTGCGCGGAATCCACGTACCAGGAGGGTGCATTACACAGCAAACAACGAATCCACTGACGGTGCTGCTAGCAAGGTGCAGAGGTAGACCCTCTTCCATACCAAGATGGCGAACGAATCTTCTCTTGGCGAAGAAGTAGGTGGGCAGCTGCACGGAGCTTCCAAAGCCAGTTCTAATCATGGCGGCGCCGACACCACGATAAAGACCACGGACTCCCTCTGTCTTGTAGATCGAGCTGAGGCCATTCCATGCGTTGCGGTACTTGTGTTGCGTGCCCACAGGCAAGAAGGGCGAGAAGCTCTGTAACCGTGTCTTGACGAGGAAGAAGGGACTACCGGCGGCGGCGCCCATGATTCCTGACCCGGCGCCACAGAACATGTTGATGCCCAAACTCTGCGTCTTACCGTCGTTGTATATGAAGGTAGCAAGGGTATTGCGCATTGGCTCGTAGAAACCCAGACGGCAGCCGTTCAGCAGGACTTGGTAAATGTACGCGCACCCGATACCGCGGTAGATGCCCCGAGCGCCCTCGTTCCTGACAATGACAGACACACCCTGAAGAGGGCCTCGGTATTGATGCGGTTGATGTCCCTTGTCCTTCAATTCTCCTTGTAACTGCATCCTAGAGGTCGTCGGAAAGAAGTCAGCGCGCTGCAGTGGCGGCCTGCAAAGGGAAGGGGACCAGCAGCACATAGACGCACCGAATCTTGACAGTCTCGAACGGGTGTGTAGCCGTCACAGCGCCGCAGGCGGCAATGCCGCCGGCGATGAAGGCGCTATTGCAATGGTTAGCTGCGCCGTTTCGCAGGGTGCCGGCGTGTCATGACTTGCCCCAAAGTTGTTGACATAATGCCAATCTCTTTGCGCGCACAGATAAAGATATATAACTTGTCAACCAACTGAGATGGCGAGGAAGCCGGTTATGCCTTGAAAGCGGTTGTAGTTGTCAGAGACAGATGAAAAAGAGCGACACCGTTAGAAACACGAGGACCTAGAGCGATGACACAAACGGGTCAGCAAAGAACGACGGAATAGTATCGTGGCAGTCTGACGGCCAGCCAGCTGAAGCAAAGCAACGTTCTGATTTGGTTTGATCTTACATGTTCAATTCTTAGTCAGAGCCCATTACCTGCTTGTCGTGCACCTCTAGAATGGGCAAGATCGCAGAAGATGATGGAGCGGGCAGGTTACGAAAGCTCGAATTGATTGACTCTTCGGGCTCTGGGGGGTATCTCAGTAAGCTCCGCGCGCGGAAGAGAAATTGGGAATTTTCGGGTTCAACGACTACGGCCGTGGATAGCCATTGCCGATCCCGGCCTTCTCAATTGCCAATTGGCACCATGGCAGGGTTCGCGGGCTATAGCGGCCTGAATCGGTACCCCGGATCCTAGCTGAAATGGGGGCGTCATTTTAGCTGGCCCATTGCCAGTGAGCCAGTTTCCAATACTTGGTCACGCGTCATCGCACGAGGCTGAAAGCCACTTTTGTTCTAAAATGTGGCTGACTTTGGAAACTCCTCGTGTTTAGTTGTTCACCTTCCTGCCCCACCATTTCAAGCTGGTACCAATTTGAACTGCATTCGCGGTTCTAGTGCTTCGACATAGCCAGCAACGCCCGCAGTTGATTGATTTCGCCGCACCTCTTTTGCAACTAGCCCAACTGAAATGATACCCTGGAGGATTTCTATGGTATAATCCGACCACATCACTGTGTTGAATATCGGGCAGAGACTGCAGGCAACAACAGCATCTGTATCCCCAGCTGCTGTCTACCACCTGAGGCTTGGAAAGCCGCCAATTGCCGCCAGACCGTCATTATGGCTTCGACGCCAATGGATTTGGACCAACGCGAGTCTACACCAGCCAACGGCATCTCGTTGAATATCACCCGTTCCTTAGCAACAAGCAACACATCACAATTAAGTGATGTTGTCTCAACATTCCGCCCGACGAAGGTAGGAAAATGTCGCTGCTCCCTCGTTTGTCAGTAAAGGATTTACCTGACTGGACGCTTAGCTTTTCAAAAGAGACGACATAAAAGACGGCCGACCACAGCCCCATGTTCTCTCACTCGACTTTGACGATCCAGGCGAGCTCCTAATGACGTCTGAAAGCGATGAAACCATTCAAATTTACAATGTCAAGGAGGGACGGCACGACAAGAGCCTCTTGAGCAAGAAGTACGGCGTTAAGTTGGCGAAATTTACACACACAAGCTCAAGCATTCTTTATGCGAGTACGAAACAGAACGGTTAGAGTTGAAATGCAAATAGCTATCTCTAGATATGCGCTAATTGAACAAATAGACCAGATTCGATACCTGGCTACCCACGACAACTCATTTATACGATATTTTGAGGGCCATGAAAAGAGTGTAACGGATATTGCCGTGCACCCAGGTGCCGACAATTTTATATCATGCAGTCAAGACAACACCGTGCGCCTTTGGAACGTCTCTACCAAGCAATGGTGCGGTCAGCTGTTTCTCAGCACGCCGTATCTCGCAGCATATGATCCATCAGGACAAATCTTTGCAGTTGCCTCTTCTAGTAGTGGAAGTGTGTTGTTGTATGACTGTCGCAACTACGACAAGGCACCCTTCGCAACCTTTGACCTAGTTGACGTGGGCAGGCACGTGGACCCCCAATTCGTAGTCAGGGGCTGGACAAAGTTGGAGTTCTCGAACGACGGAAAACACATTCTCGTTGGCACACGTGGCAGCGGCCACTTTCTCCTGGATGCTTTTGACGGGAGCTTGAAGGCGTATCTTCTCAAGCCAGAGGGCGGCACTCGGCGATTGGCTGCGGGTGAGGCGTCAAGCACGCACTACAATGGGGTAAGCCGAACAGATGCACCAACAGTGGAGAGCAGCGGCGATTGCTGCTTCTCGGTGGATGGCCGCTATGTGCTCAGCGGGACTAAGAAAGATGTTTTGGTTTGGGATGTCCTAACGGCTCCGAACGAAACCAAAACACTGAATCCCAGCTGGATCTTGGAGGACAAGCGTGAGGCAGCAGTACTGGCATTTAACCCGCGATACAATTTCTTTGCGACTGCTGACCGGGAGGTCGTCTTCTGGTTACCCGACCCGCATGCATAGGATACGGAACGTATTGGTCTTGGATAAGCCATGAGCGCTACGGGTTGGCAGATTGGATGAAGGGCAAGCATTTTCGGAGTCTAGGATACATGATACCCCAGCCCCTGTAGTTCTGTGTCAAGAAAATTTTGAATGACTAAAAATGTCAACTGTAATCGCATACATAATCAGCAGTTGAGCTAGATGAAGCGCACCATACCAGGGTCAAATGGTTGACGCGATGCAGTGCGGCTTGAGTTTGCCCCTCACCTACCGCCCGAAAGCACAGGTCTCAATATGTAGCTACCTAGACCGAACCCCACCAAAACTTGACCCTTCACCGTCCGCGACCAAGTTTGGTCATTCAATTGAACGTCACTCCACCCTACCACCACTGCACGACGCCCAGCAAACAATTGCTGACGGACAGCACGACTTCTGCGCTCGCTCAAACTGTTCAATCAGTCGCATAGAAGAGCCAAGCCTCGTGATTACGGAAGCTTGTGCTTGGACGCCAGCGGAACAAGGCTGCGACCACACTCCCTCGATCAGAATGCCGACCTACAAGACCAGCCAGGAATGGCTGGAGCAATCCTCCCTCCTCCTTCAAGCCCGTCCAGCAACCGTACGCTCGCCTTATCCTCTTTCACCCTGTCGAGGGATGTTAACTAACTTTCGTCGCTATGCGCGACATCTTTTCACCAGACCAGAATCACAACAAAGTACTCGATAAAGCCCGTTAAGCCTAGGAAGTCGAAGAAGGGTGACGAGGATAACACTATGACCGACGCTGCAACCATTAAACCCCCGAGGGGTAGCCTTGAGATCAAGACATTTGACCCTGTCAGCGGCGTCGCGCTCAAGTACCGTACCACCAAGGCTGCCGAGGTCTCGCGTCTCATCACCACGCTCGGCTCTTTGGGCCGCACCATGTCAACATCCAAGGCTCCTGAAGACGTCAAGGACGAGCCCATGCTTGACACCCCTGCGGAAGAGAAGAGCGCTGCCGCGGTTGAGCCGGAGACTGGCAGCGCGCAGCCGGAAAAGCCCCAGCAGGCGGGTGGTGCCGCTGGTGGAAAGAAGAAGAAGAAGGGCAAGAAATAAGGCAGTTGCACGTTCATAGAAGGCGATAAGTAGAGGATGCGACTCGAAAACGAGCTTTCGCTTTAAAGGCCGCATATGGAGGTGGGAGTTACGAACTGTGAATTTATTGTGAGTTGAGACACTCACAGGAAAATGGTGGGCTTAGCATTGAAATGCATACGTACATTTCGTCTCATGACTGCACACACTCAATTGTTTCAGGAATACTATGTGCCCAACTAACGTCACAGTTACCTTCACAAAAGAACTGAGTTGTAGTATGATCACATTTCATGTGTTATTACTGAAAATAGTCCTTGCCAATACATTTATCCATCACAACAAATCATGTCCCCATTTCCCAACGTCATCCAACCGGCCAGCCCGTGGGAGCCTTTAACTCCCTCTGTAAAATGATGCCTCCCAACGCCGTGTATGAGAAAATGAAATAACTTTACGACGCGACTCAGCTGAGGCGAGTAATTGCAAACCGACGGCGCTATGGTAAGTGCCTTGCGAAATCCAATGTACAAGGGTATAACGAGAAAAGGGTCAAGACAACAGCAACTCCGATCACTTCAAATTTAGAAGTCTTCATCGAAGCAGAAGTCACCACCGTTCTCACCCTTCTCCTCAGGGCTGGAAGCCTCATCTTGGTACTTTTTGGTGCTGTTCATGACACCAGCCTTCTGGTAGTCGGCAACACGCTTCTCAAAGAAGTTGGTCTTGCCGCCAAGGGAGATGTTCTCCATGAAGTCGAAGGGATTGGTCGACTTGTAGACCTTCTCGTTGCCAAGAGCAACTAGTAGACGGTCGGCGACGAACTCAATGTACTGCTTCATGAGATTAGAGTTCATGCCAAGGAGGCCGCAAGGCAGAGCCTCAGTCAAGAATTCCTGCTCAATCTTAACGGCATCGACGATGATGTCCTCAATGACCTGCTTGCTAGGGCGGTGCTTGAGGTGGGAGTACAAAAGGCAGGCAAAATCGGTGTGCAGGCCCTCATCACGAGAGATGAGCTCATTGGAGAAGGTCAGGCCGGGCATAAGACCACGCTTCTTCAGCCAGAAGATGGAAGCGAACGCACCACTGAAGAAGATACCTTCAACAGCGGCGAAGGCGACCAGGCGCTGGGCAAATGTGGATTTCTGGTCGGTGATCCATCTCAGAGCCCAATCGGCCTTCTTGCGGATGCAGGGGACTGTGGGAGAAGGGTCAGCAAAATAAGCGTGCACGCTCAAAGAGGATCTAACATACTAGTATCAATAGCGTTGAAGAGGTATGTGCGCTGCGCAGGCTCCTTGATGTAGGTGTCGATGAGCAGAGAGTAAGTCTCAGAATGGATGTTTTCCATCATGATCTGGAAACCGTAAAAGCAACGGGCCTCAGGGACCTGGACCTCGCCGCTGAAGCGCTCGACCAGATTCTCATTGACAATGCCGTCGGAAGCGGCAAAGAAGGCAAGAATGTGAGAAATAAAGAACTTCTCGTCGTCATTGATCTTGTTGTTCCAATCGTGAAGGTCTTTGGACAGATCGATCTCTTCCGCAGTCCAGAAAGAGGCTTCGGCTTTCTTGTACATTTGCCAAATCTATATGAAGAGTCAGTTAGAGTCTCTAACCAAAACCACTTTACGCGTCCCTGACGCGTGTTATGACGCACCTCGTGGTACTTGATGGGGAAAAGAACAAAACGCTGGCCGTTCTCCTGAAGAAGAGGCTCGTCCATCTCTTCTTCCTTGATGGTAGGGGCAACGTTGGCCAATTGTTGTTGCTTCGTGGTCTCCTCAGTGGGCTTGGTCTGAATGTCGGTCTTCTCGGTTGCGGTGGCAACGTCAGAGCTGAGGGGCTGGTTTTCCTTGTCGGCGGTGTTGAAGTTAAGCTTCTTGACGGGTGACTCCATCTTGAAAGACTCAAGGGCAGAGGCAGCCTAATCGAACTAATTAGTCTGTGGCTTCAACAAGACGGTCGCATGGAAGGGATTGAATCAAGGCATGGCTGGGATGTGGCTCCTAGTCGTGACGTACCTGCTTTGATGGTGTGACTTCAACGGACATTGTGAGGTTTATTGGCAGGCGAAAAGAAGATAGAAAGGGTAACGAAAAGACCACAGGAGACTCCTTGAAGTTGATTGAGAGTATCAGAGAGCTGGTCGAGGTTGTGTCGTGGGTGGTTTCTTGCTTGAGTGTGAAGAGATGTAGACGCGATGTTCGTAGACTGGACTTAGAAGCCAGGCTTTTAAGCCAGGCAGGTCAAACGCACGTGCAGTGAAAGCGCGTCTGTAATTACAGGGGTAGACGCGTTCGTGTTCACGCAGTTGTGCCCCTCGCCCCACTAAAAGCGCGTTAATCAGGGGGCATCCCAGCGCCGCCTAAAGAGATCACCGGCGCGTTTCGCTGCCAAAGTGGTAGGATCCTGTCTCGGTTCTCATATTCCCACTTTCAAACCTTGCAAAAAACGAAGAGCGGCACACCCAAATGGGACGCGTCCGACCCAGCCCTCTTTTTCTTCAACGTATCTCGCCATTTGTAACGAGCTACGGCACCCAAGTGGCCGCATGCGTTCCACTCCTGGTAGCCGACCAGGCAACGATGTCATGTCTGGGGCAACCAAACGCCATTCCACAACAGCTCCCGACAGCCTTCGGCCGAGCAGACGCGCTCCATTTCTCAATATACCCGCCAGTCTGGGTCAAACTACCAAGCTGTAATTCCGTATCCGTAATTCCGCAAAGGTGTTGCTGGCTTCGTACTCGGTGTTACGAACCAACGCGTACTCATCCTCCCTGGTCTGGAATGCCACCTTAATGTTATCTGATCCGATCTGATAAGCAGACTCCTCACAGCCCCGGCCTGGGCGGTTTAAAGTGGCTCTTCAGGACTCATTAATATGTAATTATGTCTAAGCATCGACAAATTCTGATGATTTCTAATTCTTGACTGTGGGTCGACGCGGTCAATCGCGGTCGTCATCATCGCTGGAATCATCCCCTCACCGGGAAGCACAGACTTGATGCCCAGCTTCGGTTTTCAGGTTCAAACAGCCAATGTGTCACGCAGACGTCAAGAATGTTAGTAGTATGTAGTATAAAGCGTGTTGCAAAACCTGCAACAAGTCTACTGAGATAAACTAAAATGGGTATGTAAACTGAAGTACTTTATCATTTCTGTGTCCGCGTCGTCCCGCCATTAACATCATAACATAAGCGAGTCTCGAGGGATGGCGCCAAATAATGACGTTGTAGCTCATCCTCCTTCACAACGTACCGATAAGCCAAACCCATGAACTAATATGCCGCCCGGGCGCCTCAAGAATAAAATTTGCAATTGTTTTTCCTCGTCCGTCCCTTCCATAAGTATCTGCTTTAGCGGCGCGAGGCTTGCTGAGCAGGTCTGTCCCTTCGATCGCGGCTCTCACGACCCATCTCCTCGTCCTGAACTTTGGAACGACCGAATCCAAACCAGCCTCGGCTTGCACCAGAACGACTGTCCCGGGTCTTAGCAGGAGCAGGAGCAGTCGGGGTGCGTTCGTTATAAGAATGTTGGCGAGCACCCCCACTGCTGGCCGCCATATGTGCATGCCGGCGCGGTTCCTCTTCAACGTACGCAGGCGGCGTATGTTCATCTTGCCAACGGTCAAATTCGTCTGCCTCGCTTGGGTCAACCGCTGGTAGAGGTGTTCCAGTTCGTCGAAGATTCTTCTTTCCTTGTTCGCGAAGATAGTCTTCAAGAAGAATGGCGTTCTTGGTGTTACAGCGAAAGGCAGCGTCAGCGATGTCTCCCACAAAGGGCACGAGACCAATGGCGAAGTCAACAATAATGTTGAACAGCATTTTCGTCTTAAGCGATCCTGGAAGTCCGCCATCAATCTTATTACAAGTCTTGAACACCATTAACGCCATGAATGCGTCAAGAGCATCACCGATACTGGCAAGAGACAATGTTAGTTGCTAAGTGAAAGCGAAATGTGGGGAACATGCAACATACGCAGGGACAAGACCAATAACGCTGCTCCAACCGAAACGGACACCGCAGAGGCTGAATAAAGACATGTCAAGACGGTAAGCTCGTCTTTTGACCTTAGTTAAAACCTCGCCATCCTTTGGAGAGATGCCAGGCGGCAAAGCCTTTCTCCGCTTCTTAACTTTACCGCTAGGGCGTCCATCAAGTCTGGTGGCAGGTACTGTCTCGAAGTAAGGATCCTACAGACAGAGTTAGTTGATTGTGTCGGGCAGTGTAGGATGCACACATCTCGAATGAGACACGTACCTCGCGTCCAAATTTGTTCTCGACCCTTTCCGCCAAGATCTTCTTGCTAACCCACTTGGCGACAAGACTTGCCATGTTGGTAAAGGGGCACGGTAGAGCGGTAAAGCTGCGGTCGTGAAGGGTTTCTTTGCGTGGTCACCCAACAATATGTCGTAAGTGAAAGCAAGGTTAGTGAGCTGGACTTTACTGATAGGCCCGGCTGCAAAGTCGGGTTTGGAGAGCGGCTTCTTATTGTGGTGTCCAGAAAAGGTGATAGTAGTTGAGGTTTGGAAGCAGCCACTACGGATGGGGCTGTGGTAGAGGCTGGAGGGCTGGAACAAACAACTATGAAAGAGAGAATTGAGGGGGAAACGTGGCGAGGATTTAAGTATCTAGGCAAGTAAAGCAACAAAATGCTATGCAGGGCCTAAATCACCACAGAAGTTGCCTCTCGACGTAACTAAAGGCCCGGCTGATCATGAGCGCCCAGAATTCCTGTTTTGACAAGCCAGGGACCAGACCTCGATCATGATGTAATTCTGGCGGCCACTGCAGGCCAGTGCATCTGAGCAGTACCGAGAGGCCTCTTCAGCGGGGCCAGAACAGGCTAGCTCACTGTGTTTCACATCATGCCGCAGCGATTTTGCTGTGTGGTCTTTCGTCAGCGCGCAACCCGACTGGTCGGAATGGGCAGTGCCGGAGTGTTGGTCCTGCTGAAAGCTGAAGTTATGGAAGCTAGTCAGGGACTGGTTGGTAGGCCTAGGCCGCTTCTGCCCATGCTGCTGGCATTGACAACGATACTGGAACGGATGTCCAGCCACGTAAGTGCAAATGTGGCAATCAAATGACCTTAGCTTAGCCACGATGTGGCTTCGATTTTCCATGCAGCCCCGCCTCTCGAGGATATTTCAGACCAGGTACAGGCGGTTATTGAGAGCAAGCACCAGGGAGTTGCTTGTCTACATTCGCCCAATAACGTGTACCGACTCAGATGGAGGTCCTAGCCAGTAGGGGATCAGTGGTGTCAGTGTACATAGCAAACCAGACGGAAGCTCTTAGTCTGACGTGACAAGACGGGCTGTGTCTGACAGTCTTCGTTCCGGACAATGCACTGTACCAATACAAACTATGCAGATAGGAAGTTGTCAAATCAGCTTGTCCTGGCCAATCAAATTTGGGTCACTGGGGCTTTCCGCCACACAACACCTGCCACGTCCGTTCTATCTTTCTCCACAGAAATTGAGCCGACTGTGGCTTTCTGCTGGACAATGACTACTACCTTACTATGTACCTTACCTGTCGTCTACGAAGAATGTAATGCATCAATTCTCTGCCTCCTTCCATGTTGAACAGCAGCACCACAACCAACCACCGAGAGGGCCGCTCGTTCACACATCCCGTTGCTTACAACAAGTTGCAGATCCAGATCATTCTGCTTCAACCACGCTTAAACGTGTTGTCAAACGCCACTCCTCCGCTTTGACTTTTTTGTTAGCCCGTAGTTGCCGACCCAGTCGCAGGCGCATTCCGGTCGCAAGCGGGAAGCCTTGAGCCTGAGCCTGATCCGCAACCCAAACCGCCTTACCCGTACCATGCTATCGCCGCTCCTCGCCTTGTATCCAACCCATACTCGCCGCCAGGAGTTTTTATCTACCGCAACTGCACATTCTTGTACAGGCGACTAAATCGACACGATCTTTCTTTTGGTATGTTCTTGGCTGTCGCCCAAAATGGCCGAAGGAAAGATGCAGCTGGAGGATTGTATGTTACCCCACACCAAAACAACAATGGCGACAACCAGCCTCGTGTCGTCACCCCTCATATTTTTGCCGGCGTAACAAGGCTGACAGCAAAATACTAAACAGGGTTGGACGATCTCTGTGTCCGATTCATCATTAATCTTCCCGAGGAAGATCTTTCATCTGTTGCACGTATCTGTTTTCAAATCGAGGAGGCACAATGGTTTTACGAAGATTTCGTCCGCCCACTCGACCCTACCCTTCCTTCCATGACCCTCCGAAGCTTTAGTCTCAGGATATTCCAGCATTGCCCGCTGCTGGCGCCGTTTTCAGTCGAAAATCACACAGAAGCCTTCGAAGAGTTTCTACAATACAAGACGCGGGTTCCTGTAAGAGGGGCTATCCTGCTTAATGAGGCTATGGATTCAACCATACTGGTCAAGGGCTGGAAAAAGGGTGCCAATTGGAGCTTCCCTCGTGGTAAAATTAACAAGGATGAAGATGACCTCGAATGTGCCATTCGTGAGGTATACGAGGAGACCGGATACGACTTGCATGCAGCTGGCTTGGTACCCGAAAACCGAGACGTCAAGTATATTGAGGTGACCATGCGAGAGCAGCAGCTGAGGCTCTATGTCTTCCGCAATGTCCCTTTGGATACACATTTTCAGCCCCGAACGAGGAAAGAGATCAGCAAGATTCAATGGTACAAGCTCTCAGAGCTTCCTGCTTTCCGAAAGAAGGGTGCTCAAAACCAGAACGACGCAGCCGCAGCTGCGAATGCAAACAAATTCTACATGGTGGCCCCTTTCTTAGTGCCCCTCAAAAAATGGGTTGTGCAACAGAAGAAGAAGGATGCTATTAAGGCTGCTAACGAGACGCAATTCCATCCTCACACATTCCACGATGAGCCTGTGACCGAGGACGACGTTTGGCAAACTGAGCCAGCAACCGATACTTCGACTCGCACACCAGCACTTGATACTCTGGAGGGTGCAACCAAGGAACTACAGCGCTTGCTAAAGGTTCAGCCCGCCGCAGCGCAGGCTACTTCGGTCCCTCTCTCTCCAGATGTTGGAGGAGATAAGGGCGCATCGTTACTGGCCATTCTTCAAGCCAAGACCCAGGCTGCTGTCAAAAATGCCCCGGTCTCGCAACTCCCTCATACACCGCACGATCATACTATAGAAGAAGTACCACAACCACGAAGTCCCCATGGGCAGCATCATCCTCAGCAGCGGGCGCCGATAACAAGCTATCAGCCTGCACCCTACTTTCCGGTTGTTCCAGATGGAACACCCCAACAATGGGCTTTCTCCCAGTCCAGCCATGCCAGCAATGTGGGCAATGCTGCTCCCCAAGTCAGACAATTAGTGAATGGTCCTGCCTACGGGCACCCACAGCCGACTTTGAGACACCCGCAACCACTGCCTCCTCAAGTTCAAAAAACACTCCTCAGTAGGAGTGCTTTCGCCGAGGCCACTCCGCCCCCCCAACCAAATCACATTCAGGAAAATGCAAACCAGACCGTGATTACGGCACAGTATCAACAAACACACTTTCATCAGCAAACCCAAAACCTGCTGTATCAGCCTAAGCCGCCCGCCGGTCAACTTTCGAATCAGTCTATGGCACTGCTAGGCGTTCTCAAAGCCGACACAAAGACAGCCAGCTTGGACGTGCCGACAGCTTATTCTCCGCGAGCATTTGGCCCGTCTGCCCCGGGATCTGTTCAGCATTCTGGCGCAATACATGATCATGGTGGGGCTCAGCCTTATGAGCAACCGACCGGTCCACCATTCCCAAACACAGACCCAGCTCAGGCCTATGCGAACCAAGCCTTAAATCAACGAGGTCAGCAGCCTATTGACCCCGCGCATCGATCTGCTCTTCTACAGATGTTCAAAAAGCCCGACGTCAGCTCATCCCATTCAAATCAACCTGCCGAGCTGCCGGCAACCACATCTAGTGCAGCACTCCTTAAGGGGCTCTCCACCGCGAGAGGAAACAGCCACGATACTTCCAGTCCAGTTGTCCAGAATCGCAGCACTCAGCCTGTTTCAAGCAGCCCGCTCAGCAGGCCTCCCCAAGGACCTTCAGACCTATCTGGTCAAATTCCCATCCACCACTTATCGTTACAATCCCAAATTGGCAGGACCGAACAACAAACTCAATATACAGGAGGCTCCAGCCCGAGAACAGTGGAGAGTCGGGGTGTATATCACCAAAACAACAGCAATCACTCTTCGCAAATGCATCCGAGTCACGTATTGCAACACACAGAAAATCTGGCCAAGCCAAGGGGGTCTCGGGGATCCGCCATGGCCGCAGTCTTTGGCCCAGCCGGTGCAGACAAGCCCGCAAGTTTAGCAAGTCCTCCTGCAGCATCAGCTCTTCCAGCACCGGGTACTTTGCAGCGCAAACCTGAAATGTCCACAGAACAGAAACAGAAACTTCTCTCGCTCTTTGGCAAGCCCCAATCCCCAAGCCCGGGTCCAGGCTACATGATTGGTGATAAGGGCAAGGCCAGAGAAACGTTACCCCCTGAGACAGGAATGCGGTCGCGAGTGGCGTCTCTTGCTTCTGTGAATGGACAGGGCCATCCGGAAAGCCTGCCTGGGTCTCGACGTGGCAGTCAGACGCCGATTTCACCTGCAGACCGTAGCTTCCTACTTGGCTACCTCGCGTCGGTGGCGAACAATGCCAAGTAGGACTAGCTAGCTCTTCCAAGGGAGGGCAGCTTGGCTCAGATTTAGACTTGGTAGCGCAAGCATCACAATTTCAGGTACTGGCTTGCGAGCTCATTGAGTTGAAGCCTGGTTTTCTTTGTCTTTTTTTAAACTCCTTTTTTCAATGTCATTGCATTGCTACGGGTTCTTGGGATTTGACAACGTATCTGCGTTGGTAAACTATTGCTTGGGAGAGATAGCAAAGGTGCAGAATGGGATATTCAGGCATGAGATATTATACCCTGGGATGCACCACGTCTGCCAGTTTCGCTAGAGTAATTGGAACCGATTCTCCAACCAGTTGTGTCAGGGCTGTTCCTGGGGTCTGGGGAAAGCTGTCAAAGGTCCAGGAAACCCCTTGGACAAACAGACAGGTTATCCCCCACCCCCGCGCAGTACCATGTGCCTGTCTCCTGTCCCCGCGGTGGCGTGACATGGGTTAGCCGGCCTGTAACGGTGTAAAAGCTGGACCTAGCAAATGTGGAGTTCTAATAGGCTGTTTCGTCCTATACTATTGGTGTCGGTAAAGTACGTTTGTCACGAGGTGATACTTCCAAAGTGGGCTGATGAAGCGTGGGATGAACTCCTCTGGCGTTGTCCAAGCCATCCCTCAGTCATGCTCATTTCGCACCTCCTCTTGTAGACATGGAAATTGGTGGGAGAGAATTGGAAGGCCTGTTTCGAGATGGCAGGAACAAGATAAACGCAACCGAAATCGGTTGCCTTGCCATGTGCCCATCTTTTTCAATCGAACCATTCATTGTAAGAAAAGGTTGAGTGCGGTACACACCGATGGCCTCATCAGCATATGAGAAGCTGCTGCAGTATAACTGAGCCTATGGGCCCCTGGGTTTTGTTTATTGGGGAGAACTAATTTTGATCGTATTAAACTCATAAATCATCCGCTCAGAACTTAATCTTCACCGACGATATTTCCAGAATTTGGAACTAAGATAACCACTTATACTTGTAGTCAATTGCAGATCGCTGTATCCCAAGTATGTTCTTCAATACATCCGCAGATGCTCTCTATATCCCCCCTACCACAATCGACCCTGTAGGCTACGGCAAGGTTGCTATTGTCACAGGCTGTGGATCAGGGATCGGTCTCGCATGCACACAGCTTCTCCTCGCGCATCAGTATCAAGTCTGCGGCCTCGATATACGCGATTTCAACTACTCGCTTCTCCAAGAGTCGGACCATGGCCGGTTCCACTTCCACCGCGCCGACCTCACGGAATTGCGGGCGTGTGAAGATGGTGTATATGCATCAATTGCGTCTTTTGGGTGGAGTATACCGTGGCTGGACTTACTCGTAGAATGCTAGTCTAACGAAGGACATTAGGAGAAGAATCGATCTGCTCGTTAACGTGGCGGGTGTCATGGATAGCTTCAGCAGCGCTGACGGCGTCACAGACGTTGAGTGGGACAGGGTTATAGCCGTCAACCTAACCGCCCCCGTCAAAATGATGAGGGCCGTTCTACCTTTCATGAAGGAAAAGTCCACCGGCGTCATTGTCAATGTTGCCAGCACGGCTGGGCTCTCAGGGGCTGTCGCCGGTATTGCGTACACTTGCAGCAAACACGGACTGGTAAGGTCACTCTGGATGTAAATTTCATGAGGGCGAGAGAGCTAACTCTTCGGGCCTATAATACAGATTGGCGCCACAAAGAACGTGGCCTGGCGTTTCCGCAAGGAGGGTATCCGGTGCAATGCCGTGCTCCCCGGTGCTATCGATTCGCGGATCGGCAAGGCTATCGCCTCGGGGCACGCTGACGAGTTTGACATCGAAGCTTATGCACAGGTTGAACCAGTCCATGCTCTGCATGCCCAAACATCGGACTCAACCCCAAACATCACGCCGCTTGAGGTTGCACAAGCAGTCGTATTCTTGGCGACTGACCAGGCGAGGACCATAAATGGTGTGGCCCTGCCTATTGACCAAGCTTGGGGCGTTGTGTAACAATTTCTCGTGTTTTCCTGGTCGAGAACATATGGAAGAATGGGTACGAAATTACGAAGTATTGTCACGTATTGACTTGCTCTATTTCTTTTCGGGATTTAAACTGGTTAGATGACCCGTGTCACCTCTTTGCCCTCTTGTCGTTTCACTTTTCCATCAATGTCCCTTCTTCGATCATGTTTGAGCCCTGTGAGCTAGGCAGTTTGCATGCCTATGTGCCATATCCCAAATAGCAAGGTCCATATCGCCGAGTAAAAACTGTCGTTTATTACATCTATCTTACTCACTTCAATCGTTCCGTGACATGAAGCGCACTGTCACTTGAGCAGGTGAGAGGAAAGCACCAGAAATGCAGCTACTGGATATTGCCATCATACAATAATAGATGCCACAGTAAGATATGAATGTGGACTTCAACATTGGCGAATGGGTCTTAGTGAACCTCTCGTACACCGCTAGAAGAGGGCCATGCATCAAGCAAAGTAAATAATATTTATTCAAGTAAAGATATCCGCAACTCCGAGACGCCTGTAGCACGGTATATGACGGTCAGTGTGCACTGCTTTCAATTACACATGGCCGTGTTTGTGAATACCATCATCTGAGAGAGCAGTCCAGTTGGAAAATCGATTCCTTCTGCTCTCTCTCTCTCCCTCACCGGCCCCTTGTTTTTCTCCTTTTTTGTTGTAGTCACTACCTCGTGAACACGAAATTGAGGTGTCGTCGTTTGCCTCATTGCTGATATCTCCATCTAGGCTTAGTACCTGAAAGCGGGTTGTTATTTCGTTTATTGTATTCTTGCCTAGGAGGGCTTGAGTAGTGATGCGGTGGTGACGAGGTTTCACTAAGGGCTGTGCACATTCGTCGACATCCCATTCGATTCTGGAACCTTTGTACAGGCTGATGTTCTTTTAGTACTTGTCCAAGCCTCGTAGATCACATAAACTCACAGCCGACTTACCAGGCATGTTAGCGCAAATACTGCATTGTGGACCGAATTGGTACTGATGTAACAGCTACTACCTCTGAAGGTAATTTGGATAATGATAAGGTTGTGGACATGCTCCAAATCATCCCTGGCACTTTCTTCGGTGAGCCTAGGACCAGCACGCCGAACAACATATTACGTGTAGCTCCGAGTCCAGTTTTCCTGGCAAGGTGACCGGGCAGAACAAATTGCCGTTCACTCCATCGAACATCGACCTAAACTGCCCATCAGCAAAAGTACGAGTAATCCCATTCATTTGTATTACCCTTTTGTTCTTGACATATAAGTTGTGGCGTCGAGCGTGCTCAAAGAACTCTCTAGCATCTACTGCATGTAGAAAAGAGACGTGAGCAGAGCGGCCGTGATCTCTTAAGAAAATCTCTAGAAGCTGACCACCTCGGACGGAAGCTGTTACATCACTGTGAGTCGTCTCCTCAGGAAGATTGGTCAACAGTACTGTTCTGGTCGCAATTCTCTGGTACTGCGGGCGTGGATGCGTGTGCTCCTGTGTTTGATGGCCTGAGCAATGCTGGTGGTGGGCTTCGACAGATGAATCATTTGACGTTGCAATTTCCTGCACATCCGCTTCACCCAAATCATGTTTCACATGCTTGCTGTTGGGCGGGGAAAACTGCTCTGTGAAGCTTGCTGCAAAACTTTGTGGCAGCTGGCGTTGTTTGGCACGTATGGTGCGTAAAGTCCCCAGACCTGCCCTGATTATCATATGAGATCGGGCTAAGAGTCTGTTGTCCACCATCCTCTTGCCATTTGGATTCAACGCCTGTTAGGACCTATAAATAATTCAGCTTAGCATGCTGGAAGCAGAGTAGGGGCTCGACGACAACTTACAGCAAGGGTATCTTCCGTGGCACCACCCCGCAACAGGTTCTGGCGCAGGTTTGCTGTTTAATAAGTTAGAAAAAAAAAAGGTATTGGTGCTACTTCGGAATCACGCCGTGGCATTTGAAAGGTCCCGTACCAAATTCGCGAGAACTTTTGAGTAGGACATTATACTCGACGCAGGAGATGGTGACGGTACAGTGAGATGAAGGAAGTTCATTAGAGTCCTTGGCCAACAGTTGTCAACACCCCAATGCCTCAGAGTAAATGACAGGCGAGCTAGGTCGAAGATAGGGAGAAACGTACGAACTGAACACTGTGCCAAAGGTTAGCCTTTTTTTTAGCTCTCACAAGTATAACCCTTGCTGATGGCTTAAACAGCAGCACGGGCTTAGTGGAAGTGTTAGATACTACCTTCTGCCGAGGCTATCAACATAGGAACACTCAGTGGAGACCGTGTTACCCACTAACGACGCCATGATTTTCGTAAACCTCTGAATAAATCAGGATGGTCTAAAGGTTGTTCTGGACAATGCTGTTGGTTGCAAGATATCGAAAGCGGTTGCACGGCGCCCCCAACACAAGGAAGTTAGCTGAGCCGACGTGAGAGAGGTACCTACCTCATCCAGACAACACTTCTGTTTTTATCGATAAGCATTCTTAATTCGGTCTGTTAAAGAGTTCTTGCAGGGAGTTCTCCCATTCTCATATGGGCCCACTTTTAGTGGTCTGCGTTTGTTGCTTCGAACTCAATTACCCATAGGCAGTACGAAGTCCAGTGCAGCAGTTTTCCAGGCCAGTTCCTGGCGACGGAAGGCGTGCTGGTAGCCCTTGGGCAGCGGCCGGGAGCTTCAGATCGTCCAAACACTCAGCCTTTCCTCAAACTCAATACTACACACCACCTGACAAAGCAATACAGGAGGTCCTTGGATCTATTTGATATTCGGAATGAACTTGTTTTGACTTTTTGCCCAATAAAGAAACACCGTTGGATCATTAACGCCGTTACAAAAACGACGCCCCGTTGATCAACAGTTAGCTGCAATAAACCCGACTATCAATTAGTTTTCGAGTTCAAAATCCTTTATTCCTGGATCCGTATGCGGCTGCCTATGTTTCGCACCTTTTTATTTTTATCTTTCTGGCTCGATACCGGAAATAGTTGGTCTACGGAAAACGTCGGGATGATTGGGGGAAAAGAACGTTGAGTGAGACATCAATGTCATATTAGGCAGTGGCTGGCATCATTGTTGAACGAACAGCGAAGCCACTTTACGCCGACACATATCCATTCCTGATGACAATGACGGCAAGCAGGTAGCCAAGGGAAGCAGAATATTACCGATATCAGTGCAACAGCAATGGATCAGTCCTCAGCCACAGCTGGATAAATGTGCCGACGCTTTTTCATGGTTGAATCCAGAAGCTGATGTGGCGCCGACATATTACTACACACCTCATGCTATTCCCAACGCCCTTGCTTGTCTCGTAAATACTACACGTATAAGTCTAAGACCGCTCTATTCGTTCCTTAGTGACGACTGTCGCAACGCAAGTGGAAGATCGGTTTCAGCAAAGAAACCATTTGGTCGCACAAGGCTGGGAGGTACTGGCAAAATATTCAAAACACCCGGGTGCTACGGCCAAAGCTTCGAATGCCGATCCTGGCGGAGAAGGTTCTGTTGGATGTTCAGCTAAACCCTGAATGGTTCTTTTCGCCGCTCGATTGCACGGAATGGTTAAAGTACGAGGGTAATGTCCTGTGCAGGCACAATATGCGCCGAAAACCTGCTGCGAAAACCGATGCAAGTGGGCCAACTCTCTGCATTAGAGGCATCTAAGGGTAGTGGGATGCATCAATTCGGATATCTAGGAGACAACGACGCGTTTGAGTCAAGCCAACCAGGGTGAGAGCGAATTGGCGCTATAGGTGAATAGAAATCATGCTGGTGAAAACCCAGCCGATTAGGACTTTCGTCAGCGACATGCTTAGTTAGGTGAGGTCATGCATTGTTTGGGCGCGAACCCGGAGGTATTGGTTGGGGTACTAGCAGCTAGGCACCTTACTGAGCACTAAGCACTAAGTGCTTGGGAAATCTGTGAGGTGATCCGGTGTTTACAGTCGTGACGGCCCAGAAAAGCAATCATGACAGCAACGGCGACACACAGGGTACCGTAAGCTGAGTTTGGGCCAAATATTTCTCTTGCCAAGCGCTTTGATCATCAGGAAAATTTTCACGGACGCAGCCGTTGTGCCAATAATCATCAGTACAGTCCATCAGTCTCGCCTCAGTCTCATCATTGATTGAATCTGTGGAGGCGCGTGTCCAAGTAATTATTTTTAGGCGGCCAACACGAGAGAGGGGAGGCGTTGGAGGGGAGGAATACGATGGCTTGGTGGATCCCACCTCCTCAACCAATGCCTTGGCTACTAGCCTGTAGTGTAGCCATTAACAAACCTGGCGTTGCACTGCGCCAGTTTTGGGCCCCGGCAATTCAATGCGCCAAAGAGTCGCTGGATAGTTGGATTGTATGTGCCAAGATGCTGTGTATGGAAATTTTCATAATTCATTGTCTTGTCCGGCCTTGATGTTTGCTTGAGTAGTTCAAATGGTTATTCAGCCTTCTTCGGCGTTGGGCTTAAGCGGCTGCAATTTATACGAATGCATACTGGATGTATTGGCCAGCGATTTTGCAGGAAGGTCAGCGCTTTAGCACTCCAGCCGAACAACATCAGCGGGCTGTGCCACCGTGCCACCCCATCCTTTGGCTTTGCTGTTATGCAGCCAGTATCCGTAATGGTGTGTGCTCTAGCAGGCACCGCCCCTGCTCGAGCTGCTGCCCTGCATTCCATTTTTTGTGATGATCCTGTCACTTGGGCAATCGGGGGGTCGCCTTGGTTGCTGTGGACCCACCAACCTAATCAATTGGGGGGCCCATCCCCGTTCCCTCCTGTGAATTTCTTTCATCCCATTCCAACGCCTTCCTACCGTAATACTTGGGCCTACCAGAGTGATTCGCCTGGGGCTACTCTACTCTGGGCAAACCTCTCCCCTTTCTTTCCAACCATTCTCACTTACCTACGCACACAACGCATCTTGCTTCCCAGTAGCAGCATCACCGGCAGCCTTCTTTAACGCCCTTTTCTAAATTAATCAGACTCCAACACTCGCTTGACACAATTCGTTTGCCTACCTGTCGTTTACCGAAAGAGAAGGAACTTTGCAAGGTGCCCTCGGTTTTGATTTGGCCCTCAACCTGTGATTTTACCGAGAGAATCACTATTGCGATTTTGCCTGACCCGCGAAAAAGGGGGTGAACACGAAAATCACATCACCCACGACAGCTACCTTCTTAGCTTCACCAAACGAAAACAGTTCTTGCTTTTGATCGATTGCAATCCCTTATTGACGCCTTATTCGATCACTTGTGGAAGTTGTTTTTCCTGACCTGGCCACTGGTCTTTTCCGACATCTATTCGTTTCGTTAGGGATACTGTATTCTTTTCAACAACAATGAAGGCCGTCCAGGCACTTACCCTTGGTCTTGCCACCTTCACACCCCTGGCCGCAGCTTGGCCAAAATGGCTTCCGGATATCGATGCTCTCGTTGTTCGTCAAAACGATGCAACCACAGGTAAGAGGTTTTCGCTTCACTTTTGGACCTCTCAAGCCTATGAAGCTAATTTTGCCTAGCCGCTCCTACTGCTACTGAGGCATCATCCGCCAGAACAGGTGCTGCGGCAACCACGACCACCGCGGAAGCGACGGCGACGAACACTGGCGGAGTAAAGACAACAAACCTCAACACAGCAAAGGCACCTACAGGCACCAAGACGGGTTCTGCCACGGGTACCGAGACAGAAACGGCCGAGACTACCTTTGATGCTCGAGACCCAGCTGGCAGCGTTGTGATGATCGATCCCGCAGCAACAGCCGCTGCTATTAACCTCTACAAGATCGGAGACTACGTCACCTGGAAATGGAACTACACAAATGTTCAGGCCACCCCCACTGCCATCGACGTGCTTGTTAGCTGCTCTGCTAGATCCCGCACATGGACCTTGACCCAGAACATGACCTGGGCTGTGCCTGCCTCGTACACATGGGATACTAGCGTGCAACAAACCGACCCCTCGGCCCCGCTGGCAAACGACGAATACACTCTGGTCATTTACGACGCCGAGACGAGCGTCAGCGCCACCGCGGCCCCTGGTTATTTGGGGGTCTCTAACGCCTTCAAGTTCGGTATGTACGTAAGGCAAGAGTACCATGATCTTAACGACTGGGAATGCCCAACCTGCGGCTCAGCTGCTTCTGCCCTAGATAGCAAGGCCATTAGTATGGCTGTGGGCATGAGTATCGCCACTGTCATCAGCTTCACGTGGTTCGTAGCAGGGCTGGGCGTGTTTTAATGAATATTTTCTCAGTAATTTGTGGTTGAACATATTGTTTTGCGAGCTACCAAGAGCGAGGATCAGAATCTAGCGGTAATCATTGACAGGGGGCATTCACACGGGTGGCGTTATGTTCAAATTTGGCGGGGTAAAATGGTGGCTCTGAATATAAACTTGGATATTTAATGAATTGTCCTGATATATAGTTTAATTGATGATGCTGGCCGAAAAGCACGGTCATATGTTTGCCTTTACTATCCGCTTTTTCCTCAAAGGTGCTCTGTCTAAACCATTCGTAAAGAGAAGCCGCCTCCTCTCTCTTCTTTATCCCTCCCCTGGAAGATGCCGCTAAAGTCAACATCACCCAACTCAACGGCATTCTGCCCACGTATGGGGGCATTGGGCTCGTGTCTCCTCCTTCTCTCCTGACCAGCCTTACTAGGGAATGTCGGGAACATGCCCTCCTTCTTTGGCTTAGGGTCTTCCCTAAAGTACTTATGATTTAGCATATCTTTCGCTGACGGCCGTGAGTCGGGATCCAAGGACAACAGGCTGTTTAACAAAGCGCATCCGGCATTTGTCAATGTCGTAAATTTTGCTCTAATCACGGATCCCGTAGCAAGTGACGTTTTGGGCAGGCGCAAAGAGCGGGCATTAGGCAGGCTCCTAAATGATGGCCAACTCTCCTGCGTAGGCACGCCGCACAGCTCAAAGATTTTCGTGACTTGGTCAACCTCATTTATACCCTGGAGAAGGGGCTCCCGTGTGAGAAGCTCTCCAAAGATACAGCCTACACTCCACATATCCACGGCCTTACCGTAAGCCCTGGTTCCAAGGAGGAGCTCGGGCGAGCGGTACCACAGCGTGACGACAAGTTGTGTTAATTTCGGCGGAGGGTCGCCGACATAGCGAGCCATGCCAAAATCTGCAATTTTCAGCTGCCCTCTATTGTTCAGCAGTAAATTGGACGTCTTCAGATCTCGGTGGAGTATCCAGTTATCGTGAAGATAGGCGACGCCTGACGTCAGCTGAAGTAGTAGCGTTTTGACTTCAGAAAGTAGGAAGGGCTCAGGCATGTCCTCTAATATGCTCTTCAAGTCATGTTCAACAAACTCCAGCACAAGAAAGATACTGCAGCCCAGTTAGTTCTCCATCTAGGACATATAATAAGGATCAAGTACTTTTCGATTTTGGTGGTGTCTTCTCCCACCACAACCTCCTCCAAGCCCACAATATTTCGGTGGCTGCAGTCTCGCAAAACCTGTATCTCTCTCAGACCCGTCACTGGCAATCCGTTACGATCGCTTGGCTCGATTTTCAGACGCTTCAATGCCACCACCTTGCCGTTTTTTGTTTCCTTGGCCCGTGAAACCCAGCCATAGGTCCCCTCTTCGATGTCGTTAAGCTTATCATAGTTCTCTACGCTACGGCATTTCCCCCAGTGACCGTAGGGAACTCGTAACAACTTTGCAGCATTCTCGTTATTGTCTGATGAAACCTTGGGGGCTCTGCCTTCTGTGTCTGGAGTGAACTTCCGTCGTTTTGTCGGCCGCGTGTCGTCGCCCTCGTGATCGGTAGCATTATCGTTGGTTGCCTTAGCCTGCTGCGTCAATCGCTCGGCCTCGGCCTTACGCGCCTTTTCTGCCTTGTGACGCTTCTTCTCCTCCTTCTCACGTTTCAGCTTGGCCTCCAGAGCTGCGTCCTCCTCATCGTCTGCCCACCTCGACTTTGCGTTGCTCGTCATGGGGACGGCGAGACGGAGTTAAAATATTTAGGCAGAAGATTGATAGGCGCCTTAGCCTTTTTGCGAGTTATGGATTTGAATTCTTCGTCGCTTATATTTGGTTATCGTAGGCTGTCTGTCGTGGGTGATATGGCTTGAAATAGAACCTGACTCCCGTCCGTCGCGTTTGCTCGCTGAGGTGTGACTTTTGCAGGGATTTCGCGCAACGAATCGGCGGTAAGCTGCCTGAACAGTTTCGGGGGTTGGTACCTTGAACGGGAGACGGAGCTCACCTCATGCAAGTCACCTTAGCTTGGAGCTAGGGTCCGTTATCTTATCACGCTCCACTCGACAAAAGTTACCTGTGCTAAAAGCTTCGGCTTCATCCAACCGGCCTGTCGACCTGCTGACGTTTTGCTACAATCACCCTCTAACGCCAAACAAGAATAAGTATATGACGGTGTAACACATGCGCTTGTGCTATACAACACGAAGATTCTGTATTTTTCTCGGTAAACGGCTATGATTCCTAAAACCCACACCGAATCCTGGGAGTAGCGTAGAAGGACAAAAGGGATCCGAAGAACAACAGACAGGATGCAACGACTGCTCCCCCGGCGAGCTCTAGCCGGTAGCCTACAATGCATCGCTGCGACTAGTACACGCAGGCACTGGGCGGCGCAGGCTGCAAGATCCTTCTCTTTGACAGCACCGAAATGGGATATTGAGGAGAAGGAAAGGAGGTGGTCTACTCCTTTAGCAAGGCAGCTGGCCGAGGCCATTGCAGTAAGCACCCATGAACCCTATCATTTGCAGTCTTCACTAATGTCAAGTCCGTAGGCTACCGGCCCTGTACCACTTGCAAGTTACATGCGCATGTGTCTGACGGGCGATATCAACGGATACTATACCGGTTTAGCCGAGGAAAATAGAGATCAGTTTGGGCTAAAGGGAGACTTTGTTACCTCTCCTGAGATCTCCCAAATATTTGGCGAGTTGGTCGGTATTTGGTTTGTCGCGGAATGGCTAAGCCAAGGAAAGCCAAGGAGGGGCGTCGAGCTCATTGAAGTCGGCCCAGGGCGTGGCACTTTGATGGATGATATCCTTCGGGTATGAAGAGCGATGGCCTTTCTATGTCTTGCGAGCAGGAGGCTGACGCTTCATCTAGACGATCCAGAACTTCAAGGACTTGGCCTTAAGTATCGACGCTATTTATATGGTGGAGGCTAGTCCACAGCTGCGGGAGGCCCAGAGGAACCTACTATGTGGCCCTGATGCCCCTTTGACCGAGTCTAAGGTTGGTTATCACAGCGTTTGCAAGTATACCAATTTGCCTATTGTCTGGACTGAAACCATACAATCTATCCCAAGAGGTGAGGAACAGAGCGATACACGGCTGCTTAATTTTGATGAGACTGACATGTATAACTAGACCCTGAAAAGATGCCTTTCATTGTGGCACATGAGTTCTTTGATGCTCTCCCTATCCATGCTTTCCAGGCCGTGACAACCCAGCCTCCTACTCCCGAATCTGCAACAGCTGATGCCTCGCCGGCCGCTTCCGCACAGGAACCTGGGAAGCCTAAAGTCGAGTGGCGGGAGATGCTGGTATCACCGACACCGCCAGACGCCACCCATGCGACTATGAATATCCCCAAGTCAGAACAGGGAGACCCCATCCCTGACTTCCAGATGACCCTATCCTCAGGCCCAACACGTCACTCAAAGTTCCTTCCAGAGACTTCTTCTCGCTATAGCCGCCTCAAATATGTCCCCGATGCCGTGGCGGAAATATGCCCCGACGCTTCGCTCTATGCGGCCGACTTCGCGAGTCGCATTGGGGGATCAAAACAACACCCCAAAGCTCGCCCTTCCGGTGCTGCACTCATTCTCGACTACGGCACGACTGACACTGTCCCTACTAACTCGCTACGCGGCATTCGACGCCACCGTCGTGTCAGCCCTTTCTCCGAGCCTGGTCTCGTCGATCTCAGCGTCGATGTGGATTTCACAGGCATCGCTGAAGCTGCGACACGCTCAAGCGAAGGAGTTGAAGTTCATGGCCCTGTTGATCAAGGTGCCTTCTTATGGCAAATGGGTATCAAGGAACGAGCCGAGGTGCTCATCAAGCAAGCTAAGGCAAAGGCGGCCGCCGACAAAGCCCATGATATTGAGAGGGCTTGGAGACGCCTCGTTGACCGAGGCCCTAATGGAATGGGAAAGGTTTACAAGGCCATGGCGATTTTGCCTGAGAACCAAGGCAGGAGACGGCCAGTTGGCTTTGGCGGCGATTTGTAAACTTCGCAAGCCATTATGGTAGATATCTGTGGCACGATACGAAGAGGGTTTAATTAAATGTTTGGTCAAAAGTACCGTGATATTCACACAAAAGCTTGTAGCGTTACGCACCAATGAGACGAAATACCATGTTTCTCATGTCTAAAGCAAAAGCTTCATACCGAACAGTTAAGTCCAAAGGACTGACTGCGCCAACGCCACCCTTGAAGCACATGTTGTACATTGCAGTTACACGATTGCCGATCTGGTCCATTGCCCCATCCAAGGAAAAAAAAAACAAGAACCTCTATTTTCTGGATCGTACAAGCTTAGCGTCTTCTTCGTCCGAATCATCCGAAAACCTATCGCCGTCTTCGCCTACTGCAAATATGGTCTCTCCATCCAATGACTCCCTTGGGACGTGCCGTTGTGGTTGCTGTTGTGGTATGGTGCTCGCTTGTGCGCCAGATGAAGTGTCACGTACTGCTGGGTGTGCATTTGTCGTTCCCTTGCCTAATTGAGCCTCCTCATCATCATCTGAATCGTCAGGTGCACCGATATCCGCCATTGTGAACGTTCCATCATCGTCCTGAGCAATCTCATCACTCATGGCGAAGCGTCTATTATTGGCAGTAGGCCTCCACACATAGGCGATCCAAGCCACGTCGGCAAAGTAGACCAGGTTCAACCAACCGTCAAGAACAAACCAACGAGATTTCCAATGGAAAGGAACGTAGTCAGGGTCGTTGACAGAGGCAAAACTGAAGCTGTTGAAGAAGAAGAAACCGAAGATAACAAAAATGCTGATCAGGATGCACCACCACAGTTTTTTGTACATGGCCTCCTTGGCGTGTTGCTTGCGCTCGCGTAGATCTTTGAGCGTAAAGTTTAGAGAATTCAACGTCCACACATAAAAGGCAGTAAGGGTACCGGCAAGTGGGAGTACAATAAGGAGAACAAACGGCCCTAAGATTAAATCAGCATGCAGTCTCAGTTGCTTGCGTACCGTTACTTACCAGCGGCATCAGGAGTGATCAACAAGCTGGTAATCGCATATACAAGGCCAAATACAAAGTGAGCGATGGCAAGCCAGCGCACCCAGATCATGGTGCGGCCAAGCGTCGGCTTGACAACTCCGTAGCCCATACAAACGATCAGTAGAAGGAAGAATGAGAAAGAATTACGGGCAGCGTTAAGGATTGCAACAAGTACTAGTAGCACTTTGGACCCAATATTGGCACCGTTGCGGTTAAGATAATCTAGTGGATGTTAGCAATGTGTTATTTTTATTTCGACACACCGTCTCACCGTAAAATCCCCAAGTCATCAGCATCTCGACGACCAGAAATATGAGGATGGCCGTGATGTAATTTTGAACGGGCAAAATGTCATGACGATGTTGATAATAGAGAAAACCCCAGAACCTAGACTATGTTAATGCTACGTCTAACACGAACAGCAAGTGTTTCTTACACTGCGACTAAGGCATAAAGGATTGTTATGCCTCCGTAAAATGGAAGCTTGGGAATCTGCGTCGCGGGAAGCTCGCCGTATGCATTGCGGAACTCAACGACGGCAGTATATTCCTCCGCGGTAAAACGATCAGTTAGGACGCAATAATAACCGGTTTTGCGAATCATGTATTTGGTCGCTTGCGGCTCTTTCAAGTGGATAGCCTTTGTATCGATCATGTTCTTCGACTTCGTGGTGGCCTCAGGGTCGATGATGAACTTGCCAATATCTGTCTCGTTACAGAACCCTTTCTTCACGAACTGGTCCTGGCAGATGCCGATTTTCTTTCGACCACAACTGTCAGTAACAACACTTCAGATTATTAGGCTAGAAAACTCGGGCGGTGTCTTACATGTTCAGAATCAGGACTCTCGCGGACACCAATAAGATCCTCATCCTTCCATTCGAAGATGACTAGGCTCACGGTGGGATCTTGGTCTGCAGGTGCTTGCTTAGGGAGAAACATTACGTTGATGTACGGATCGACAGGGCCGCCCCAAGCAGTACGGCTGTACATGCCTGCATTTGAGAACATCAGCATCGATGTATCGGTACCAATTATTATATCATTTTGAAACAAGGTTTCTACATACCAGAACACCGCTGTCTGTTCTCGTCTGTCTGATCCTACAAGGTAAAGAACCACTGGTTAGTTTCTAAGATCTGAAGCAAGCAGACGGCAATGCCTGGGTTAGGAGAATGTTACCATCTTAACCTCAAGGGCGCTTGCTGCCCAAAGGGACATGCCCAGAACAGAGGTATAAAGCCAGCCCTTCATCGTGATGTGCGTTCTGGAAACAGATTGCTTTGGATAGCAAGGGATCAATTCGGCTTCGACGTCGAGGGAGTCGATATGGCAGCAAAAGATGCTTGGCTATGCCCGAAGTTGTTGTTATCGTTGTGTCTACCGCAAAGTTGAATGAGCAATGGTCGCATCGAGCATGCCGAATTGTTGGACGCTCTGCGACTTGCGTCTTCGGTGATTTGATGCCGGCAGATTGTGAAGTTCAGCGAGCCTGGCCAAGTCGGAAACGTTGCACAGGGACAGTGTAATGCTGGACTTGTAACGAAGTGTGACAGCCTGGCAGCCTTTTGGCGGAACTGACAGCGAGAGGGAGGACCAGGGACGTGCCAAGCTCCGAGGTACGTACGCATGTCGCCGGACCTTCAATACCTGCGAGATTTTATTGGCTGGAACCGTCGAACGGCCTATGGCTGAGCTGCTGGGGAGTGAAGTGTGCTTGATACCTTAGCACGGTGGTACCTTATCCCCAGTACCAGCAAAGGGGCGTTTTGATTGGCACCCATTTAAACTTACCTCCTGCGCGACAGCCACCCCACTAGTACCACCTTGATCCAACCAAAACTTTCCCATATCCTCGAGACTCCATATGTTACTGAAGTCGTTTCCCCGGAGCTAAGGTCACCATTGTAGCCTGTGGCGGTACAGACTTCCTTCTTTCCACGTCGCAATCACGCCTCTTCAACGCCCCAACAACGACAACGTCATCCCACGACGATGGGTAAGAACACGGACAAACTGTACATTACCCATTCCGAGTGGTCATCTTCGGATGCGTACTCTGCGAGCGCCGGCGCCAACGTGAATGCACGCTCACGTATTGGCTCAACTTATCGTCGTTTGCCTTTCAACTTCTGTGCTGCTAGCCTTCAGCCATTCAAAAATCCTGTCTGCACCCAAGACGGTACGATTTTTGATGTAGAAGTGATTAGCGCATGGCTAGATAAGCATAAAACGAATCCGGTCAACGGCAAGCCGCTTAATTCGAAAGACCTCATCAAGCTCAACTTCGCCAGAAATGCTGCTACCGACTCACGGGCCCCCGATTCTAGCGATGGCCAGGGTGACTTGATAGATCCTGTGTCCTTCAAAGTTTTCACAGACAACACCCATATCGTTGCGATCCGACACGGAACTTACGCAAACGTCTTCGCATGGGAAACGGTCGAGCGAATGAACATTAAGGGCAAGAATTGGCGGGACCTCGTCGACGATGAAGAGTTCACCAGAGCCGACATTATCACATTGCAAGATCCTCAGAATGTCGCGAGCAGGGACCTGAGCCAGTTTAAGTTTCTCAAGGATGGCGAGGACGCTGTTTTGACTAAGGAACAGGAGGAGGAACGTAAAGAGGGAAATGTCAACATCAATGCGCTAGGACGAATGGGTGATAAGGTTCTCAGGGCAAAGCAGGCCGTTGAAAAAGCACGCAAGGAACGCGACGAAGGAGGTGATGTGAACCGCACGTCTGCAGTTGTCAAGCCCGGGTCAACAGTGCAGCGCAAGTCTATGATTGTTGACAAGAAAGTTCCGTCTAATGCGGCGGTGTATACAACCGGAAAAGCCGCCGCTAGTTTCACCAGTACGGGTTTAACACCCGAAACAAGCGGCGAACGAGCGCTCCTGTCCGATGAAGAATTCATGCTGAAGCCCAAACGAGTCAAGATCAAGGGGTATGCCCGAATAGAAACGAATCTGGGTGACCTCAACATTGAGCTCTATCCCGAGTTTGCCCCTCGTGCAGTATGGAATTTCACGAGGCTTGCGCAGAAGGGGTACTACCGGGGTGTTACTTTCCATCGCAATATTAAGAATTTCATGGTTCAGGGAGGCGATCCCTCTGGGACTGGTAAGGGTGGCACCAGCATCTGGGGCAAAAACTTCCAAGATGAATTTGATGGGCCTTTGACGCATAATGCTCGAGGTATTCTCAGCATGGCGAACAAAGGCAAAAACACCAACTCAAGTCAGTTCTTCATCATCTATCGGCCGACAAAGCACCTCGACAACAAGCACACGGTTTTTGGTAAGGTCGTTGGTGGCCTTGACGTGCTGTCAAAAATTGAGGATGTCCCTACAGACGGATCTGACAGGCCGCTCAACAGAATTGTGATGAAGGAAGTTGTTATTTACCTGGATCCCTTTGAGGAGTTTCTGAAGGAGAAAAGCGAATCCGAAAAGCTGGAAAGGGCGAAGCAGGAAATAGAAGTAAATGGTGGTACGGAAGATGACAGAACAACATGGACGGGCAAACGAATCAGGGCCGACGGGACTGTGGAAGGCGGAGATGTTGGCGCTGGCGTAGGCAAATATCTTAAGTCGCAGAAGAGTGGCTCAGGACATGTGGAAACGGAAGATGTTGATCTCTGGGAGGAGCCGGCTCGTAAGAAGATAAAAAGCGGTGGTTTTGGCAATTTTGATAACTGGTAAAGGATATGGTCGTCGGCATTCGCGTAAAGGACCGCCCAAAGGCATGGAGAGTAAATAAATAGATATGATACCCCTAACAACTTGTCATCGTCATCGTTTCGGGTCTACAGTAATATTTCGGTTGTGGCGGGCGTATTGATATGTACAAACAGGCGGTTAGGTCTAACCATTCTTTTCAGGATGCGATATCTGTTGTCGACCTTCATACAAGCGTGGTCAGGGCTCTACACCAGCATATTGTCTGCCAATGCCGGTGGATTGGGCATTTCATCCCAAGGCAAATCAGACCAAGGGATGGAGATCTCCTTGCTTCGAACCATTTGTGCCACCCCCCCAGCTTGCATTAGGCTTGTCTCCTCAAGAATTGCTTGTAGACGTCCGATGACGTATTCCTTTATCTCGTGCGTACAGGAAGATGACACCCCCAGCAGGTACAGAGGCCACACAATAGTGTTACTAGCTGAAGCAAGCGTCATGAAACGCTCGGCACTATTATCAAGATCCGCTGCCTGGGTCGGGTCATGCAGAGTAGGGCCGTTGAAAGCACCCGGACTGGAAGGACTGGCCGACGGTGACCCTGGAGAAGACAATGCAGACGTTGTCGGCGACGGTGTAGCCCGCAGGGGTGGTCTTCTCACTTTAACAACGGCCACTGGTAAACCGTGACTTTCTGGTCTAGCATCCCTAAAGCCAACGACGCCGAAATGCTGCGGTACGCTTGCTAAAATAGCATCACGAAGCTTTTCGAGCGTGTCAACTGACTTTGCAAGTTGTAGTTTTGCCGCATACGTCCACGACAGTATTTGCTGATCGTGACAGCATTTGAAAAGTTCGCCAATAATGGTCTCGTGCACCAGCATCCTGATTGATCGAATGCCATTCCAAGTTGCCGCAAGTGTAAGTGCAGGATACACATGGCAATGATAACCGTCGAATACAGCGGGGTGAGCTTGTGAGAGGCTCACTGGTCGATAATGCCAGGATTCTGGAAGATCAGCTATGATATCGACAAACTCCTCGTCAACTTTTGACAACTGGTCAATGATTGCATCCTTGTGTTTTAGTTTGCCGCGCTTAATGTCATGTCGCAGTTGCAGAACCTTATAAATGGATCCTGACATCCGCCAGTTTGGGTCACCTGGGGGCGAAAGCATGCCCAACTGGTTCCGGAGGTCAACCAGTGGCTGAGGCATAGGCATACTTCTTTGGATACAGCTGATGAGAGCTATGTGGGTCAGCATTATGAACATACGCACTCCAGCCTTAGACCTGAATTGGCCGAGGCCGCGCATCTTTGCCAGGGCAGCGGCGCCGTTGAGGTGTTCTTGCCATGCCCGCACCGTTTGGGGGTTGCGGCCTGTGAGCATCTCGTATGTAGTTAAGATGAGGATGGACAGCATAGTTGTGTCCTTGACTGCCTCGGAGGGATCGCGTAAGGCTTCGTTTGTCAGACGAAGTGCCGTCCCGTAGCTTCGTCGCGCCCAGTCCATCGTTCGAGTGCACTTGGTGAGGTCGGAGAGGCCGGCCAAACCGACGGCGGTCATGCTCGCCATGACGCCGTCTACTTGCCGACCGGGAACCATGCTGGAAGGGCGCCAAATATCGAAGATGAAGTCATAGTTCTGATAGCAGGCGTTCTCATCAACAGAGACATAGCGAGAGAAAAAGTAGGCCGTACCGCGCTCCTGATAGGACGGCGAGAGCGAGTATAACAATGTGGCCGGTGGTGATGCAGGCCAGTTGCCTTCGTCGGGTGAGGGTAATAGACCATCGTCGTTCTCATTATCGCTGTCTTCGTCTTGGAAATAAGCAGGGTCGGGTGGTGAAACCCAAGGAGTCAGACGTGGTCGGTTCCTGATGGAGACATTCTGGGTCACCACTGACAACGCACGAGATGGCGTTGGGCGGCGAGGGCTCGCTCCCTTTGATATTTGGGGAAGCGGGTCGGAGCTCTCAGTATCGGTGTTGAACGGTCCAGCAAAGCCGTGCTCTGGAGCCTCAGCCGCGGCAATTGAAGCCGTCGGTTGCCTCGCACGACCCCGTGCCCTAGTTTTGGCAGCTTTCTTAATGACATGGGAGCTTTCATCCCGAAACATTAGATCGACGAGATTCCGATAGCCAGGGCATTGCTGTTGCCGTTTCTCGCACTGGCCGCAACTTGGCTCCTTCTGATCACACTGTTGATGGCATCGTTAGCTTCACTTCAGTTGAACTCTGTATCGTCAACCACAGCCTGGCCGCCTGCATGCCCGAAAGAATCTCGAAGGAACAAAGTTGCCATGGGCATGAAGGTAAGCTTAGTCGCCAGACACGAGAGAAAGGATCGCGCTCGAGCCTAAACTCACTCTAATCTTTCGCTCCCGACAGCTGGAGCAGCCTTTAGACGGTTTCCCGCAGTACACCATAATGAAATTCTCAAACCCTGGCCCTGTAGTTCCAGTTGGCCTGGTAAAGGAACAGAAATGCAGTAATGCTAAGAGCCAGCCAGGTAACGATATGGATAGCTCGCAGTGGGGGCCATCGTCAGGCTATAGTTTCCTCGATTTACGACATAGACCAGGGCGGGGGAAAGAACGAGAGGGAGATGAAATGCAGAACTGGACCTAGTCGGAAACCATATTCTAATGGGAGAGAACTGCCCAGCCTTGTCAGTCGAGAATGCGAGACGACCGCTCCAAGGTGGGGTGGGTGCCTTGCTTTCCTTGAGGTGTCGATCAGAAGGGATGCGAACAGCGGCGAGCGTTGTGCTATTGGGCCTCGAGTTTGTTGTGATTGGCACGTCTGGGAGGATGAGGATCTAGGCAGAATATGTGTGGGTTATCGCCTCCGCAGTTGCATCAGGTGTTTATAGGCCGTTCCAGAACGGAGGACCACGGTAACTGCACTGTAGTGCCAATATGGGGTTCATGAGTCTACTAGTATAACTGGGCAGTTGGGCCCTGTTTTGGGTGCTCGTAGCATCCGTGGATTCATGCCGTCGTGGAGCAAAATCCCTACAGCGAAATCAGGCTCTCTCAATGTCATCACACAGCCACACTTCTTGAGGGCGACAGATGCACACCATCTTCTACTCTTTGATGATCTGGCCTACCCTGCAGTGGGCTCTGTTCTGCCGTATACATTGGCATCGCACACATGTTGTAAAGTGCAGTGTGCCTTCTGCATCTTGCAGCGGTGGCTTTTAGGCAGCATGTCCCCGACGGGAATGGCTGCAGAAGCGTGCATTGTCAGGATCCACAAGCTGGACCAGAGCAGCTTAGCCCATTAGCTAGTGTTCAACGGTCATAATTCCCGCCTATGGAGCCCCAGCGACATACAGCCCGTTCATCGTCACATGCATGTCACACTGCCTATTCTATATCGGTACGTCTTCATCCAGAGGTGATTGATCAGTATGCGGCGGACATCATAGACCGGTATTCGTCCCAAAAAGAAGGGCTGGACCGAATCCGCCTTGGGCCAGCCATAAGTCACACAAATGCCGTCACCATCCTAAACAACAATATCCTGCCCGAATTTCTGTCCAGACTGCACTGGAAGCCTCATACCGGAGCGCTGCCACCAATCCATAAACATAATTCAAACGCCAGATGGGCCTACAGCCCAGAGACAATCACCGCTCGGCTTCCAGTCATGAAGGAGGAAGCTTCCTCAAGGTTGGTATTGCGGTCTTAGCGGGACGATTCAGCGCCTGAAAGCATTCCTCTCGAGTTCGAAGTTACTAGTGCTACACCACAGACAGGTTGAGTAGCATTTTACACGCATACAATATCGATTGATAACACCTGTGATTTGGCTGCTCGACATACACCTAGAGGACTTCTTATAAACGACCTATATCTCGCCGTATGTATACCAAAGAAAACCCCATACCTTTGTAATGTGCCCCAGGTAAAGGCTATGGGTATAAAAGATGTCGACTGTTTCTCACAGCTCCTCCCGAGTTCCGGAAGCAGCTTCTCCACCGATACCAACAGTCAGAAGCTTAGGGTTCGAATCAAACAGCGACCCGGACTGGTCATCACCATTGGACGGGCCGACATCGTCGTAAGGGAACGCATAGCCACGACCGTTAGAGCTGACCTCATGGCAGATGCGTGAATAGTGGTTTGTCCGGGTATCTCTGTAGTAGTTCCCGATCTTTTCATTCTCGGGTTGCTGGTCGTTTACAAGGAGCGTCGAACGGTTGAACGCTGCTGCAATGCGCGCGCCAATGGCACCCATCTCGGCCTGGTTCCGGGGATACCCGCCAAACGGCCCGGTGCTGCAACTGAAGATATCACGCGCGCTCGGCTGCGCAAATGACCCGACGCTGCCGAATGTCAGGAGATTGTCTGAGCCTACGCGGCCCTTAACGTCGCCCCATTCGGCCTGTGTGTTTACCGTCAGGTCAGCGGAGCGGTACTTGTCCCAGACAGCATCGACATATGGCTGGTAATATCCCTCGAACAGATTCGGCTTCATGACAATGCCTGAGTTGGGGCTGAGAGCACGCAGGTTGGCCGTATTGTCAGGCGTCCGTACAATAAGTTGGCTCCAGCCAACGTTTTCGCGGGCGTCTTGTGCACGCAACCCGTCGCAGACTGCGTCGAGGCCATTGTTTGGGAGCCCCGGTACGTTGGTGATCATACCCGAGTCATTCTCGAGAGTCAGGGACACGGGTATGCTCACAAAGTCGACATAGGAGATGTTGACGTACAGCTGGAAGCTGTTGAAGGTAAACTCGCAGAAACCCCATTCTAGGTTGTAGTTCGCATCAGACGGGTTTGTCGCCGAAGGCTCCACCACGGCCGGGCCTGGATTCAGGAGAAATTGGAGCGGGCCGTCCCGGGAGAACCAGATCCTCCCACCAGCGATTTGGGGGATCGTCACCTTTCGCATTGATCCTGGTGACCCCAGCGAGATGGCGCAGTCGACCTGTAGCGGGTTCAAGATATTGGGCGGCGATGTCGGATAGTAGCCCGTGACACCGTCAGCTCCAAGGAGGAACACGGCATTGTTCTTGTTGATATCCAACCCAGTTACGTGGGCGTAGGCATTGGAGGAGCCAGTGTTATTTCTCAGCAAAATGTCCAGCGTGGGTCTCGTCATGTTGATGGTCCGCAAGGTTCAAGTTGCAAGGGTACTGTGGCTGAGCGTTTGCTAATGTTGGCGGTTCCGAGTTTTATATGATGATGCAGTGCTATTGAAACCCCCGAGGAAGATACTGTGCTTCATATCAAAACGACATTATCGCATCTTTCCTATTGACTGTATGTGAGATCCAAAAAATGATAGCAAATGACCGGAGTGGCCATGTGCAGATGTCTGACGCCCTTGAAGGAAGAACCGGTGACAATCTTATAGCAACAAGGTGAGCAAGTGTGATACGCTGAATGCCCACTCTCTCCTGGAATGACGAAATAGACGACATGGTTGTGTGGGCTAGTGCTCGCTACCAGCACGGCATACCAGGTTTCCAAGATCCATCTGACGACTCCAGCCGGCAAGCCAAAGCCCAGTAACCACACGGTGGTAGTACTGATGGGGTGTAGCCAAAAAAAAAAAAAAAAAGGAAGGCTACTTATACTATACATATCGCTCAAACGCAAATGTTTCCTTGGGGACGCAAGATAATGCCTAATAGTGAACGGGGACTATACAGAAAGAACCGCCACAGGGGTGTGCAGGACGTAAAATCCGGGGTAAAGTGTCTCGGCCAATTTTTCTAGAAAGGCCCCGTATATCACACGCCCAGGATGGATGAGCAGAGCCGTGGAGGTGCACTACAACGCTATGACAATCTGATACGACGATGAGCCGACACCGGCCATCGATCTCCTGCATGTATTGATGGCCATGTGCGTTCTTCTAGAATGATGGGACTCGCATGAATGTGCTGCTGATCCCCCTCAAATGGAGAGAGTTGGGAAAGAAGTTTGGAGTAACATTGGGGACGTGCGGTGGTGTATGGGGCTTGAGACATTAGAATATCCAATTGCCGACTGCCCACGAGCAATTTGTGTGTCAAAGTAATGTCAGATGACGCTCTGGGGTCGACAGCCGAGCTGGATTGGCACTCTACACTTACTTGGTGTAGACTGTGTCCCTCGATTATCGTCCAAACTACGTTGATAAAGACACTAGTAATGCAATGCCATTCTTTTGCGGTCTTTGGCATGGCTTGGAGATTGGCGGTCGTTGAGCGCGTTGCAATGGTGTTAGCTCCGTCGCAAGTGAGGCCTGGCTTGGAAGAACCTATTGACATCTCACGCCGATCTACAACTTTCCATAGACGTTGGCCAGGCCATGCAAAATCAAAACTCATGATTTGGAGATTTCTATTTGTATAGAAACTTAATCAGAATGCCAAACAACATTATCATGAATAAAGAAAGGGGTTAACATGGGGGGAAACACAAGCGTGCGTTGCATTCCTTCAGCAGCCTGCGCATCGTACAACTCCGTTCACCGCGCTACATGCTCAATGACAAAAAACACAACCTAAAAGGATACATCATCGCTGAAATGGTATAATGAAAAAATGACAAAATAATCAACAGGCCAAAATCAAAGCCAGACAACAGTCCAAGGCTGTTCTTGGAGTGCTAAAGAAATCAGAAGAACAGGGCATTCAAAAGCAAGAACCCCACGACAAGAGACCACGAAGGAGCCTCTAACGAAGCGACCCCTTGTTGACTTCCTTGATCTCCCTGAGCACTGTGACTTTCGTGCCCGGATTGCCCCGACACCGTTTGGTTATTGGTCATGTTCGTTTGGGCACTGAAGAAGAAGGAAGTAACATCAGGGATGTTGCAGATGGCGTCTGGCGCCGAGGGATCAACACAGCGGCTCAAATGATCGGCTCTACGGCTATCAAGTGACGAGTTGAAGTATGCCTTCACGGATGCCACCGTCAAAATCGCGTCCTTTTTGGGGGGGCCGCCAGACCAGAGGGGGTTGCCGTTGCTCCAGTGCTGGAGGATCAAATGACCACCATCGGTCGGAACGGCACTGCCGTTCATCCTGCCAATCATTTTGTTGTCGGCGTAGAATATGACTTGATCACGGAGGTAGTCGATACGGTATTCATGGAAGTCGGTAGTGGGGTTGAAGCCCAGGTTGACTTTGACGAAGTTACCAGTTCCCGCGGCATCGTAGCCCTTCTCCATCGACGCGCGAGACTGCAGGACGATGTTGGCCGGATATGTGTTGTTCTCCGGGTTGAATTCCCTTGTGAGAAACTCAATATCAATCTCTTGCGTGTCGTTGTGATACTATGAACGCTGTTAGTAATCCTCTTCGGCTATCTTCAGATACCAGTGACGGTATCTTACCCAGAAAAAAGCTGCGCATGTCCCAGCAACGTCAGGGACCTTCATCATTGCTCGAAAGGAGCCATAATGGAGATCGTTTCGAGCTGAGTCAATCTCTGCGACAGGAACAAGGCCATCTACTGTCGAGCTCTCGACAAGTAACTGAAGCCCGGCATCCGCTTTGGTTGAGCTGAGCCCGAAGGAGCTGGAGCCCTCATGGACAGAGGCTACATTCGTCGGCATGAATTTTTCTCCAAGAGGGCCTCTCGCGTTTTTGTTGGTTTTGTTGAACTCCTGTCGTACCCAATCGGTGTTGCTCTGAATGTCCTTGACCTTGGTGAAATCGGTCTCGATCAGGTCGGTGAAGACCACTTGTGTACTGGTGATGTTTGCCGCATATCCGCATTCGCAGGCAGCCTGGGCGAGACAAGGCAGTATGACAAGCGCCGCCAGATAGGTCGTTGCCATGTTCCTCATGATGTCTACAGTTTTGAGAAGTTGTTGTATGTGATCAAAGATGTGTGTATGTGTGTGTGTGTGTGTGTGTTTGTGTTTTATGTGTATTACTTCCAGAGTAGCACACGGATCGTCGTCTAAAGTTTTGACAGATAATTGAAGAAAACCAAAGCGCACATGGAACCAGTCCAGGCGTGCATAAGCAGAAATAAAGATGATGGGATGAAATTATTGGCGCTCAGGCGAGGTAGAAAAATACGTATGGAACGAAGGATGGAGTAAAGACAGCAGTGCGAAACATAAGAAGTAATTCAAATTCTCGAGGGAGTGAAGGAGACTATGGGCAAACTTGTACTTGAGCGAGACAGGAAAAGCAAGGTATAATCGAAAGGAAGCGGCGCCGTGTGACCATCGTATCCGTGGCTGTGGCTCGCCAGCAAGCCAAGATACAACACTCCTTCGTCACTTCCACGGTGACAACTATTATTCTTAGCGCAATACCAATAGTTCGCGAACAGACAGCCTCGAACGAGTGTATTTGGGGGTCAAAGGGACTCCATTCGCGAACAAAGATGGAGGTAACGATGTGACAGTACTGCTGAATCATTGCCATTCCACATGATGGCAGTGAGATATACAGATATCATGACCGTTGGCCACGTGAATGCTGTCATCTTTCTCAATGATACTAAGATCAGTCTGAAACGACCCCAGCCAGCTTGCCAGGACAAAGAATCAACACGTAATGTACACCTAACTGTCTCCTGCTGTTTAGCTCATGAGTCCGTGTGTGAGTGGTGGCGTTCCAGCCACACCGGCCGTGTAATATCGTGTCACGTTGAGCTGTGTTGTTTTCGCTGCAGGATCCCGCACGATAGGTATCAGACGAAGGGTGCTGAAAGACCAGCGGCGGGCCCGTGCGGCGTGACGGGTAGCATGGAGCCAGAGTCCAATGTCGTGGCCAAAGCCACTTCGTTAGAGACTCGCCGATGGGGTTATTCGTGTCAAAGGAAGTGCACAATGGGAAGAAAGAAGCTGTGCCTCTGGTGGTGTTGGAGACGGTGGGGCCCCGCTGAGTGGCTCATAATCCTACTCAAACTGACCCTGTTTGTGTTTCCCCGTTTCATGTCTTACATAAATCGAGTTAAGCTTGGGTTTGGTCCACTTCAATGAGCTATTGCTCAGAATGCATCGCCATCCAGTTTTGCTTTATTCAACCTTACCATGACTCACTTGGGTTGGGGAATCCTTGCTCATGCAAGCGCTGATCGAGTTTTGAAGTTGTTCTGGTTAGCCTGGCCATTTGCGGCTTTGCTAATAGCACACTCGGAGGAGTTGAAGCCCATCATCATCTTGGGATGAAGCAAAAAACTCCAGCATTCCGTTAATTAGTATGACTTCCAGCAAATAGGTTTAGATGCAGACTGGACCTAGCCCACGAGGTTGAATAGCGTCCACATAGCTTCACTGCCCCAGTGCAATCGTTGGCGGCGAGTTGCATATAGCCACTCACCAACGCGATACCGATTAGCATTCTCAACTCAATCCTAGGCTCTTGTTCTTTGGTTGGGGGCACACAGCTGTGCAGGCTTAGCTGTTGAGGTCACACTCGGTCTTCCTCTAGCCAAGTTGGCGCAGGCTCATGCCTCTCTCGTTCCCCATCATCCTCCGTTTAATATTCAATCCAGCGTGGTTCTTGAGAAGGTGTCAACCAAACAAGCGAACCGTTGGTTTCGTGGTCGTTAAGCATACCAATTTGATCGTCGCATCATCCATATAGAGTCCATCGGCTAGCACGGTGTGGAGTAGAGGATTTCATGAGGAGAAGTGATATTTCGATGCTAAACTCCTAGGAAACTATCTATACACATGTGCTCGCAAAGCCAGCTCCTCCCTTTCATCCCAACTGATTAAGCAGACCCGGAAATTTCTCATCTCGGGATATGCCTTTACCACCAGCCAAAACTACCACCATGATCCCTTTTCTCTCCAGCCAATCATGCCAAAGATGCATTCCATAGTAGAGACAATTAAAATCAAAGTCATATGATGAAATTCCAATAGAAGCAAATACTGCAGTCTGTATATCGCACAAGGTATCTGAGCAGAGCCAAACGAAACAAACAGAACTGAACTAAACGCGCGACAGAATGGAAACATCGATGAAATAAAGAGCAGAAAGACTAGTCGGACCATTGAAGCAGCGAAGATAACCATAGGAGGAAATAACGAAAAAACAAAAAGATGGAAAAAAAGGATATCAGCAAAGCGCAAACATTAGTAAGGACTAATACAACAAACGCAAAACCAGTCAATACCAACCCCATCATCCTGGACCAGCCATCAGTGCCCTGAGGCAGTCTTTGGGATGCGTGAGCAGGGCCCGAATTATCCCTATTCCCCAGACTTGATTTACCGAGGAATCCGTGCCGAACCCAATGCCCCCAACCCTTCTCCGTATTCCTGCCCCATTATCGCTCAAGACCGAGTCCAATGCTGGGACGTTTAAATAAGAAATCATCCCAACGAAAAACAGAGATTCAGAACCAGTTGAGCAGGCTGGTTATGCGCAATGACCGTCCCGAAGCCAAATATTCTCTCAGCTGCGCCGCCTCTTCCATGCCAACGGGGCAGGCCACAGACCAAGAGGGTATGTTCGATGAACAACTCCAAATCCTTTTGCGCCACAAATGTCAAAGTTCAACCCATCAGACGTAGAGGTATATGCCAAGGAGAAAGGACGACCCGGATGGGCCGCCTGAAAGGGAAAAAATAAAGAAAAAGATAGGAAACGAGACAAAAGAAATCGTTCAGTCATCTCGCAACTAATACACACTGTCCTCGTCCGCCCCCTGAGATGTCATCGAGGGGGTCGAGACGCTCGAGGACGCTTCCATGTCGTCGACATAGCCGACGAGCGCTTGCGCGTGGAGTCGAAAGGACTCGCCCATCAGTCGGGTGATTCTGGTACGTAGTTAGCATCGTCCTTTGCCATTTGGCAACTATTTGATATGGCGTGCGCCGACTTACCCCCAAACTACGACTTCGTCCAACATGCTGCCCCATAGGCGGGCAACAACAGAGCTGATTTGGGAAGCGTATACCTCATCAATGTCCTTTTCGAAGAGTTGCCGAACCTTGTTGTACATGACGAGCTCTTCCTCAGTCGCCTGCTCCTCGTCATGTTCCAGACGGTAGAGCCACAGCGAGAGGATAATCATCAAATCAAGTCCGCACAAGGCATGCTCAACGCTCCAATTTGTTGGTGAGGTGCGCGCAACCCAGCGAACGCCCTGAACTACAGCGATCTCGATGCAGTTGTAGCATTCTTGAATGACCTTAATCATCTCACTGGAACGCTTAACGCGGTCCCGCGCATGGGTCATGGCAGCCGCGACCTCGTACGAGTCGTGATAGCGCAATGCCTCTTGCACAGATTTCAAGTCAACCTCCAAACGGACTCGTGCATTTCGATACAGCGCCTTCGCGTTGAAGATGAGGGGATGGCCTTTGTGAGGAGCACTCAGTGGGACAGTAACATTCTCGGGCTCGCAGAGTTCGAGAGATTTCTCCCACGTCTCTAGTGCAAGTCTGAGCTTGTACTCGGTTACAACATCTTGAAGGGCCTCGGGGCTGCGCTTGTGGTACCATACTTCAAGGAACAACGCGTTGATCATAACCCGCGACGCAAACGCGCTGTACCTGAGTGTCTCTCCCTGGAACAGGTTGTCATGCGCTTCCATAAAGGTGACCATGGGTGATGCCTTCAAGTGCTCATGCCAAGCGGTTTCATCCATAACATTGAGATTCCAGAGCGCTTCACTCGAGGGTAGCTGCAGGTCTTCGAACTCGTTGAAGCTGATTGCAGGCGTGTGATTGTATGTCAGGGTGAGGAGTCCGAAGAAAATGTAGACGGCATAGTACGTGCGGCGACATCCCTCATCCTCGATCCACTCGTTGCGACTAGGCTGAGCTCCGTCGCGAGCCTCCTGGCGAAGCTTGAGCTCGTATCTGTTTCCAGCGACCATGTTGGCAAGCAAACTCTTGATGGAGCAAGTCCACTCTAGTCCCTTGGGATCACCACTCCAGCTGGCAAAGATCATGTTGAGAAGAGAGGCTTGCATGGTCCATACGGGACACTTGCGAGAGCTAAAGTTCTCCTTGTTTAGGAGGAACTGGTTCACGAGCACCTTGGACCCAATGTGGAGCATGTAGGCTTGATCTTGGTCAAAGGCATAAAGCGCTCCAATACTAAGCACCGCGAGTAACAAGGCCGGAGAGACCTTGTTTGAATCAAAGGAGGCAGGGTGCAAGAACGGCAAGTGGTGATGAAACAGTCCAAAGTATGTCGACAGAAAGCGGTTCAACGTGGTCAAATTAGGCAAACGAAAGCCCTCCGGAATAGCATGCTCAGTGTCGTTAGCCCGAATATTGTCAAGAATCTGGTTACGCTCATCGTCGCTGGCAACCTGAGGAGCGCGGAAGCCTGCTGAAGACAACGCTGCCTCGTTGACGAACGGGCTCTGTGGCACAGGGGTCCCAGCCGCTGAGTTGGGCAGCGAATTGATCATAGACTGGAGGGCAGGAACGAGGCCGTTGCACGTCTGGCCATTGATTGGCGGCAGTTGAACGTTGTGGAGGGGTTGCAGGGTGCTTCCACTGTTAAAGGACTGCTGAGACTCAAAGGAGCCAGATGCCGAGGATGCAATGGAGTGTGCTTTGGGCTCCGATGACTGAGACATGAAGCTTTCCCACTGGGGTACGGGGATTGCGCCATTAGGGTACGTGACTGTGGGCTCCATAGCATGGGGCGAGTAAGGCATCGACGGGCTGCCTTCGTAGTGACTCCCAGCAGAACGCGCTCCCGCCGCGGCCTTATGCTGGAAATCGGCAACGAGCATGGCGGCAGTCTCAACATCGAGGGTGCCATCATGAGAAGCGGCCTCAAGCTGGTCTATCGCAGACTGATCGAGTATGGGTGTTTTGGAAGGGCCACCGATGGCTCTCGTCTTGGGACCAGAGCGTCGTTTGCCGTCGCTGTGCAAAGGGACGCCTCCATCCTTGGCATGCACCGTTCGGTCATGTCGAAGGAGAAGATCGCGACGGACGAAGGTACTCCGGCACTTCATGCACTTGAATGGGCGCTCTTTCGTATCTAGCACAAGTTGGTCAGCCTGATGGATGATGGCGATAATTTTGTCGACGTTGCAATTGGGGAGTTTTTCCCCCTGCGGACGCGTGCTCGAAAGTCCAGCCGACGATGACTGATAGGAGGGGAGGGGTTGTTATTTGTGGCGAGGGGTTCCCAGTAACGTGAAAGCTTGCGCGGTAGGGAGTGAGGGGGAGGGAGAGGGGTTCGGAAACAACTTACGAGAGCGCTCATGTCTACTACGATGCTCACTTCTGCTAAAGGCTCTGTTGCAAAACTGGCATTTGTATTTGCGTTCCGGTGCGAGTGAGGCCTTGCGAGAGGCCGGTGTGGATGAAGCGGACGTGGGAAGAACCGCAACGCTTGCGCCGGGCATCTTGACGGCTTGGGTCGTTGTCGCGTATTTTTTTTTCTGAGATCAGGATGGGGTAGTGGTGTCGGGTGGCTGGGAAAGCTATTGCGACAGCGACAGCGACAGCGAACGGCAACGAAGGTGATGTGCGGGCGGCGTGTTCAAGACAACGGCTCTCGATGGATTGTAACGATGGTTGAAATCGCCTGGCTCGTAGTTTCCCTCCTCGCTCGGCGCGCTCCCGTGGAGTTTAAAGTGTGTCTTGATTAGACTGGTGGATGTTGCTGGTCATTTGGTTCGATATTCTGGTCATAGGAAGGACGTAAGATTGGTGTGAGGAAGAAAAAGCTGGCTTAGAGCCAGTATATAAAGCGGCTTGTCTGGAGGCGACAGGCGCACTTGAGTGTGTTGATGGTAGGAAGCCAGGAAGGGCGACGGCCACGTTGAGTTGCGTATTGGAGATGAACGATGATCACGAGTGGGAGAAAGGAGGAGACGGAAGAGGGGAAGTCCAGGAAAAAAGTAGGAGGGGAGCAGGAGGAGGAAGAGCGAGGCCTTGTGAGAACGGTGGGGACAGTCGAGTGCGACAGTGGGAGGGACGCTGGTGTATTGGAGGGGGGGGCAGGAGGGGATGGGGGCAGAGAGGGGGGATAGAGGAAGGAGGACCACGCTGGCCGGAGCTGGACAGGTACCTAAAAACAAGTACCTTTTCCACTGTAAAGAAGCGGGAAACAGGTAGACAGTAGTCAAGGAAAGTACGTACCCAGGGGTTGGCAGGTACTGCTGGAAGACGATTAGGGCAGGCATGGTTGGCAGGTGAGGTGCCTTGGACAAGCAGGTTGGAACATCAAGCCGGGAGAGGTAGAGCAGAGGTACCTCCCAGCAAGGTGGATCCCCGAGCCACTCGCTGAGATGGATGCAAGGCGGACAAGACGGGACTGCACAACGGGCACTGCACACACACACATTCGCACACATATACACCAAGAGGAGAACAGAGTTCGTTCACCGGGCCACCAGAGCAAAATAGACCCGACCCGACTTCCTCCATTAGAATGAGCAAGGGATAAGATGGGCAAGAGGTGGAGGGGGTGGAGGGGTGGAGGGGGGAAGGGGAGGGGAGCCCTGAGGTGGGAGTGGAGGGGGAGACGACGACCCGACACCCAGATTCAGCACCTGGTCCAACGGACAGCGAACAGCGGGTCAGAGGTGTCCAGCGGCGGCCGGCCCAGGGCAGGGCGGGCAAAGCGGGCAGGGAAGGCAACACAGGTAGGTAGTCACGAGTGGGAGAGGGGCAACGAGGACTCGACAACAAACGAGCACCGCTGCCGCGCTGCCGTCTGTTGTATAGTATTCAAGGTAGACCAGAGTGACCGGTCGAACGCCTTAGATTGGATGGGGGATTAAAGCAATGGCGAATGTGAAAGGTGTATTGGGCGCAGAACTGGAAAGCTGTCGTGTTGCGTCTGTTGCTGTGTCCCGCTCGCTCTCTATCTTCCATCCGGTCTGTCGCTGTTGCTGCTGCCGTCGCTGGCACCAATGCACGCACACACAGCCCACAAAAGAATAATAGCTCGCCGAACAGGGTAAGAGATACGTACTCTGTACCTCTCCCAGTCTCCCGTCTCCATATTTACGTCTTCGAAAAGGTACAAAGTGTAAGTACCTTGAGCTACTCGTAAAGAGAGCCGGAGCTATGTAAGCTGCACTGAACATCATGCTCCATGTACCCCTCTGGCAGTTGCAGCGTGGGGAAGTACATCTCTTCTACTTCTCTTCGTCCAGCTGGCCGCAAAACATCCATTCGGATTTCTTTCTCTACGTGTACTGTCTTTGATCTATGAGTCTAGAAGCCGCCGGGGAGGGTGGGACATGGATTCAACAAAAGCTAGCAATTACCAATTATGCCTCTGCTGTATTGTTTCTTTGCTTAAAGCAATTTAAGAAAAATTCTCGGAACCAAAAGCGTGTATCATTGTAAAGCACCGTCATCTCGTTTGATACATGAGAACCGCGGTGCTATCTCAATCTAAGACAGCTTTAGGGGCTAAGGACTAGAAGGATAAGGGGGAAGCGGGAAGGGGGAAAAAAAAATTATGAGAAAAAAGCTGACCATCCAAAAAAGGGGGATATCTGTTTGGATTGGAGGGGTCAAAACAAGAGACAGAGACAAACAGAGGTACATGAAGTCTAGGAGACAAGAGCATACTGTCATTGATGCGTAGTGCGTATTGCTTAGTACCCTCTCGGAACACGACGCGACATGGCTTCCAAGGATTCAGGGATCATAAAATTTTCATAGAACAAGGGATATCTCATGCTGTCTACTTTTAGTGCTGGCATGGAGATTGGAATTGCTGCCGACCATAATTTACATGTACGTACCACACACGTATTCTAGCCACAACCAGACACTGCACAAACGGTTCCCCCCGCCCTCAGAAGGTACGGTAACAGGGGAGCAAATAGCGGACGGCCGGGTTATGGGCACCTCATGGATGACTGCTGGAGCTGGCAGGGGGAGGGCGTGTGTCCATGGAGGCGGAGACACAGCTTGCGACAGTCCATCATCGGACAGCACAGAACAGCGAAGCAGAGCAAAAGCTGAGGCGGACTGGGCCGGGTTGGCTTCGGGTGGACAGAACGAAGGCCGTGGTACACGCCGCTAAGGAAAACGATGCTTTGTTGGTCTCGAACGTGCGAGGCAGATGGACGAGGAACAACCCCTGGTATGCAAAAAGCGACTTGCTGACCCGCCGTGCTGTGTTGTTCACCTCAACCAACGATGAGGGCGAGGAGAGATGAGGTAAGGGGTGATAAAAAAGAGGTGAGAGGAGAGGTGTGCGGTGAGGCAGGTCAAGATATGCAACCACAAGGAATGGTACCCGCTCTAGTTCGTCCCGTTCCATAGTTTGTTCACCTTACTAAGGCATGGTACAGCAGCTTATGGGTCTGGACAGAGTACGGATGGACTAGTGCGATGCGAATGCTCTGTAGGGCAAATTGATCATGCCGCACTCACATGGAGATGCATCATGAAGTAGGTACAGATACTCGTACATGGCATTCTAGCATGCTGTTCATAACTTGCTTTTCCATGCTAGCCATTCCTATCTGGGCCACTGACGTAGTGTCTCTTGACGACCACAAAAGTTGAATAATTAGATAATGATCCGGGAAAGGTGACGAGAAAAGAAATTGCAATGACCAACGGCTTGGGGCAACATACCCCCCCTCAGGGTGGCTCGCTGACCCTCATGGTCTTGCCTCGCCAAATCCCGGGCCGCCGATGTGGTTGGCAATTTCGCCTGGGCTCTGGGAGGAAGGAATTTTGCCAGCCTTTGAAGGCCTGGCACCCACCCACCCATTGCTTCGACTGCTTCTAACAACGCTTCTATTGCCGGGCCTCCTGGCAGTGACGCCTTGCCCTTGGGCTGGGAGTTTAGAGTGGCACTCCCGTCGGTTTGGTTATTGCAATTCGTCTCCGTCACCCGCAGCTCCACTGATCGTTTCGTGTCCTGAGGCTGCCGAAAGACCACCCACCTTCTACCCCTGGCTGCCCAGGGGCACTTGGCTCTCGGCCATGCGTAGCGGTTGTGGGCCTAGATTGAATAGGAAAGGGGAGAAAAGGAAGAGGGAGAAGGGAAAAAAAAAAAAAAAAGAAAGAAAGAAAGAAAGAAAAAGGAAGGGGGTCAAGGTGGTGCTAGTCTAAGTATGTAAAGTATACTCCGTACAAGTTGAGGATATCGATTCAATCAGTTTCTGGAGGAAGCAGACTGCGGGTCATGCGAGCTTGAGTTGAGTAGAAGAAAAGAAAAAGAAAGAGAAAAAAAAAGGGAAAGGAAAGGCCCACCAACGCGTCTTGTGCGAACCAATAGGCAGACATCCCTTGTCCCGGTTTCCGGACGTACTCTAACGCGCTAGGATGAGCTGGTACTCGAGGGATACGTGTCTTGTGAGGATGCACTAACGCGCTTCAGCGGATTACATGCTTGTTCCCGTGGACACTCGGGGAACTTGTCATTCCCAGCGGTGAGAAGAGGTATCCATGGGTACCTCCGCTTTGCAGTCAGTCATGCCTAGGACGCGACCCAATACACATGCAGGCGCGAGCACTTCCCCGGCGATGGTCCCACTATGCCCCGCCGTTCTTCCCAAAGGACCTGCGCGCGACGTGTACTATGGCAGTGGTGGTGCCCCTTGTGCTGGTGTTCGCAGCCAGGGCCCAGGGCGTCGGCAGGTGGGTCTTTCGGAACACTGAAGCTTACCAAGAGAAGTCACCGACCTGCAGACTCGGCCAGTGAGGCGATGTTAGGTGTGTGTATCTTGCAAGTTTTGCCGTGGAGCTCTCGGGGGGCGGCAGGGAGCATGAAGCGCAATTTGACGCGGCGCTGGGCACGAGACGAGACGAGACGAGACGAGGAGCGGTTAGCTGGTTTACCCGTCCGCACCGCACCCGCACCCGCACCGTGGACGGGACCACGGCAGACTGCCGCTTCTTAGCCGGCCGAAACAGTGGGATGCGCTACCTCCCTTGTATGGCCATCGTAACCTGACCTTGGGCTGTTGGCACGTACTACAATTTACGATACTTGGCAGCACATAACACAGCACAATCATGATGCACCTGGATCGAGTCGGTGTGTGTGGGTGTGTTATCCTCAGGGCACATCTTCTTAAGGCATCTACTCAGCGGTCTGAACTCAGTCTAATGTCCTTCGTTCATGGATTCATTCCACACGCCCGCGATCTTCGTCAAACGAGATGATGCCGATGTCGTCGTCTCTGTTCTGCGCCTTGCCCCTCGTACCCCTCGCCCCAGCCCCTCCCCCTCCTTCGTCCCTCAATCATCCCTTCTCTAGAAGTGCTTTGCTTTTCTTCTTTTTCTTCTCCCCCCGTTCCAAGCCTGTTTTTTTTTTCTTCCACTAATCCACTCTCCCATCATTTAATCCCGAACACGCCGTGCATGGGGGGAAAAAAATATGCTGTTTGGTTGTTTCGTCCCGAACTGGCTACAGTGAAAC